AGTGCTAAAAGGGCGTGGTCTAAATGTTTTTGTTTTGTCCCCCCAGAGCGTAGTGGCTGGCGCCGCCATTGAATAACGGACATATCAAAGCTTGATAATCACGTAGATAAACCGAAAAAAAATGGTTGTCGAAAATTTCCATAGTGATCCAAAAAGTTTTGCTTAGTCTCGATAATATTTTTTTGTAAATAGACAAAACATGATGTAAAAATTTCTCAGCATTCGGCTGTAATGCAAGAACAGTCATTGTAGAGGTAAACTGTGATAATTTAAACAAGTGAACGCAGGGGATTCGGGACACATTACGAAAAGGAAAGGGGTGCTAAGAACATGCTGAAGCCAAATCAGAGCGATGTTTGGGATTAAGATAAATTTTTGGAATTTTGGAGCGGGAATTGGAATGCTAAGCCTTTGAAAGCCATTGAACAAACTAGAATTTCCATTGAAGCTTCGCCAACCATGCATACAGAATGGTTTGACCAACTCACCACTATTCTGACAACATGTTTAAGTCTTTTTAGGCACGCCATTTTAAATCCTAACAAATCCATAGTCAAAAAGGGTTGTAGTTCTATGATAAAAGAGGGATCTTCTGTCTGTACTTTTTCCGGTGATTTTTAATCCTGAACTGGAGTTGGGGCTTAAGAAAAAACCAACGTCTCTACTATTGGCGTTATAGGTAAGGTACTATTACATTGATGTGTTCCGATAGCTCGGGGGGGCGGGGACAGCCACCCCTTTTACCCTTTCAAAGTACCCTTTTAATAAAGCGGCCCATGACATCGGCCCGTTGTACCTATCAAAGAGCTTCATATGAAATCCTGACTGTAGTGCCTTATTCATGACGAATTTTCTCTAAACTTTTAAAAAAAACCCAATGACAACATTAAGCCCACTCTCAAAATGCCTACATGAAATTGAAATAAAAGACAGTTACAAAAGATTAATTAAAAGCTAGGAATATTTTTTTAAATGCTCTTTTACCGAAGCCTACCTCCTTTGCCTTTTCGTCGTTCAAGCGTCACTGTGTAACCTATCCAAGCATTACGTCACTAACATCAATGAAATTATATACATTTAAATCTACGTCATATTTTTAGTAAAAGGCTTGAATAAGCTGTCATTCAGCTATTTTAGTACACAAATATTACACACATTCAGCTATTATGTGCGTGACACCCCAATGTCTGCAAAACTCCAAGAAAGTTGATCATGCAGCGGGGACCTTAGCGTTTATTAAGTTTGACCAAGTTTCAAAGTTTCAACCCGTAATTTACTCATTTTTTGGTCATGATTGAACATTTCAGACTTATAACTTACTATAGCGCAGGGCCGGCGCAACCGGGGGAGGGAGCGGAGGGGTACGGCCCCTTACTTTTCTGCAGAGCAAAATAAAAGGTATCTAATGTAACCTACCGTTCTGTAAGTAGCTGTGCCTAGTATTCCCTTAAATATGACCTTACTTTTAGCTTGGTTACTTTGTCCTATCCATAGAGGATATATGTAAATTGAACATGAGAATCTGATCGAAGAAATCGGTTTTTGTTTTTGTTTTTTTGGCCTAAACTTGATTCGCAAAGTCTATTTGTTAGCGAAAATTTTCCCAAAAACTTTGCAAAAAGAGATAAATCAGTCGTTGAAGAAAAAGGAACTACCGGAAAGAAATTTTTTGAGGATATAAGAAATAAAGAATCAGCATATTTGTTCTTTAAAAGTATCATCAAGAAAGCTCTATTGTTTGATTCTATCGATAATCCATTGCTACTACAAAAATAGGACATAATCATAAATTCTATTAAAACTCCTTTTGACCAGCACAGTTTGAAGTTTTTCATATCAAGAGCCTTTTTTGTTAAAAGCACTTTATTACCCAAAAATTTAAGATAAAATTTACAGGTCAATATTCCAACAATACAATACAAAATTGCTCAATCGTATATTTTTAGCTTATAGTTCTTTTGTTGTTTTAGTGTTAATTCTTTTTATTAAACCGTGTTTCATTTATTTTCCTCCCCCATCTTATTATGATTATTTTTAAAAACTAAGAAAAGTTCCATTGCGAGCTACAATAAAAAGGTTATTTTAAAATCTTCAAGCCCTTTCCTATTTTATGTCAACATTACAACAGACGGAACTATGGGACATATTGATTAAAGAAAGCTTGACAATGTTGCCTCAAAGTTTCCTCCAGCCAAAATACATTTAGAAATACATATGGTGGTGGCCTTTCTCTAACCCTTACAAAACTTTGATATTTTGGCCCCTCCACTTTCAATATACGTTTCGCAGTCCCGGTAGCGTCCTTGTAGCTGCAGTACATCTCAGGCTTTGGACAAGACTAGCTAGTATTCATCTAGTTTTCCGAATACAGTGCTCGTCACATGACGTTCTCAAACACACCACAATAAAACATACAACACTTCATTGCACTTAGAACAAATTTTTGTTAAAGAGAATCAATTTTTGGTGGAAATCATTTTTCGCCGGTTAATATTTCGTTTTAATGATGATAGATCTGGATGTTTTGTGATAATTAATATTTGAGCCAGAAGAACTTCTAATTAGAGAAACTTTAAAGATTTGGCTCACTAAGCCATATTTGCCACGCAAGTCTTTTCAAATTCTCAAAGATTAACGGAAATTTTATAAATTGAAACCATTGTTGTAAGGAGCTCAAAAGAAGCTGTAGTCCATTTATGCAGATTGTCCTATAATTGGTTTTTCGCAAAATCGTGCTTATGGATTCACCCAAAAACACGAACTCTACAAAAATTCGTTTCCGCAAACTTAATTACCTTATACTTTCACGCCATTATTTGCTCTTTACTTTGTTATCATTAAGTGTGTATATGATAATCCATTTCATTGTTAAAATTATTTTATGGAGAAAAAGTTGGTTTAAAAAGTATAGTTGGTCACGTGTTTCTTGACGCCCCCCCCCCCCCCTCCAAGCTGAATCTGTATCATTTCATACCAATCATCAACAAAAAGATATAGATGGCCTTATTGCTTTAAAAATTGACCTGATAGAACAGTTAATTAGCAGGGGCAGGCTTATTCAGAGGGTGATAAACTCACGTGGGAAAAGTGCTACTCCGGATATCCGTTTGCTATTTCATGTACCCTCTTTGTACAGTGCTGCTTATTCCAGTTTCTGCTATATTTCATTATAAATTAACATATCAATGTCAGGTCAATTATCAATCACGAATTGAAAGGCCTTTCAAGAATATGAGTGAGTGTGGTCACACGAGAAAGAAGTGCGAGGTCATGGTATCCTGCAATAGCTTTGTACCATCCACAGTTCAAATGCTTAACTCTACATGTCTGACCGTAAATAGTGCCCTTCTCAGTAAAATCCCTTCTCATTCAGTACACTGTGATAAAGGAAATATACTATAGTTTGACAATTATCAAGGGAGCTCCAGCCCCCAACCCAGCCCCCCGTTTCCGATGGGCCTGTGAACTGAAATAACACGTTCTTTTACATAAAATGTTTTCAGACACACTTGGATCCTTAATCAATTCAATTCGCATACCTTGTTTTCGGCTGGTCTATCTCAAGGATTCGTGGTCTGGCACTGCAAACTCAGAAATCCACTGCACGACAGAGGGCAAAATAACCAACTTAAAAGATCAAACGAAGAATAATGGCTCAGACCCGGAAGGTTTATCTATTGATAGAGACAGACTAGCAGAATCCCAGGAAAATTCTAACAAAGTATACAAAGACGTTTGAAAGTTGTGCTTTGGCGTCAATCATCAAATCAAGTTGAAGTCTTGAGTTTCATGACTGGAAATTGTTTTAAGAATGAAAACAGACAGAGGTGTAACTGGACAACTCGGGGGCCTTTTTAATGCCATCTGAGGTAGCAAAATGTAGGAGCCACTTTGAAAGGTAAGGGGTGATCGAAGAAAATGATAGCATTGTTTGGGTGAATGGCATGGTATTGCACTAGTGAATATTGAGGTGTCGCTCACTACTCCGCTGATACAAACCATTTTGAAAGGTTTGTCCTACGTGCTGAACCTATATAACGCGCAGACTTACGAGTAAAACACGCACAAACGTGGAAAAAGTACGCACCCGCATATTCAAAAATACTGAATAAAACTTTGCAATTTGTAAGAATTTGGTTTTGCGATGTTTATACAGTATAATCCGGTTATAACGTACTTTAAGGGACCAGCGTATTAAGTACGTTATATCCGAAGTATGTTGTAACGAAGGTAAGTAAAAATTGATTAAAACCAAGCACACCTTTTTCCGGGACCAAGCACACCAGTACGTTATATCCGAAAGTACGTAATAACCGAGTACGTTATAACGGGATTCTACTGTAACAGAGAAACGCATGACTGACACATCTCGGTTTTTTTCAAAAAGTGTGGTACATATTCAAGGGTGGGCGATATTCCCCTTGAAACCCCATAGGATTTGAAGAAGATAAGAATACTTTAAGAACATTATTAGGCTCAAACCCAATTTTCTTAAGAATATCGAAGCTGGAAGAAATTTACAGTATTCTTAGAAAAGCAGTGTACTGGAATTTCGAAAATGCTGCAAACGATACATTGTTTGTAATCTTAGCTACTATATGTCATTAATACATTGAGATATTATCTGACACGGGCAATGTCTCAGCATTATATCAGAGTCAGTAATATCACGATATAAAATAATTTTAATAACGTTTTTCTTAAATTGAAAGGATAATCCGTTGAGATATCGTCGATTATGGAACCGCAATCTTTGTGAAAAAAAAGTTTAAACGATAAGTTGATTTTAGAAGAATTTAAATTCTTCAAGACAGTAATTGACTAGAATAAATTATTATTTAAACTGTATGTTAGAATTTATTACCAAGCATGGGGATTAAGGAAAATTTAAAATTTTTAGAAAGAAAGAATGTCTAGACCGGATTTACACTGAAGAACAGCAGATGACGGAGCCAAAGAACACCCGTATAAGAAGATGACATAAAAAGGACGAAGACAAATATTATTAAGACATTATATTTACGAATGTACAAACAGCATTGAATAATATAGAAAAATAAAGCAAGAAGTCTCTACTATGCATTGCCTTAAAATACACCGATTTATATTCTTTTACAATAAAACATGTACAACATTGTTTATAATATGAATTGTTCCTCGGGGTAGTTCAGAACCCATGCACCAAAAATGTGAAAGATGAACAAATTCAAAAATTTGATCATGAAAAGCTCTACCGTGGTGACGTAGCAATGAAGTATCTACGGAGGAGCGACCCTTGGAAGGCATGAAACCAGCCTCGTAGCCTCGTCATTGGCAATAAGACTCTTTTTTATTTCTGCTTCTTTTTCAGTTTGCTTGAAACATTATCGTTATGCAAGCTCCTGGGCACTGCTGTAGTCATAGCTTTTAGCTGCGGAACTGCTTCAACCCTAACATCTCAAAACTTTTAATAACTTCAATTATTCCCTTTAAATGGCTCTTTCAGGGCAATTTTGCAACTACATTGGAGTAAAAAACTCTCAATACAGCTAAAAAAGGGTGAATTTTAAGATGCATTATCAGAAAGTGTACTTTGTCTTGTGTATAGCTGCAACTTTCTCTTGCTTTGAAATCTCACATCCTAACACATGTAAGACTAAAAAAGGGAGTGTCTTCTAAAGATTTTTAGATATCAAGCACAATTGTGGAAGTGACCGAAAACCGGAAATCCCATTGCATCCAAGATACAAAATGTCTACGAATACCCCTTCTACATTTCTCAGCTCGTTATGAAAATATTCTCATTCATGTAAGGTATTGACAAAAATATAGCTATAAAGTACAGTCCAATTTAACTACAAAGCCACAAAAAGAATGGATACATCTATCACTGATACAGCTTTGAAGCAGATGGCGGCCTTGATGATGTCAGACTCACTTTGGGAGTGCGGTCAACGTTAAGAAGCTCTGGTGTTAATATTCTTCTTTCTCTTTCTTCTTTTGCTCTCGTTTTCAAAGCATCTTTCCTTTCTTCGAGGTGCTGTTCTACAGAACCCAAAACAAATTCGCTGAAATGTAACACAGAGCGCTCATTAGTGTCAGAACATTGCCATAGCTAGGTACAAGCCACAAGCAAACCAACCTGTTATTACGATGATCTTGAACAGCATTTTCATTTGTGTGAAAAAACACTGTTTTAAGTTGAAGCAGTATACCAACGAATGCAGTGGCATAGCTTGAACTTCCAGATAAGGGGGAGGAGGGCATTGAAAATAATTTACCGACGAAGACAAAGCTTAAGAAAAGTTTAGTACCGATGATCTAAAGATTTTAGGGGCCAGTTGAAGAATTACCGGTTAAACTCGGGGATATCACAACCTTCTACACTCCTAGGCCCTCAGTCAGCTACGTCCCTGACTGAATGTGATTATATTTTCCTGTAAGGAAAATCATGATGGCAAACCTATGGTAATGACCAGATAGACAAAGCCTCAATTGGTAACACAAAATGTTTTAAATTCAACAGCTGGCCCAAGGACAACTTTCTATGTATAAATTGAAATGGATGAGATATCTCATTCCATAGATCATAATTACTTTATACTATTTGGTTTAAAAGGGTTATCTGTCATTTATACAATGCCACAGAAACTATGTAGAAACAAAGGTATGTAGCATAATCTAATTAATCTTGATAAGATTGCTGTTACAGTTCAAAAGCGTTAGTAGAAACCTTCTGCGTCTAGTAATCAACTGTCTTAAACATTTGTCCATGTAACATTTTCATTTCTAGGAAATTTATATCCACGTATAGATCGAGAACACCGTGAAAGGAAGAAAGACGTCTGGATATAAATTTTCGGCTTACTCTCGGTCATTATCCAATGATTATACTCTGAAGAATGTCAGACGAAAAGTTCTTCAGTATGCAATGTTTCCGGTATTTCGTGCAATCTTCAAATTTGCAGTACCAAAAACTTATGTAGTGTAATCGTTAGAAATTGGCACATTCTTTGTAAAAAACTCTCCAGCACTCTTAAGGGTTTTAATCTAAGTAAGAATCCTGAGGGGCAACCCCTCATTCCCCTCTTTCGTATGCCTCCTTCCTTGCTCAACACATTTTTTGCGATTGACTCTACCCTTGATTAGAGTTATTTGTGAAAAACAAATGTTTGGTTTAGTTGTAACAATGACAGAAAAATTGACTATGAGCAGGTCTACTCCTTCGGAAAAGCATCTCAGTTTCCTCGCAGCTACCACGCGGTTAGTGTGGGTAAAAATCCGAAATGGCCATCATCTGAATAATTAGAAACATCCTAATTAACTTAAAAAGGATAAGATGGAGCGCAAACCTGTAATTAATCTCCCCATTTTTGTCCTTGTCGAGTTTTTCAACCAAATCCAACAATTCATCAGTTGTTAATGGGATCCCAGTCTCCTTCAATCCATTTGCGAATTCAGCGAGTGTCAGGCTCATGCTTTTGTCCTTGTCCATCATGCTGAAGAAATCGAACAAGCGCATCCTGTTGTTCTTTACGTAATCTTTTAAGACCTTCATCGGCTTTGGGCGTTGATCCGCCTTCCCGTGCGCCCCGCCAGCTCCTCCGTGTACCACTTTCAGCTTTGGGTGCAGGTCGGAAATCTCTCTTAACAAGCCGTAAAATTCGTCATTGATCTGGATACCCTACAGTAGTAAAATGTTTTTCGTTAAATGTTGCCATACTATCACGTGATTCAACGGCATAGCAGCGTCCGAAGCTAACTGAATGATTTCAACAAGAAGAGGAAAAAACAATTTAATACTTTAAAAATTATGGACAGCTTAAAGCCAAGGTTCCCCTTGCAGTAATAAACGCCCGTTGCCTTTTGATCGCTCCCCAGTCCATTACTATAAGAGCTCTGTCACTATCTAAGAATAGGTAAAAAGAGATTGGCAAAGGAGTGGTTTGAGAGAATGCACATGTAACATCGTGATTACCTGCGAGGAGGGTTGTTAGTAAACTTGGCAATATCTCGCAACAATAGAAAATGCCAGCAAAGAATAAAATTTTACAAATAGAAATTGAAGAAAACAAGCTCGCTTCTCAATTAAACCTAAATTGATTCTAAGGATATAATTTTAGAACAAACGTTCACTATGAGCTGTGTTGAAGTGGATTGAGTAAATCATTTGGTTTATTTGATATTGATTAGGATTCTCTTTATTTGATGTTTAGTTGCTCCTACGAATCAACTAAGAGGGGCTAGCTTCTTCGTGCCAATCAATAATTCATCAAAGTTAGAGTTACTATCTTTGAGCTAAATTAAGATCTCGTTCATATACCTTGTCAATGCTATTATTGGATTTCCTGTCATAAAACACCCATAGAAACTGGACAATAACTTCAATAAGGCATCACAAACAGACCCGCCGAGAGCTTTTCAGGGACCTGGAGCGGGTCCGTGATGACGTCATTAAAACTGTGATTTTTGTTATTGCTGTTATTGTGTGGAATTTTGCCGGAACTTTTCGGACCCCTTCCAGTGCAAGGCCTAGGGCAATCTGCCCTTCCTACCCCTGACTCGGCGGGCCCGATCACAAATGATGTCATTGTTAATTCTAACTGTGACTTTTCTATGTATCTTGACACTGTGCAAGAGCATGAAGAGTCAAACACATTTTTTTACAAATGTTATTAGCATGATTCTTGAAATTCAGTATTTTTACGAGTCACTCCTGGAAGCTTTTCCTTGGCCACTTTAATTTGAAGCACGAAGACATTTTTTGGTGATATTTAATTAAACCTGTGTGTTGGACTGAACTAAATGAACCATGATCAAAAAAGCACTGCTTGCATCTAAATACAACTTTTCCAGGGAGTGGGAGATATACAGAAAGGAATGCAATGACAAACCGTTAATTCTATTTCAACGAGAGCGATATTTGAATTGTTCTTTATAGCCATAAGTATGAGATAGGCTCCTTGACTCTGCATGGGATTCTGTCCAATTCGCAATGTCTGAAGAGCTTCGTTCAAAATTAAACCCTTTGTCAGGTTTGCTGAGCCATCTTTGGTGATGCGATTGTTGCTGAAAACATAAAACAGGTTCATGTCATTCGGCAGCAACTAACTATTCTAAAGGCAAAACTAAAGATCGATGCTAATAAGGTGTCTCTCTAAACTTGACTCGAGAAAGTAAAGACAGAAATAGTTTGTTGTGCATAAAAGGTGCTGCGTATTGGAAAACGTAGAAAACGTGAAAAAAGGAACGACATGGAAAAACTTTCTCACATTTTCCCATGCGAGTGGCGTCCTTTCTCAGGCAAATCAATTGAAAACTATTTCTACCTTATTAAAGACTATGCGACACTGATCAGGGAACCTTTACAACTATAGACTCGCGTTTCGGCTTGGCTTATTATGATCTAGAACTGGATAAATATATTAAAGTTTTCGTTCAAAGTTCTCACCTTTTGTATGTCTTAAAATGCTTGCTTTCTTCAAAGCCATTTTCCTATTCGGTACCACCAAAATATCTACCTTATTCCTATCATAATTCTTACTCGTTTGATGTTCCAAAATTTATAGGAATCGTCCGTCTTGGCTGATTAATGAAACTGTCTTCTTGTGGAAAATTCGCTCGACAAAGTAAGAGCTAGCCTAGGGTTCTAATAAGTCAGTGGTACAGGAAAACTGGGTGGCGAGTTAAAACCTGGACCTGGGCTATCTGAGGGTTGAGAATACCATTCACGGCTGGCGAGTGTCGATTGAGCCGAAAATAAGCACGCAAAAACTGAAAAAAACATGAAAAAAGAAAAAGGTAAGAGAGGGGTAGGACAATAGTTTTGCACCCTTTTTGAAACGGTGGTGGGCAATAGGATGATTCACTTATCAGCAGACTTTAACTTCTTGGGAGGACGGGGGGGGGGTGGTTCCTTATTAGTTTACCAAAGTTGATGTAGCATCAACATATGTTGGAAGGGCATTTTCCACAGACAAAGGCCGGAGCTGCAATGTAGTGACCAAATGTAAATAACCTTTTTGGGTGATGAAATTCTTCACATGCGAGCAGGGTATAGTGAACAAGGCCTTAAATTTTTAAAGAGAATTAAAATCTCACGTGTGCTTGTGAAGGCTTAATTTAAGGTAAAAAAGCACAACGCACTCAAACGTATAACTGTTGAAGGCACTATGTTCTGCCACGAATTTAAGATGTTTAAACGTAAATAAACGACTTGAATCAAGTTTGTTGCGCTTTTATTTTCAGCCAAATGCAACACCTTTTGGTAGAAAGATAAAAAAGATAAAAAAACCTGTTGTTAATTTCTTCTCTGTCATATTTCTCGCCATCTGTTTTTAGGTTCATTTCTAAGCGCTGATCGGAGCATTAGATTGTCGAATTTAGTCTGGACGAAGCAGCAACTTTGTTGAATTCTTATCATTATAAAATAACTTGCCATTGGAAAGAAAACGAACTTAAACATCTTGGGGAAAAAGACAATTTAGAATGGAACAGCCCAGAAGGATCACTTACAGATTGCAGTTAAAATAACAATACGGAAAGATGAATTTTTGACTGAGTCGTGTATATCTCAAGTGTAGAACAACTATTAGATAGAAAAATGACAACAGGTGTGGGCACTGATTTGAACATAAATTGCTTATAATTGCTTAACAACGCTTTTTTGTACTTTATATTCTCGTGAGATACTGCATCAAGCTGAATTAATCTCCTTCGTAGGAGCATCAAATATAAGCACGCACATTCGCTAATTAGCACGTAAGGAAATTTGCTTGTTCGTGTGAGCATATCGGAGAGAGCCTTTAATAGTCACGCACAAAAATACGAGTGATCTTCCGCTGCAATTTGCAGCACTGATGAAATAAATAATTTACAAGGATATCAAGATATAAGATCTTATCGCGGGCTTGACCTTCGCATACATGGAGCGCTGTACACAGCCCTGTGCACTGATAACAGTTGAAATGATAACAACGGCGAGGTGAAACGCGAAAAGTCGAACAGATGGAAGTCAAAAGAAGCAGACAAATCACCGTTGACGCGCACTATTTATCGTTTGCCTCTTCGAATCTGAACTGTGAAAAGAGTAATTCATGTTCCTTGGGTCACTCCGTGTAGCTATGCTTTCAAATTACACTTGATATGTTCACGTGTTAATGGCTAGGTTTGATTTCGTTTTCAAACAAACCTCTTCATGGTTAAGACGTGAAAACTTGGAAGGAAGTTCCTTTTGGTATGTGACTAAGCACGACATGATGAAAAGGTTGATAGTCGTTTCTAAAATAAATCCCCGGCCTCGGACAAAAACGAACACAATGCGACCTTGCTTGAAGCTTAATAATTATAGCTATAAATGTACCAAGAGAGTTATAGACGACTTAAAAGGGGACACTTTTCTAATTAGTACCGAACCAAATTCTATCGCTTTAGGGATTTGCTCCAGTTTTGCTACTATGCTGCGTTGTACAAACAAATTTGTACTATTGACCTGTGCATACCAATCTTTTAATCATCTACGTTAGGCTTGTGCATCTAAGCAGTGATATAAGGTATTCCACAGTTTGTGACCATTGTAACAAATATCAAATAATTTATGTCATTAGCTTGCAATACATACAAAATCTTTAGGACATGATACCAAATAAATATAAAAATAGCTTTATTCATTTGATGTTGGATAAATAAACATGAAACAGGAAAATTTTTATTTCAAAGTCAAGCTATAAAACTAGGAGAACAGAAGAAAAATCCGGTATATGACTGTAAGAGGGGTTTCTGAAAATGTAGGAACATAGGGACATGTCTTAGAAAAAAATATATTTCCTTCGTGAGAATGAATTGGGACCCAACATTTGTCGCTCTCTTACTGAGGCAGGAAAATCAAATTGAGTTGACTGGTCAAAAATTCTTTAATCGTGAAGCTCGGTTCAGGGTTAGATTTTTAAACCTACGCTCATTTGAGTGACCTTGTTGGTAGGGTGTCTATGTTGTTCCAGGAGACCAAATCTATTTTTGTGCCAAGAGCCCCGAAACCTTAAATTCTGTTCCTGACTAGAGTACTTTAAAATTGTCAACAAACCTTAGATCCAATTCTAGAAGAGTACTATTTGTCTTCAAGGCTTCTCCCATCGCAAGTGCACCGTCATTACCAAAACCATTCCAGGCCAGATTTAAAACTTTTAATGTATTGTTTTCCTGTAAATATGAGACCGAGAGCTATTAAATCCAAACGGAAAATTTCTTAGACATGAAACAGCAAAACTATTAATGCCATATAATGACTTTTTCGCTGCCTTTCTTCGTGAAAAAATAATATTTTGACCATAAACCGCTTTTTTCTTTTAAATTTATATATGCTTCTCTTGAAATTTCACGGTAAAAATCAGCAACAAAAATCTATTCGGAAAATAAACATGGATTTTTTGTCTCTCAATATTTTCTGTTTCACGCGTGAGACTGCATTTGACTACGTCAATACGAGAGACTGGTGCTTTTAGCCCCTACAAGAACGGATATCATAGACAGTTAAATTCTTTAAAGTTATTGCGCCTTTTAACAATGCGACAATTCTCTTCATTCACAATATTTGTACATTCTGACATGTTTGATTTAATCGTGAACTACGCTAAGCTGGAAAAACGTCATCAGGACACAGTCTCTGCAACTGTTGTCGAATAAAGCAATCTACGTGGTTCTCAAGGTCTTAAGACTTATTCGTGTAGTTCCCACTATAATTAGGCAAAATTTGGCAGTAATATCTAGGAACCAAAAATGTTGAAGTATTTGCGGAAACAAGACTTTTTAAAAAGTTGGCAAAAGTAAAAGATCGTAGAAAATATGCTTAGGTGATTCAAAAGTAAGGACAAGTTCGCTGTATCAGGAACATAGCCATGTGAACAAAAACTTGGTATTTCACAAATGAAATATGTACCACAACGTTAAACAGGTATTTCGAAATATCAGCAAGTATCTCAAATTTCTACAATCATTTTTGCTGCTTTTGGGATCCTATATTTGCATTTTTTGCATTCCGGATTTCCACTAAATGTGCCTCGAATATACATTTTTAATGCAACGTGTCAGAACTTTTTTATAGTCGAGCTTACAATATGACTTTCAGATATTACGAACATTTTGAGTAGATAAAGTTTCTGTAACACGAAACTGGCTTAGCTGGGGGACAAGTGTGCTGGCTTAAAGCTACACTGCTCCCTGGCCTTTGTCTTAAGAAAGTTGGGGGACAAATAAATGAGATCTAAAATATGAGTTGATATCTGTATTGAATACTTTTAAATGATATATAAAGTGGTTTATTTTCTTCATATAAGCGACATTCAGTTATATTTCATTTTTACCTGTCACTGTTACCAAGAGATAAATGCAATACTTGATATTTGCTTGGACACAATTGAAATTGTTTTCTTGCAAAGCCAAAAAAATTCAGTTGAACCAACAAAAGAAACTTGCAACTAAATACCAGTGAATTGAGCTTTCGAAATTATCGAAAATCATTCTTTAAAATGTACCTGCAGATTCTACCTGGTTGCAGGGTTCACCTCAAAGCACAGGTCATGTACTTTGGAGGGCCTACTATAGGGTAAACAGTAAAAGAAAGAAAACTGAGCCAGTCCTTTCGAAATAGCAGAATCCTTAATGTCAATGCCATTCTGAGAAATGTAAAAACATAAGGTATTAATTCTACACTAAAACTCTGAGCCCTTCAACCATAGAGGGAGTATAGCAGCATCCAACATAAATTAGGCAGTGCTTGCTCATCTATTATCTTTAGTAATCTGACCAGTATTTCAGAGTTTAGTACTCTTAAAAAACTATTGACTATTCACTCAAGATGTCTCCACTTTCACATGTCATAAAAATCTTTTCAGCTCCGAAGTATTACCAGGTAGCTCCATTACTAGTATCAGCAGTATACATTTTGTGTGTAATACCTATCTGAAAACGTGTCAATAGTGCTAGGAAATACAATACCTTAAGAGAAAGGGCGATAGAAAATGCTCCTTTGTGTCGCAAATGATTCCAGCTTAGATCGAGTTTTTCTAGCCATTCGTTTGATGCAATCGCCGGGCCCAAATAAAGTCCAGCTTGTTCATCTAGCCAATTATGACTCAAATCCAGGGTTTTCAAAGACGTGTTCGTCTGAAAAATAAATTACGATGTTCAAGAAATAGATATTGCCAGAAATAATATTTTTAGAAGAACTAAATTTTTTAAAAGTTGCTTGGCATAACTGAAAGAAATAAGCATGCCATAATCCGTACAAAAATTGCTGAAACACATACAGAAGATTTCTACAGGGTTGTTTTTTCTTTCCCAATTACGATGCTGCTGAATCTGTAGTTTTGAAATTGCACTTTAAGCATTAATATCTTTAGTGAGGCAATCAAAAGTGTGTTTGTGAATAGCTCATGTCAGGGAATACGGTTTTAATCAAGGCAGTTAAATCCCGGAGTTGACAACTTTCGAACTTAAATAAAGTGGTGCTATATCTACTTTTTGCAAGGATTTTATGAAAAATTCAACTTTAAATGGTAACTCTAATTATCATGTGATAAAATGAAATACCCTCTAATTGAAAAGATACCGTTGCCTTTTACACCTCCTTAGACAATTGTTTGCTTTAAAGTTACTTAGATTCTTCGAAAGAATTCCTGTATTGACAGAATTTGAAAGATATCCTGTATCAACATTATTCAAAGAAATTGTTGTTTAAAATTTGGTAACATAAACATGACGATTAAGGTAAAAAGGACAAATTGCTATGAAATTATCCAAAGAAGTCCAAGGACAGGATCCAGTGCCTAAAAACTGGGACAAAAGTGGCGACAAAAGTGTTCATATCCTATTAGATAAGGCACGTGATGGATACCTGAAAAATAGCTTTGACTTAGTAGGATCTGCTAACAAATTCGTCAGGATACTGAATATAAAAAGCGGTATGTTACTTACCGAAATGCCTTCTGCAATGATTGATGCAGCTTTTGCATCCAATTCATTTCCTAAATACAAATAATTAGATTGATTTATAAAGCAACATAAAATTAGCATGAAACAGCCGTTGCTTAAATATGCGATTTATTTATTGAGCAAGAATTTTTCTCCAGGTAAGTGAAGGACTTATAAAAAGGCTAAAGTATAAAATAAAAAAAATCATTACTTAGTTAGTAATAAGTGAATGATTGAGAAGCTTTCTAAAAAGCCTCTACATGTAAAAAATATGATGCTATAGAATACTGCGTAAAACAAGAATTAAATGTTATTTTGGGAATGCTTCTGCATAAAAAAATTCCAAGTTTCATATTGAAACAAAATGGCAGCAGTAAATTTATCAATCTCATGAAAAGGATGGGGATTGTTGGTCAAAAAATATCAAAATCCTGTTCCAATTTTGAAAATATTATAAATTTTGGAGATCAGGTATCCTTGTATGAGAGAAAATCCGAAAAAATTTAGTCGTAAAACATCTATATAAGTATATTATAAGATAATCCCAACGGGCTAAATTTCCTTTGGAATAAGGTAAGCTACAATTGTTACAACCACAGTATTTTTTATAAGAATTCAAATGATCTAGAACAAAAAGTATAAGAAAAATGTTGGTAAAAAGCTGCAACGCCTTACGGACAGATGTGCGAGTAAAGAATATTATACATGGGTCTAATTTGCGATTAAGGGTTTGTTTATATTTCCTTCAAAAGTCATTGATCCACTAACGATAGATGTCACGTGAGGTGTATTGTTTATTCAGCCAATCAGGACTGGCCCTTTTGTTTTCAATGTAGAGGCCGGAGTATATTGATCTGACGTCAGTGGGAAATGGCTGCTAGCCGTTTTTTCGACGGGAAAGAAAAATTTACAAAAGAAAACGACAATCATAGTATATTTTCGCTTTTGAAACAGATAATCGATTGTAAAAAGACAACATTACACTCTTTTTATAAGAACACAGAAGTTCGATTTGCCAAAAAAAGAACAAAAGAAGAATTTGGTCAGCCTCGGTAAAAAAAGTTAAGAAAACAATAGGTTTGAGAAGATACTATCAGTAAATCAACCGTGTTTTATAAAATGTCATGAAAACTCTTTTATTTAGTGGTCTAAGAAACAATTTATAGCATGTAGTTGTAGAAAAATCAGTGTTGAAATAAAGACAACGTTAAGAACATCCGAGCCTCAAATTATCAACAACAGAAAAAGAAAACCGAGCCTCGACAAAAACTATCCGGTTTTGCATTAAAAAGAGAATTATCGCTGGAGTAAAAAAGCGCGAAAAGCTTAGAATATATTTGAGAAAGGAATTCAAATAGTTTTAACTAATGCAGAGCAAAACAGAGCTTTATTACAGGCGGTGGTAAGAAACTTTCTGCTTGTTCAACTTATATCAGTAATTTGGACTGGGATAAATTAATCTGTATCAGCACTTAACTTGCATCGAAATTGTCGAAAATCTCATCGGAAATAACGAAATAAAAAAATTGTTCTTCTACATGTTTAGGAAAAGAGGGTCCTCCAAAAAGAGAAATTTTAGAAAGATCAAATTTTATTTCGTCTTGGAGAGTTTATCGAACGCACGGATTGGCCTAAGAATTTATATCGGCCTAAACAAAGTTAATTTTAAACTATTAGAGAGTTTCCTCGGTGCATAAAATCATTAAAATAACGCAATAAGGTATTCAGGAGCAAAAAAGTACAAATTCAATTGTCTGCGTCATCTGAAAAACTTTTCTCCACGACACAATTCACTTTTAACTCTGCTAATTCGATGAGACTTATGAAAAAGACTCAGTCATAGGCAACAGGATTTGTCACAGACAACTGGAAAAAGACTTTCTTTTTTCCCAAAAACTTTGGTTAGTTAGAAGCTGGTGTTGCAGAACCTTGCTGGTTCAATGATTTACTCGCAAAGATAGTGAAGTTCTGAAAGGAGTGAATATTTACAAGAATCTCTTTTCATTAAGATCGCTTGTGCTTGGTAAAATATGTGCTCGGTAAAATAATGTGCTTGGTAAAATGAAGATGTCACAACGGTTTTGATTGGCGTTTTTGATTAAGAAAATAATCGCGAAGACAGCAAATAAAGCAGTTCAATTAAAAGTGGACTTCTTTAGCAAAAATATTTCCGTCTCTTGTAAACATGAAAAACTCAACCCAGTTTTTCAAAATGTGCGCATGTCGACCTCCCTTGTAAACAAAGTACGAAAAATCTTTTCAACTAAGGCTAAGATAACCATATTTATTACAATGATACACAACAAAGATTTCACAAAAAAGAGGACAGCCATTTCAACTAGGCAAACTATTTTCTATTGTAAAACGGAGAAGTTCACTACTATAAAACATAAACTTTGCTAGGGGAAGCTGGTTGCTTTTCTGAATCTTATATTTCAAGAATGAAAACATTTGAGTCGTTTTTATTGACGAAAAATTTAACATACCTTGTAAAACTAGCTTCTTTAAATTATTTGTGTTGGTCAATACATCTGTAATTGCAGCAACACCCTCCAGGCCGATTTTATTTTCGGATAAATCCTAGAAACAAGCAAACATCTAAATTAACACCACAAATGAACCAGATTTAAAAGGTAAACAAGGTTTAAAGAAAATATAATTCTATTTCGAGCAACATTCGAACGTTTTGATTGTATTTTTTTAACGAGTTACGCAGTATTTGGGCTTCAGTTCTTTAAAAATATTGATAAACAAAAATGTAGACTATTGGAAATTCATGAATAAATAAAACAATTCTAGTGTCTAGAGGGTTTGTGTTAAGTATGATTAACTCAATCAAGGCTGCCATTCTACACTTTTCGGCTTAAAATAGCAAAAAATCAATGCATATAGGGAAAACGATGCAGACAAACGCTTTGCATTTTGCACAAAAGGATAATCGGATATTTTTAGGCCAATTCCATGGCGCAAAGGTGTTTTGGGTATTTGCTACCTTGTAGAGAAATTATACGTCAAAACAATCATACAAATCACGTGGTTTAAAGGTATTTGTGTAATTTTGGATTGCGCATTGCTTTCTGGTATTGAAAATTATATCACGTAACAATGGATGAAGGTATGCTACGTAAAATTGCTTGGCAGCGAAGTGGAGCCTATAAAAGGCGATGCATCGCCCAGGACGCTCACACTTGTTCAGAGTTCACTCTAGAGTTCAGACATATTTCAGAAGAAGGAAAACAAAATACAAGGCTCACTCAAGATCTGAAGAATGGCATCATTTTTCAAGTTCGTTAATCCACTGAAAGCTGTCGCCGCCACAGCCACCGCAGCGGTTGCCGCCGTTCTGGGATACTCCGCAACAACTGAGACTGCCGAAAGCAAATGGCAAACGATCAAAAAGGCATACACCAGGTATCCAGCCAAGTTGGACTTCCCTGACTTGAGCAAGCACAACAACTGCATGGCGACATACCTCACCGCCGACCTCTATGCAAAGCTCCGAGAAAAGGTACGAGCAATAATTTTCGTTATTTGTACCGCCAGTCGATAGCCCGGCGGCTTCCGAAATACGATGTTTAACGAGAATCGAGAGCGAGGCTGTGTAGCTGTTGCCTAGAGAATGTGCGATAACGGGGGTATGGACTTTATCTTGATTCAAATGATCACCGTTAGCATTAATGCTTATTTGTTTTACAGGTTACCCCGTCTGGGTTCACACTCGACCAAGCAATCCAGACTGGCGTTGATAACCCAGGTCATCCATTCATCCAGACCGTTGGTATTGTAGCTGGCGATGAAGAAAGCTATGAGGTCTTTGCTGACTTGATGGACCCAATCATCCAGGAACGCCATAATGGCTACAAAAAGACGGATATGCACAAGACCGACTTGGACTCGTCGAAGATCGATGGTGGTAAACTTGACGAGAAATATGTGATGTCGGTAAGATGTCGCACCGGCCGAAGCATTAGGGGGTATTCACTGCCACCACACTGCACAAGAGCCGAAAGACGAGAGGTAGAGCGCATCGTAACAAACGCTCTTGACAACCTGAAGGGGGAATTGAAGGGTAATTATTACCCCCTGAATGGTATGTCCGAGGAGGACCAGAATCGTCTTATTGAAGACCATTTCTTGTTCGACAAGCCGGTATCACCTTTGCTCACGTGCGCTGGCATGGCACGTGACTGGCCCGATGCCCGTGGTATCTGGCATAACAACAAGAAGAATTTCTTGGTATGGGTAAACGAGGAGGACCACACCCGTGTCATCTCTATGCAGAAGGGGGGTAACATGAAGGAAGTCTTTGACCGATTTTGCAATGGCCTTAAGTCTGTTGAAGACCAAATTGAGAATGTTGGCGAGGGTTTCATGTGGAACAAACACCTTGGGTACATCCTCACCTGCCCCTCTAACTTGGGCACTGGATTGAGAGCTGGCGTCCACATCAACTTGCCAAACCTTGCTAAGGTAAATAATCAGCCAATCAAGATATTAACAAATCATAATCAGCAAATCACTTGATCATGATAAACCTTGATTTCTTACTGGTTTCCACTGAATCATAATGAGTAATTTTGATAGATCAATTTTTGATAGATGATTGATGCATGATACTGATCACTGAATCATTTTCCTTTCAGCACAAGAAGTTTGATGGACTTCTTAAGCATTTGCGTCTCCAGAAAAGAGGGACAGGGGGTGTCGATACCGCAGCCGTTGGTGGGGTGTTTGACATCTCTAACCTTGATCGACTTGGTTTCTCAGAGGTAAGATGATTTATACTGTGATTATATGATGATAATGATTGTTTTTATGATTCGAGCAGAACATGTTTTTTCCATTCAACTGTTCAGCAAAAATGGAATTTACGATACAATCACTTAAGCGCCGACAACTTTGATTTGTAGGTTCAGCTTGTCCAGAAAGTTATTGATGGAGTAAACAAGCTCATCGAGGTTGAGAAACGTTTGGAGAAGGGGAAGGAGATCAAAGACCTCCTTCCAAGAAACCTCCAATAGGGAGGTACTACGGGCTCAGCTTCTTTAATAAAATTATTCAAAAAAAACAAAAAAAAATTAAAAATTTATAAAATCCAAAAAAAATTCAAAAATTAAAAAAAAAACAAAAAATTTCAAAATATAAAAAACCCAAAAAAAATTCAAAATAAAAAACCCAAAAAAATTTAAAAAAGAAAACCCAAAAATACTAGAAGGATGCAAATTTGGAACATGTCAGTTATTTATTTTCCTTTTGACTTATTTATTGTTTAACTCTAAAAATACTAAGAGCAGTAGGCAAGTCACCAAAAGATCAGGTTTAGAAAAGCATGAAGGAAAGTGCCAGGCACTGAGACAGAGGCTGTTAAGATGGGGGCAACTGAAGTCACACTGTCTGCACTTTGAAGGGGGAGCTTCTGTAGTAGTTGACCCCCTTGTTATGTCTGGCCTCTTTGGTTGAGTATGATGGGGGCTCCCACTGAGGCTGGCCAAAGCAAGGGGGTTGGGTGCTACAGGAGTTATTTGAAAGGGCTTAAGAATGCCAATAATAGAGTAGGAAGGCTAATAAGGTGGACAATTTCAGAGTCTTTATTATTTTATGATTAATTTCTACCCAACATTGCTGGCATGTGACAGGTATGTGTTACTTCTAGAACCTTAATCAATTTTTTCCAATTTATATGTGTTCTGTGTTGTGTCAAAATTCAAGGAATCTTAGAAGCTGAGCCCTTAAAAAATCCTGGCTGATGTAAATATGTAAACATGTGAATAGTACCAACTGTGTGAATATGTATGCTAAAAAAATGTGTATAATATGTGTCTGTAAAAAAATGTCAACTCAAAATGCAAAATGTCTCTTTATCATGCACTATCCTATCACTGTCTTAGAAACAATTTTTAACAGCCTTATTAACAGATTATATGGAGACTTGTGGCTTTAAGAACAGACAGATCAAACACCCTGAAGATATGTGACCATATTTCTCTATAGAAAGAAAGAGCCCATATTTCTCTCTAATTCTCCAAAAGACACACAGTATTGGCCCTGAGTAAAGTAAAACATCATGAGACCTTTTCCCCTATGACAAAGTGATAAAACCCCCTACCAATATCCAATTCTCTAAAAAGCCAGCCACTGCTGGTCATTTGTAAAAGAAAGAGCCCATCTTTCTCTCTTATTCTCCAAAAGACCCACAGTATTGGCCCTTAGTAAAGTAAAACATCATGAGACCTTTTCCTTTATGACAAAGCAATATAACCCCCTACCAATATCCAATTCTCTAAAAAGCCATCCACTGCTGGTCATTTGTAAAAGAAAGAGCCCATCTTTCTCTCTAATTCTCCAACAGACCCACAGTATTGGCCCTGAGTAAGGAAAAAAATCATGAGACCTTTTCCTTTATGACATAGTGATAAAACCCCCTACCAATATCCAATTCTCTAAAAAGCCAGCCACCCCTGATCATTTGTAAAAGAAAGAGCCCATCTTTCTCTCTAATTCTCCAAAAGACCCACAGTATTGGCCCTGAGTAAAGTAAAACATCATGAGACCTTTTCCTTTATGACATAGTGATAAAACCCCCTACCAATATCCAATTCTCTAAAAAGCCATCCACTGCTGGTCATTTGTAAAAGAAAGAGCCCATCTTTCTCTCTAATTCTCCAACAGACCCACAGTATTGGCCCTGAGTAAAGTAAAACATCATGAGACCTTTTCCTTTATGACATAGTGATAAAACCCCCTACCAATATCCAATTCTCTAAAAAGCCAGCCACCCCTGATCATTTGTAAAAGAAAGAGCCCATCTTTCTCTCTAATTCTCCAAAAGACCCACAGTATTGGCCCTGAGTAAAGTAAAACATCATGAGACCTTTTCCTTTATGACGAAGCGATATAACCCCCTACCAATATCCAATTCTCTAAAAAGCCAGCCACTGCTGATCATTTGTAAAAGAAAGAGCCCATCTTTCTCTCTAATTCTCCAAAAGACCCACAGTATTGGCCCTTAGTAAAGTAAAACATCATGAGACCTTTTCCTTTATGACAAAGCAATATAACCCCCTACCAATATCCAATTCTCTAAAAAGCCATCCACTGCTGGTCATTTGTAAAAGAAAGAGCCCATCTTTCTCTCTAATTCTCCAAAAGACCCACAGTATTGGCCCTGAGTAAAGTAAAACATCATGAGACCTTTTCCTTTATGACGAAGCGATATAACCCCCTACCAATATCCAATTCTCTAAAAAGCCAGCCACTGCTGGTCATTTGTAAAAGAAAGAGCCCATCTTTCTCTCTAATTCTCCAAAAGACCCACAGTATTGGCCCTGAGTAAAGTAAAACATCATGAGACCTTTTCCTTTATGACGAAGCGATATAACCCCCTACCAATATCCAATTCTCTAAAAAGCCAGCCACTGCTGGTCATTTGTAAAAGAAAGAGCCCATCTTTCTCTCTAATTCTCCAAACGACCCACAGTATTGGCCCTAAGTAAAGTAAAACATCATCAAGGAAAAAAAACCCTATGACTATTCAGTTCTCTAAGAAAGCATCTACTGCTACTCCTGAAGTAAAAGGAAAGAACCCATTTTTCTCTCTAATTCTCAAATAGACCCTCAGTTTTGAGCCTGATTGAAATTTAATATCTCAAGACCTTTTCTTTTATGACAGAGGGAAAAAGCCCTTCAACAATAGCCAGATTTCTAAAAATTCAGCAACTACTAGTCCTAAGCAAAAGGACAGGATCCATATTTCTCTCTATTTATCCAATAGACCCACAGTTTTGGCCCTGGCTTTGTCTTATGATTGAGAGACCAAACACACTAGCAGTACCAAATTCTCTAGAAAGACTCCTGCTTCTGGTTATATATAAAAAGAGGGAAGACAGGCCTAATCTCTTCTCTAATTCTCAAACAAACCTAGGCTTGATTACTTAAGTGTAGAAACCTCATAAGAGACAATGAACTCCAGCAGTATGTAATTTTCCAAAAATTCCGGCTGTTGGTTCTGAATAAAAAGAGACAGAGAGGTTTATTGCTTTTACTAACTCTCCCACACCCTGATTTGTGGCACTAAGTTTCTATTAGGCTCCTTATGAGAGGAATACAAATCCTAGAAAACCATTTTTGTTATCAAATTATCAAATAAATGCCTTACATCTCTTCAATTATCTTGTAAAGCCCTTGTGCTAATCTCTAGAAGGTCAGAGACACTAAGCACCCTTTCCTTCTATCACTGCCCTGTAATCAGTATTAAGTATTTTTATAAAACATTTCATTTTCACAAACAGACAACATAAATAATAGTTAAAATCAATGTACTCACTAGATCTGTGACATAACAGTTTTCTTTTAACATGTCACAAATGTGGCTAACACCTCCTGGTCCAAGAGAATTGTCTGACAAATTGAGGTTTAGGACAAATGTGTTTGTCTAGAAAAGGGAGAATTAAGAGTGTGGTAAAGATCATGGTAACAGTTTTTTTCATTTGATGTAGCCTTATACCAATGTACCTTATAAAAAGATTATATTTTAGGCATTGTTGATTTGAATTAGTAACAGCAAGGCTAATTTAGAAATGTGCATGACTGTGTAAAATGGTTATCTTAACATGGAGATGATGGGAGAAGATGATGGGATTGTTCAGGCAAGAGAGTTGATGGGAGTGGTGGTCCATTCTTGTGAGCTATTTCTTAGAAAAAGGTCTGGAACCATACTCACTACTAGGGCAACTGCCATTGCTCTTGCTCCCTTAACGCCTAAACCATGATGCTGCATATCTAACTTAGATTCTTTCATGTGACGTAGGTAATATGAGGCAGGTATGACTCCACAATCATGGCAAGCCGAAATATAGGTTGCCCTGCCAGATGCATCATATTTATCTCTGCCTCCTGAAAGAATAAGCAAATTGAGATCAAAGCTATTTACTTCACTAGAAAAAAGTCAAATTAGCAAAAAATACAACCCCTACCAAAAATAGATGGAAGATCAGTATACCCAAGCTTAAAAGGTGACAACCCTAGAATATAACTACCTCACTAAGTTCTGAATGATGTTGCTAAATCCTCTCCCTTCCCCAGTACAATTTTGATTCCTTCATTTGAAGTTTTTTTAGGTCCAGTCCTACCTAGTAAGATTTTCACTGAAAATAATGCAATATTGTTGCTAAGCAACATTTGTAAATGGGGAGGGGAGAAAAAAAACTAAGAAAATGTTGTGTAGATGTTTCAATAACATCTTAGGCAAAGGTTGAACTTAGAAAATTTGAAGAGATAATAACCAATGTGGTAAGTCCCAATCTACTATCCAAAAGACATTACTTATTCTGATTTAAGTCTTTTGTGCAAACTTCTGCAAACAAGAAGATATGACATTACATCTACAGATCCAGTAGCCATTGAGGATTTGTTGATATGTAAGGTAGGGAGGCCCAAAAGCCTAGAAGCTGTTATAAGACACAAAAAGATGGAAATCAGGAACATATAAGAATCTTGGTAATTGTACTCCCAAAGTTTTTGCAAGTGACATTTCTGGTAGAGTAAGGTCCCCCCTTTAGGATGATGTCTTCTTGTGACAGTGCTCTTTTGGCTGAAACTCATTAGTGATAGGTAAACATGATTAGTGCCATTCCACAAGTTGTTCCCTCTCAAGTGATTTAGGCTTCTTTCAGTACTGAATGAAAGTCCTCAAAACTACCTTCATCTTCAAGATCTGTATCCCATTCTTCTTCCTCTGCATCATTTAAATTACTTTTCTTTAGCCCTTCAAGATCTAATTCAATGTCACTTTCTTCTGATAAAAAACCATCTTCATCTTCCCCAGAATGATCTCTCAAATTTCCTGTTGGAATTCCCTATAAGTTTAAGATAATAGAATAATATAAAGGTATGCATTTCAGGGTCCAGATTACTTGGGGAGAGGCCAGGGGGCTATGGCTCTCACTTTATTTGCTTAATAAAAGATACAAACTAGCCACAAAATTTATAAAGATAAACCTGTATTTTATAAGACATACATCGTACTAGCCAAAATCTACAAATAAATTAGCACAAGCAAATACTTTTGTCACAACATTGACTCGAGAGCAGAATCACAATGTCTTTGATTTGTTTGTCATAAAACACCTGAATCAATTTGTAGTAGATTTATTTGGCATGAGCTTTAAAATTCATTGCTGCATGTACTCTATACAAAAGTATCCAATTACACCCCATGTCTTTAAATACCTGTCACCACATGCCAAAATAAAGTAGAAGACCAAATAAAAACCAAATTAAAGAGAAGAAATTGATAAAAGAAGCAGCTGCTGGAGTTACTGTAATTGTCTGCAACTATTACAGTAATTTTGTCTCTTTTCTGCTTTTCTTAAGATTTGTGATCTAAACATAACTATAAAAAGCTTGAAAACTATAAAAATATATCATAGGTACAAGAACCTATATAGCATGACAAAATCCAGCACCATAGGTGCTTAATTTTGCATATGGGTGGTAATGGGCACAAGGTAACTGTTACATGGTTACTGGTTTATAGTTTTATTTATTGTCCCTTGCTCTTTTCATGTTAATGAAAAAATGATTTTTGACAGTAAATGTAATTCATCAAAAGAGCAATATAAAATCTCGAAGCATCTAATTAATATTTTCTAATTAAGCGGCTAACTGTAGTTATTATTATTATTATCATTATAATGACAATTTGATTTATAGTTTTTGGCTATAGAAGTGTAAGCTTACATTACAACCTATATTATACTTAGGATCTGTGCAATGAATACATTACATTACAACTGAATTGCATATATGCAATGTATACATTCATTCTGTGAAGGATCAAATTTCATTCACAGTTGACAGAGTACCTGAAGAAATTTGATTTATTTTGAACATTCATCTCACCGAATTCTTTGAAATCTATAAAGAGAATATTGGTTGACTTGCAAAATATGGTTTTGAAGAATGAAATATGCATATTTTTGCGACGTGTAGGCGTAGTAGGAGAGTTAGTTAAGTTACTTAAGGAGTAGGCCTAAATCAAAACAAACAGTATGGCGAATGATGGCATTACCTGGACTTTCGGTCTTAATGAATTGCGTTTAAAGCCAGAACCATTAACATCAAGCTGGCCTGGATTTCTGACTGGTGTTGAAATCCTCACAGACATCCTCCTTTCCCTCGATCAAATGTTTGTAGCCATTGCTCAACTTACGCCTCCCTTTGAAATTTTCATTGCTCTTTTTAGTTCTACCGCCGTGTGGCTTCCTTTTGTCGCAATTATTGTCGCAACATGCACTTTGCGAGAAATATTGAGCGATGATTGGTCACATCAATTTATCTACGACATGCCGTAATCCGTCACTATGGTAAATAATCGTAAAACATTCAAAGGTCAAACTTGTATTTTGAAGAGGAGACTAGAAGCACGACTTGGCAACTGTAAGCACAATGAAAATATGAATCCTGCAAAACAATCGTAATCGTAGGATGAATTCGCATTAAGATGCGTTTATCATCATTTGTGTCGTGTTGGAAGGGGAAGAAGAGTTTACTGATGATTTTCTTGGTTTTGCAAGAAGAAATCTAAATATATAGAGGGGCGGTAGCACTAGATCAGAATCATACAACAGCCACCAGCCAGGGCAGAGCTTATTCTAAGGAAAATTTCTAGCTCCAAAAATTATCTAAGCATTTCTTGGCGCTATTCACCCCTTTTTTAAAGACAGGTTTCTTTCAGAGCAAATGCATATCAACCCACTAAATATTTTTATAGTAGTAGATGAACTTGTGACAGGAAATAGCAGCGCCGCCAAGAGGTATTGGAGGCTACAGTGCAAAAGCAGAAGTGGAAATTTTTTGCAACCATGCCCTTTAAATTAGCTTGAAATACATTTCAGGATGCTGCTTGCAGTCATTTTCTACAATCGTTTAAAACGTTTTACTTTTTAGAAAATTTTAGTTACGTTTGGCTCATTCCATTCTAAAATGGAATTCATTAATTTATGAGACCCTCTTAAAAATTCCTTCCTAATCCATGTCCACTCTCAAACTCGTGGCGTGGGCCCTGTAAAGTGCACTACTCTTGCACTTCCAGCGTTTACAATGCTGATAGCAACCTGATTCTAATAATTATGATATTTTATAATCTTTTCTCCAAACTGATATGAATATTAACTCTACTAACCAACATCGTACACTTATTTATAAGTGCAACTCAATAAAAATGGCATTGATTGGTAATGTCATTAATTGTCCTGACTGTGTATTATTGTGTTGCTGATACAGGCTCTAATATATCATAAATTTTGTTGTAAAGCATTAGAAAATGAATTAGCTTTACTCTGATGTTGTTTTGTAATTTTTCATTGATATAAAAAACTTTCTGGATGTTTGCTGGAAACGAGGCTACGATGGAACGTTTTTCTCAGAAACTTCCGATGGCGGATGTGAATGGGTATGTCTTTTCGCTAATTTATGATTTAATAGCTTTTCCTTTACATATAATTTGTTGACAGTTCAGGAGAAATTTCTACTTTTAGTGATTTGATGTAAATTGACATTTTTCTTTAACTCTCTCTCATTTTTCTTTTAATCGAATTAGACAAGATACTATTACACACGTGTGTACGCACACACAGCTCAGCCGAGTTGTTTCAATATTTGCTGGGAAATAGGCAGCAAGTAAGTTGATAAATACAAAAGAAAAGCACAAGCGTACATTAATTGAGATGATTCATATCCATTTTATTCAACAACAAAAACACTTATCATGGGCTAATTTGTGGGGTAATATATATAAGGGCCTAAGTGGGCCTAAGTGGGCCTAATGATGGGGGAATTTCCTCACTAGCTTGAATGAAGTTTGTATGCGGAGAATAGTTTGAATGTTTTACTAATTAAACAAAAGCTCTCATTTTTCTAAACATATTAGGGCAAAATACTGTACAAGTCTCAAATATTCATGGAAGCACATTTTTACTAATTGACAATACAAATCAGGTTCAAAAATGATAAGCTGCTGCACATATAAAAATATTGGCTTGTTTGTTGTTAAAAATGCTCCATCAGAGCACTTTTGTAGACAATATTCTTTTAAAAACAGGTTGCTATTACCAATAAGTTGCATTTTGTTTTTTCTATTTTGCTTGAAAGCATTTTGACTCCAAATGTTCTCTGATTATCTAGATCCTTCTATGGTAGTCCACCAGAGTATTCTGAAAGTGAATTTGATGATTTCTATGGTTGTGCCTGCCAAAGAATTTTCTGTTTTGGTCTTTGTCTCCCATTTATCTTAGCTGCCTCTTTGCTAGGAATCTGCCTTTGGATATGTTTACTTCCTTGTAAGTAAATTTATTTTATGCCTAATTTATTTGTACAAAGCTCTGAAGAATATTCATATTGCATGTTTCATCTAAGCTACCTTTTCAGCATGGATGGAATATTATACGAAAGCTAAATTTTTATCAGTATTTCATTCGTTTATCAATCAATGCAAGAAAAATATGCAATTTATGCTTAATTTTCAAATTCCACTACATACAAAACTCGGTCTAAATAAATAACTAAAAACAAATTACTAAAGATAGCTAAACTTAAGTAACAGGTTATACAACAGGATTTCATTAGAATTTTGTATGGAGAGGAATTTCTTGAGAAGGAGCTCTCTCCAAAAAAACTATTTGAAGAGAGAGCACCCCCTAAGCTAAAGACCTACAATAATCTACAGTAAATTTAAAAAAACTAATAATTAAAATACATTAATAGATTAAATTGCATTTATCACTGTTGCCATTTGCTTGCGTCTTTCATTTTAGTCCAGTTTTGCTGTTCTGATCTAACATGTTTCAAGAAGATCAAGTGCCTCATTTTTAAAGCTGTTAAGCTCCCAGTAACTTGTGCAAACCTTGCATTTGGGTACAAGATGATTTAGAACCAGGCTGATCTAAGCATTGACTTTGGAGAGAAGGTAATTTTCATGTCTACAGCTAATTTTGGAAGAAGATGTCACTTTTATTTTTAGGTAAACTTCAAGATTTCAGTCTAATTCCACTGTTCCCAAAATGAGGCAAATCAGTCATTCAGAGATTGTGAGCACCCCTTTAAAAGCATAATAGAGAGCAGATATGTACTTAAGAAATTTCTTGTCCTTTATTTTTTGGTGATTTCTGAGTATCTCACAGGATAATACCAATTTTGGAAAGAGCACCTTAACTAACCTTACCCACTGTCACTCAAAAGACTTGCCCCTTTCAGAAAGGACACTGAAGGGAAACGTAATGTACTAATGTTTATGCTTTTGAAAACCCTCTTATTGTGTTTTGCCTAATTGTGCAATAACATCCGTAGTAATAATGTGTAATAATATTTAATTCATAGCATAGCGATTTGATGACTCCCTTCCACTATAAATGTTATATACACACAATGGCCGGCAAAAATAGTTGGAACACTGAGATTGGGATTGCAATAAATGCATTTTTTATTTCATTTCAAGCAGAGGGATCCCCCTCCTCCTTAAACAACATTGGGAAGGAAGATGAACATGTCGCTAAACATCAGTTACATTATTTTGGTTCCCACCTACATTTGTCATCATTTGTCAGCATTGTATAAAGGGGAAGGGGAGATGTTGAGTAAGAAGGATGAAAAGACTGTTACAACACTTAAGTCTTTTTTAAAGATTTGCTTGTACAGTGAACTCAACCATTGTTAAGTTAGGCCATTTTCCAATCGATTTCTTTCTCATTTATTGATCAGTTACTTGATCACTTACTTTTAAGGCCAGAAAGAAAGAGTGGACCCTAAATCAGAAACAACAGCCCAACCTTGATCCTGGCAAAAGTACCAAGCATCACCTTGACAGATATGCCAGACAAAATCCAAGTGGATTTTCATCACTTACAAACTTGTTTCTGTTTCTAATGGTGACAGGATTGGGATAGAAATTTTGCACCTGCACTTCCTTGATTCTTTTCACAGCAATAAACACCAGTATGGCGAAGATTTTATATTTGGTGATGTCGATCTTAAGACAAATAACAGCTTTTTAGTTGAATTGTTTGTTTTGGTAAAAGGTTCACTTTTGAGTTTTATGAGCTTTGAATAGACTTTTGTTTTGAGCTCAAGCTTGTCCCGAATTTTATTTCAAGGTCAAAACGTTCGAATTACTTAGTCACAAAGTAATCATGGTATGGTCAAACAAACTTGTTTTTTCTCTATATATTCAGCGAAATTAAACATGATTATACTAATTAAACGATGATACAAATGCAGCTAGATCTATAAGCATGAATAATACAACATTTTATGCATAAAACAAACATTTAAAAATTAACAGTAACAGTGTGACCGCGCGACAACAAAATGAATATTGAAAGTTCGAACATGTTCATGTTACATGTTACTTGCATCAAACATGGCTTAGTCAAACGTTATCTTGATTGTCGATTACCAGATTGGATTGTACTTTTTTTAAATTATACTCAATATTTACCTAATGGCTCCCATGTTAGTCTGCATCCTGAAGATTATATTAAAACTGCCCTTTCCAACAAATACGTCAATCTCGACTTTGGTGTTTCTCTAAGTGTTAACGCTATGCTAGATTAAACGGAGGGTATGATTAAATCACCCAACATTTTCCAAATTATTTTAATTTGCCATGCATATTCCCAAAGTATTTAGAGAAGAAATTGACCCTTCCACCTTTTTTCAGAAAGATGTAGTTGATATATGCGTTATTTGTATTGCGGACATAACAGGGCACATTACTATATACAGTGGCGTAGCCACGGTTGGAAGATTGGAGGGGACAATAAGGTATCCGACAGCAAGGGGTCCGGGTGTCATCCCCGGGTAAATTTTTGGAGACCACACCCTTAACAATTTGGGAAAAGAGCCCCATTTTGTTAATGCGTCTGGGAAAGCTATGGCTTTTTTTCGTGGTAATGTTTTGCTTATCAGACACGATAACCGTCAGGTGTCGCTAATCAAACATGATAACCGTCAGGTGTAGCTTTTTCATTCTACAACTGTATATTTCCTTCACAATTCCTCAAACACTTATATTCTAAATTGTGTAAGGCGAGGAAGCTCTACGTGTAAATACTGATTTTCCAAACTTGTAAGCAAATATTTAAAAATAATAAACATGATTCAAAATTTTCAAACTAAGTCCGTTCTCCTTGGAGTGAAATCTGCAAAATGCCCAGCAAGCATTTCAGAATCCAGTTTTTAAGGATTGAAGCACTTTAGTATTTAGTTTCTTAACGAGGAGAAATTGTAAACAAACTTTAGAGGTACAGATTAATGCCTCCTGCGAGCAAAAGCGAGCAGAAAATTCTTGCGACCACGCTCTTTAGATTAGCTTAAAATATGTTTCAGAATATTTCTTACAGTACTTTGCTTGCAGTCTTTTAAAATGTTTTAGCTTTGTCTGAAATATCAATCCCCCCCCCCCCAGGTACAAATTTTATAGCGAAAATTCGCATAGCAATTTTTTGACACCCCCCCCCCCAATATTTGAGTTATAAATACGCTTCTGATACTTGTGGAAAGTAAAGTGAAATAAGGTTCATTTTCGAAAATAGCCAGTTTTTACCAAAGAGATATTAGAAACATACTTTATGACGTCAGAGATACCACTCACTTTTTTAACATGAGAAGGAGACTCATTCAATTCATTTGCCCTGCACGTGTAAACATTTTAGAAGGCCTAAATCAGCAACGAAGCCCCAGTGTGTATGATTTTAACGAAATGGGTAAGGTGAAGAGATACAATTATGCAGCACGAAATAAACACATTTCATCGACCAATGAAATTTCAAAAAATCTCAGTAAACAGGCGATCACTGCTGATAACATTGTTGAAGGAACTGATGGTGACGAATATTGTAGTGTTGCTGAGCCTAATGCGTTGATCGTTCCAAAAGAGAAAATTCCTAAGAGGAAAAACACAGATAAGGCGAAGGATGTCAAACATTTGTCCAAAAGAAAAATGAAGCAGATTGAAAAAGTTCTCGAGAAAAGAAAGAAGAGAGCAAGGGTAAGTTTGCCAAAAATGTATCCTCTATATATTTCATCCCCTGTTGCAACGATACTTGAAAAAGTGCCCTGATGATGATACTAGCGTTCAAACCGGCTAGGTTTTGTCTGAGATCATACTTACGACGGCATACTTACGTGAGACTGGACCTTTTTTGATCCTCAGGATAATGAGATGGACTTTGGCGTATGGCACAAAACTGATCTATGTAGCTATTCAATTTTAAAAATTTTTTTTCAAAATTGGAAGAAATTCTGTTTGTATTTGGAGAAGGAAAGGCAAAATTAGATTCTTGTGTGAGTTTCTCTTGTATCTAATCGTAATACCATCCTTAATAGTTTGCAACAAGTTGGCTTCATTATAGGATAATATTTCCACGACTTCATTACTTATCAAAGTCTTGATGTGTAAAACCCCTGTCTTCTCTGATGGCTAGCCTATTTTGATGTGTAAATCCTCTATTTTTCCTGCTAGTAATAGCAGGAATTCTAGAAATATTTTTTATGTGTTAAGATTTCCAATGTTGTCCCCCAAATTTACAGCCCTGCCTTTAAGCACTTCTCTGGGCATTTTGATTTTCAGAAAAATTGAAACCCCCTGCTCATTCTGACCTTGTTTCATTAGGCACTAAAGAGTAACCCAATTAGTTCAATTTTTGAAAAAGATTTCTGAGGGACATCATAATTTTTCACAAAGATTTCTGCTCTTTTTTGCTAGAGGTCAGAAGTTCTAAACTCATTGTCTCAATATCAAGTATCCGACAAAGAGCTTGCAATGTACCAATCTGTCTCAAGAATAGGGCAGACAAATTTAATTGATAAGCAAGTCAATCTGAACACACAACAAGCTATGCCTTCAGAACAAGATATTAAAAATGCACTAGTCAGTGGCAAAAAAAGAGGCAAAAGACTAAGAAAAATTAAAAAGCTGAATGAAGCAGTTCATTCAAAGAAGGAAAAGGTTGACATTGTGGTTGATGACAATTTAGATGATTCTAGTGACGAGTCATCCGATGATGAAAGTGAAGAATCAGGTAAGGAAGAGGACAATCTTGATGAGGAAGGAAGTAAAGTTATCCAAAATGAGCTTGAAAAAGCTCAAGAGTTTACCAATCTGCCAGAGGAAGGTAAAGGTCTCACCAAAGTGCCTGGTAAGTGTCTAAATCTAATCAAGGAACAGTCACTTGACTATCTTATCTGAATCTCTGAGTAGCAAATTTGAACCATCCTGTTTTATACATCAAAGGTTAAATCTCATAATGAATGATTTGAGCTATCAATTTGCGTTGCCTTTTGTGTTAATTTTTTGACATTACTTTTGCAGTAAACAAAAATATTACAAAATAATATATAAGAGTCTTTTTGTTAAGTTTGTTTTTGTTAACTTGATATTTTTTACTTCGCTAACTTTTCTTGTACTTATCTGTAGCAAGAACTGTGTGGAAGAAGTAGCACTATATTTAATTGTAGCACTTTTGAATTCCCCCTAATTGCCCAAAGTCACAAAAAAGTTATTGTCATGTAGAAACAAAGAGGGTTCCACACTTGTCAAGCATCTTTCTGAATAAACTGGCACCCACCTTTGCTAATAAGAGAATATCTACATGTGTCAATGTCTTGAAAAATTAAAGCTTTGTGATTAAATCTTTTTTCTTTTATTGAAAATAAAAGAAGAAGATAAAAATGCGCAAGAAGCTACTATGGAGCTTGAAGGGAAAGGGGCCAAAAAGGTAGAATCTAGCAACAAAAATGACCCAACAAAAACAACAGAAGCTACACAAATTCAAGAAAGGCCAGTTAGTGAGCCAGCTGTGTACGTAGAATTGGACAGGACACCAGAAGTGCAGGTATTGTTTTTTACTGCTTTTTTGTCCATATTATTGTGTTACCTTTGATCAAATAATTATTACCTTCTGTTACCTTTTGCCTGAAACATATTTAATGAACAGACCTACACTGCCGGTTACCTGATAATGTCACTATGCATTAAACTTGATAAGAGTTTCAATTTTTAAATGCCTGTTTACTCACCAATGTGTGGATGCAAGCACTTTATAACAGATTGGGTTCATTGAGATAATTGCTATATTTTTTATGAACAATATAAATTATGAAAGGATGAGGTAATTTGGATTTTATTATTAGGATTATTATCCTTTCGTTTAAACAAAACAAAACAGTTTGGATTTTTGACAGTAGATTTTAGAAGCAGAAATATGGCACAGAAATATATGACAGCTCATATAGGCTTGATTGCAGTTTTAAAGTAGCCCCTTATCTACAAGGGAGATATGAAGAAAAGACTCATGTAAAATTAAACTCCTTATTCTCTTTTTAAGGCTTCAAGGGTTCTACTTCCAATCTTGGGAGAAGAACAATCAATAATGGAAACAATAAAAGATAATAATATTGTTCTCATTTGTGGTGAAACAGGAAGTGGGAAAACAACTCAAGTTCCACAGTTCTTATATGAAGCAGGATTTTCAACTCACAAGTAAATACCAAGATTTTCGAAACTGCTTCAATGATTCTTTTCAAAAGATAAATATTCCATCTTTGTATTTAACCATATTTAACCAAAGTTAGTCCTTGAAAGAATATGATAAAACATTATTCAATTGAATTTTTGTAACAAACAAGGAATTTGCTTACAAGGATAAAGATTGTAAGGGGGTAGTAATCAATTTGCTAGTTTAAGAGGGTTTTAAATGAGAGGGGGAATCATTTAACCATGGGCTTATTTGTAACAGGATTAGTTACGTTTTTGCTAACCTCATTCATATTCAAACTGTTAATCATCTGACAATTGCCATCTGTCAATGTAACTTGTTTGAATAGCTACTGATTTTTAGTTAGTCACAAGCATCATAGATCCATGAAGCCCTTCTCCTCAGAAACAGCATCTAAGTCACTTTCTACCCTGGATGCTTCTTTTCACAGCGTACCTCTAACCAAAGCTACAATGAGAGATAGCTGCAGTTGAGGTTTTCCTTCCCTATTTCTACTTCAGTGTTTATATGTGTTTCATAGTACACTCATCTTTCAAGAACCATTCTTTAGGAAACGATTACTGGGCAATCGGAAAAAGTTAAGAAATTTCAGTACTCAAAGCAGAAAGATTAATAAAAAAACTATTGAAATTTTTTAAAAATAGGCAGGAACTCGGAAATTTCTTGAAAATACTAATGGGAATAAAAATTTAGACACCGAGAATGAAAATAATCCTCCCCCTCTTAATACAGCATTAGAACGGAAGCAGATATCTTCACAGCAATGCCATGAGCGAACGATAACAAAGTCAAACATTTTCTTTGTTTTTCAGCTGTGAAAACCCTCTCCAGCAAGTTTTTATTGAAAAATTTCTTAGCATGAAAATTAGATATAGACCCTGAATTTTAAAGTTAATGACATTATAATTAAGAAATTCTTAAGAAACGGCAAGTATTGGAATTAATATCGCAAGAAGCTGGAGTAATTAACGTCAGTTTTTGTTTCTTGTAAAGGGTGTGAGTGTAACATCAGCTCGCATTGTAGGTCTGGTGTTGCGTTTTACTGTCATGCTACCCAAAATGTGTACTGGGGTTATTCTCAAAAGCCACGCGAAAAATTGGCCTATGTTGAATACCTTATGGTATAAAGTTGTGTTTATTTGAATTTCAGACCAAACGAAGGAATGATAGGGATAACAGAACCAAGAAGAGTAGCTGCAATCAGCATGTCAAAAAGAGTTGCAAAGGAAATGAACCTCAATTCGAGGTGAGTTTATTCACAGTTGCTAATATCAATCAGCCAGAAACCACGTTGGGTGCCAGAAATTATTATCCATTTCAAATATCTCTAGTTTTGCTAGAATGACAGAAGATAGATATGTTGACCTTTTATCGTTAAGTTATCGCTTCAGTTGGCTATTTACATTATTATCAAACAGAAACTCAGAAAAAGAACAGTATCGGGTTTTTCCTTGAATTAATTTTTGGTCTCTTTGATCTCCGACTGGTCTTATAGAAATTTGAGATACTTCCATTAGTTATCATGAAGTTGAATTATAACGATGCATTTCTTTTTTAGTATTGTTTCATACCAAATAAGATACGAAGGAAACGTCAGAGGTATTTTTTGTATATTTTTTTCAGTTTAGAAATGCTACAATATAAACAGATCGTAATCCAGCGTTGGGCTTTGACTAGTATCAATGGAAAAGTTTTTTTATTCAATATATAGTTTCAAATCGGTTCAATATATGAAATGTCTGGTTAAAAAGAGAAGTTTGTTGCCTAAATGTTAATGTGGTATTGACCAGTTTATTTCTGGTGATTTTTTCTAGGATTCTTTCTATTTAAGCCACAATCCTCCCCAAAATGCCTTAAAAACCTCGAAATGATGGCATGCAAATTTTCAACGCGAGACAAAACTTTGTTTTCGATATATCAATTGTTGCTTCCAAAATTCATGTCCTCTCCCCCAAAGAATTTGTCTTTTAGCACCTAGTGTTGAAATTTCGCAAGATTGATAAAGATTAAAGGGTCTAATTAGCAAAAAGGCTTTGAATTTTCTCGCCAATGTGGTAATATTTTGACCAGAGTTTTAGGCACCATTTATGGTGAGAATTATTCACAACACTAAAAACACTCTTATCTGACATTTCATTGTTTTTTCACTTTTGTAGATACAACAAGGATAAAGTTTATGACAGACGGTGTGCTTCTAAAAGAAATGGAATCAGTTGAGTCACATCTTTGTATCATTTATGTTAATTGTGACTAATTTTCTTTTACTTTCGGATATTAAAACATTTAGCCTGTATTTGTTGTTCAATTTAGATATGAAACGACAAAGCCGTTTCTATATATTGCGATTTAATGAAGTGCTTCCTTCTTATTTGCAGGACTTTCTCTTGACGAAGTATTCTGTAGTAATTATAGACGAGGCCCATGAAAGAAGTGTTTTTACTGACATCTTAATTGGTCTTTTATCAAGAGTCGTTCCTTTAAGGAATAAGGTAACCCTTTTTACAAAATATTTTAATATCTTGAACCTGTTTATGATTTTTTAGTTCTATTTGATCAAGGTCAACATCGGTGCCGTATAGCTCAAAGTATACAAAGAAGCCATCGTCTAACAATTTCCGGGATGTGTAAATACGACCTAACATTTGAACCAAAAAGTTGTGAATAATGAAATGTTGGGCCAAATATTTTACCCTAACCAAACAATCCCCCAACATTGCAGAACATAATTTATAGTGTCCTGACATCGTGTGTAAACGACCCAACTTTTTACTTGATACGATGTTTGATCAAATTTTTACCCAAATGCTAGACTATTATGATACAGGCATTAAACAAGTTTTCTCTCGAGCCCTCTCAAAAGCCCCTTATATCCCTCCCGGTGTTCTGACCAATTTAACTCTAGTTCACATTTACCAAGACTTTAATCTGACCTAATTGCGTTTCAATATTTTTTTGCAGAAAGGAAACCCGATGAAGTTGATCATCATGTCTGCAACTCTACGAATTGAGGATTTTGTGGATAACAAGAGGCTCTTTCCATTGCCACCTCCAGTCTTGAAGGTATCTTTACTTGTCAATGCATTTCAGCTTTAAACTGCTTTTATGACGAATTTTTTTATGGTATCCCATCCTAATTTTTTAAAAGAATAATAGGCCTTTTTGCAATCTAGTTTCTTTAGCTGCCTATCTAGTTTTATGCAAAGGTCAGGCCTTAAACAAGCTGACAATGGTATTGGCTTTGGGCCCAGTGAAATCACCCATACAGCAGCCACATTTTTAGTTCTAGGCCTAGCATTTTGCCAATAGGTAGCAGGGCTGACTTTATTTTTTACTCAAGCGGTAATTACATAACGGGTATTTAAGGATTTCCAAATGTTTTGACATAGGCGACGTTATCTGCTCAGAATTTATTTAGGCCATCAAACTTTAAACCACTTAGCTCCAAAGCGGTTTACTTGGATTTATGTTGTATGAAAGATAATACGAATTGCATCCTGGGATGCGTAAAGCTTATGAAGCATATATATATAAAAATTAATTATATATATGTATAAATTTAGCTTAAGTTGACCTAATCTTAAACTGTACTGTACTGGCAGACTGTTATCGTCTTCATCATTGTAATAAGACATGATAATCTTCGTTAAGGCTTGAATATGTTGCATTATTGGTCGTTTATTGCAGATCGATTCGCGGCAGTATCCTGTTACAATTCACTTCAATAAGAAGACACCAGATGATTACGTCACAGAGGCCTATAAAAAGGTTAACCATTTTTTGCATTTCGAAAGCCCCAGCTTTAAATCAGTTTTTAGACATTCATAAAGTTTCGTAAAACGTGCAATGAATTAGAAGCAATGGTTTGATCGCATCTTTTTATATTATTTTTATCTGATGAATTTCAATTTTGCTTTCGCGATTCTGTGTGTTTTAGGCGTTGTTGTTTGAGAAATGCATTTGCTTGGAAATACCTTGTTTTTGAAAATACGTTTTTTTAAAAAGCTTCCAACAAAGATGTAAATGTATATTCCACTAAAAGGTTTTTAGATGTCTATGAACCTGTTGACAATATGTCAAGCTTTGATATACCATGTTTTGAATAAATAAAAATAAACTACGGTTACAATTTAAGTTTATATGCACTCTGTAAAAGATTTTTAAGTTGTTTGTAGGCAGCAAAAGGCATATCCAGAGAATTATGGCTTTAGAGTAAAGCTAGGTTTTCGAATTTGGAGAGTTTAATGGCAGTACTTTTAAAATCTATAACTCTTACAATGTTTCAATATTCTCAAGTGATCTCATTATAATTTGTTGTATTTTTGTAAAGGTCTGTAAAATTCATCGCACTCTTAAATCTGGTGGTATTCTTGTTTTCGTCACTGGTCAAAACGAGGTTCATTCGATGTGCCGGAAGTTAAAAAGGACCTTTGTTGCTGGTTTTTCCAAGAAATCACATACGTTCCAAGGAAAAGATAGAAAGAGAAACAAAAAGGCCGATAAAGCAAGTAAAAGCGAGGGCTTCAGCTTAGATAAGTATGTTTCCAAAAGAAATGCTGTCATCATTGTAACCAAATGCTGTCATATTGAAACGACCTCGTAGCGGATTCCGCTACCTGCCACTCTCACTCACAAGCAACAACAACAATAACTTTCGTTCCTGTCTCCTTACGCTCACTTCCTTGCAAATTACATTAACGAAGGCCATATTTACCTATATAATTGTGCCTATTTCAATGATAGCTAATGACATTTGTAAAAGAATCAAGGAACACTATAATGCACAGAAACCACCTTTATGAATCATGTACTAAATGGTTTGTAATTATGGATTTAGCTAATCTCTTCTGTGGAAGTCCTGTATGCTGCGGCGAAGTATTAAAATGCAATCAGTACTTTATGCCACAATTTTTGTTTCAGTAGAGTGGTAGAGCTTTGTGTTTCTCATTTCTTTTTGACATTTTAATTCAAAGCATATCCATTCAGTCGATCTGATGCCACGGCTAATGCTTCTACCCTAAAGATACTTCGCAATATATTTTTGTAAATGTCTTTGTATTCACTTCCAGTTATCCAGTTGTGACGACCGATAGTCTTTATGAAGATTACGATGGCGAACAAGATGGTGCGAGCGACGATTCAGAGCTTGAGGTAGTTTTTTTGATAAATGTTTGTGCAATACTGACGCTAAACAGACTTGTGGTTGGCACGAGGTTATTCAACCATTCTGTGCATATTAAAGGATATTTAAACTCATCATGTACTAATACTTTGATGCATTTGGTCATAAACAAAATTAAGTCACCCAAAACCAAAACGAGATTATCATTCGAAAAGAGGCTCAATTATAAAGGCTCGCATTATAAAACCTTGGAAGTTTAAATCCTTCAGGTAAGAGCTACAAGGCTAACTAGATTTTCGAGAAAAGAATATTCTAACATCCAACACTAAAGCTTATTTGAGAATCAATCGGTGAGTGCTGGTTTCTTAAAAAAAGTCGATAATTGGCCCAGATTTAAAACAAGAAATGTTATTAAGATTTTATTTGTAATTAATTTTAGACATTTCTTAATGAGAAGACAGATCGGTGAATTCTCTGATAATCCATTAAAGGTGAATTCTAGTGACTGTGATTCTATACAAAAGGAGTAAATTTGGAATCAATTAATAAAATCATGAAACTGCCATGTCTTATCTATAGATTTTCGTTCAATAAATATTGATAACTATTAATTTTTTATCGATTCTATTGATATCATCCTTCAAGTTTAGATAGTCTTTCAAATATGAGAACAAAGATATTTTTCATTGCGTTGTTGAGTTAAATTATTCTCTTATACGATATTACGTCTTGGCTCCTTGAAAATTAATGTTAAATTGTTGTTAGGTTTTACTTGTAACCTGGACACATGGTACTTAGATTTATCAACCTCGCCCCCTTTCCTATTATAAATATTGACTTTTTTGCTATCACATACGTACTTCCTAGCCTGAAATGAATAGTGGAAAAGAGGGTAATATGTTGTTATAAATGCGAATGTTTCTCTAGGTGTGATAAGGCGTTTGTCTCAACAATGGTCTCTTAGAATGTATATATGTATTTTGTTGACACCCTGAAATTGATAAAAGAATTAATATTATTGTCCTGCGATCATTCATGTTATGTATTTGTTGATAATAGTCTATGGTTTTTCTAGTTTAAGCATTTTTCACACTGTTCTCATCTGATTTCAGGAGGATGATGCCTATGATGAAGAAATTGATTCAAATTTACCTCTTCATGTTCTTCCTCTTTTCTCACTGTTATCGAACGAAAAACAGGCCAAGGTAATAAAACTGTTATTCTAGGTTTTTGTTGTTTGCCTGGAAATGGACGGGGCTATTGTATATTGCACTACTTTGTAATCAATGCTGCTGCCTAATCATGCTAGAGATGCAAATTGTGAATTGCTCAAGAGTAAATGTAATATCTAGCGGTTCTGCGCAGATCAACCCAAACTCCTTCCACTATCTGTGTGAGAGAACTCTCACCATTGAAACCTTCGCCATTGCGTTCTACAAAAAAAGATATTTTTGAAGATCCAACAAAGAAATATTTAAAGATATTTTATCTAAATACTTATTGTTTTATCTGAATAAAAAAATTGAACTTCCTTCCTTTTGTTTGACCAATATATTTGTATACTAATCAATAAAACTTAAAATAATGTCTTTTTTAATTCCTTTTTTATAACAACAAAATTTAGATTTTTCGGATTGGAATGAATTTATGGCTATTTCGAAAGAACAGTTTTTCCCTTGGTTCTAATGAGAATTAAGTCTTTTTACAAATTGTCTCGTTAATTGTAGCCAATCTTTCCTTTTGCCTGCTTCAGAAACAATTATTTCTGAGCTATCATTGTCACTCTAGGTTTTCGAACCATGTCCAGAAGGCTCTAGACTTTGCGTTATCTCAACAAATGTTGCGGAAACTTCCTTAACAATTCCTGGAATTAAATATGTTGTTGATTGTGGAAAGGTTAGAGAATTGAGTTTTTGCCTAGATTGTCTTATCATGCAACAAGCAGTCTTAATGTTTCTGCAATCCTTACAAACTTTATTATTTGTGACCCTTGTTATTCTTTATTGCTCATCTAGCCTTGATCTCACATCAATGAAAAAGTCTGGTCTTTTTGTTTCGATCTTTATCTAGTATGATTTTCAAATCTCTGTCCTATACCCCTTTCTCTATTACAGTTGCAGTTACTTAGCGTCTATAAAATAATGCTATGAGTACTGGAGACAAATCTTCATTTTTCGTCAGATCAAATCCTCATTCACATTAATCGCCAAATTTTCCCACTAGCTTTGCAACAAATCAGAATTTTTGTATCACACTTGATATGAATGCCATTCATATGCTTACACCCTGTGCAACTCTTATTTTTAAGGTGAAAACAAGATTATATGACAAATTGACGGGTGTCTCATCGTTCAGGTTAGTTACACTTTGTCCAAAGTTAAGACCCAATTTTCAAAGAACGGGTACATACAACGTAACGTATACGAGTGCTTGAACATCCTGTGTTTCAAATCTTTGATTCTGGTTTTTGTCAAGCTTTAGTATCGTGTAAACATTTAGTGCAAAATAAATTTTGAGAAGTTAACCCATCAAACGTCATTTCATCGTAACATTTACCTTGAATTTAGTCTTTTATCATTTTTTCTTTCAAGATATCCCATGGATCTGCCCATAGCCAGCCACAATGAAAAAGCTAAATATTATTCTTTTTCTCTTTGGACTAAATTATGGAAGAAAATAAGAGTGAATGTGGTTGGCATTGAAAATAAAACAATTTGCAAAAAAAACAAAATAAAACTGCTTGGGGGCCTCCTTCTAGAATAACTTTGGCTGAAGTACAATCTTGTTTGATTTTCTAAGACTTAAATGCAGAGATTAAAATATGAAAAGGAAATAGTCATAGCTAGATTAAGAAAATTTCTAGGATTCATAAAGCGTTTTAGGGGACTACAATGAATGCTTCACTCCATCTGCCTATTTTTCATTTGGCGATAGATAGCTTGACATCAGTTCATTCCATTACAAGTAACATAAAGACTAAGGAATTTGAATGCTGGTACAGTCTATGGCCTAAGTGTGTCGTATTTGTAAATAATTCATTCCTCCTTGTTATCATCTGTTTTATAATACTCATATAAATATTCACCTCCCTTGCATTGGAATTTCGTCCTTAGGAACGTCGAAAAAGCGTCTTGTTTCTAAGTTTTCTATCTGGATTGTCATTGCTTAACTGGTACTTGAACTGAATTATCATAACATTGACATTCTATTCAATAACAATCTTTTAATCCCAATAAATTATTTAGCCCTTTTGGAATGTATACAAATTTTAAATATTGTTGTCATTTTTTATATCGAGACATAACATCTACTTATTTTTAAGCAAGTACCAGAATCTAAGATTAAACATTGAGTACGAACTGTTCTTTCAGAATCACATGGGCTTCAAAAGCATCAGCCAATCAAAGAGCAGGACGGGCTGGCCGCGTAGAGCCTGGTCACTGTTACAGGTACTCCCAGCTTTGGAACGCAAAATAACTTATTTCTTTTTTGTAATTTCATTTATTCTTCCAAATACTACCATTTCTGGATCCAATTCACTTTTCAAAAGCAATGCCACAATTTTCAGTCAGGTCAGGTGTCGTAAGCTCCATTCCTGTTAATGGATATTACATGCATTTTCTGGTATCCCCCTTGCTGAAATCAAAATGCTTTTTTACTTTATTTTCCATTTTAGGCTGTATTCTTCAGCAGTATTTCAACATGAATTCGATGACTATTCGCAAGCAGAAATTTGCAGGAGACCTGCAGACGAGCTGCTGCTACTCATGAAGGTGATTTGCAACACACAGTATTATATGTGGCATTTTATTTATAGCACATAATATATGATATATTATATTGACCATACCCTACAGGTGTAAAACTGAACATTACTTCCCTTTGAAAAAACGTCTCCAGGGTGTAATAAAAAGTACCCCCTTATTCTGTATCTTAAAAACGATGTCATAAACAGCATATTTTGTGCAACATAATGTAATATAAAATGTAGCTTTATTTATTGTACATTTTTACGAATATTATAATCAGTATACCATGCCAGGAATAAAGGAAAAGGCAAGGACATGGATTTGAGAAGCCCGACCCCCCTTATTGTAAAAGAGGTACCCCTATCTACTTAAAGTTCTTTGGTTTTTGTTATAACAGCAAAACTTGAACCGGATTTCAGTCATCAGATAATTTGTTGGTTATTTAAAGGTTATTTGTGTTTTGTCTTATAAAAAGGATACCATATATTTGTATTGAAAGGATATTTTTCTCTTTTAAATTAGTAGCCAAAAGTAGTTTCATAAAGCTATAAATCTCTTTTTCTTTTGGTTGTATAGGATTTCTTTTGTTTTCTGTGTTGGCTTTTTAAACGAGTGTATTAGTGTATTTAGACTTAAAGAACAAGTCAATTCAATATTAGCTACGTGCTTGACAACTTTGTCGTCAATATGACGTAATGCTTGGCTGACAAAAATTTAGAGGCTCTAAGTGATCACAAACCCGCTTGGTTTCATGGAATTTGTATAGCAATCTGCTCGTAAATGTGATATAACTGAGTTTTCGAGTATGGTTAGGTTTTCTGATTTTAATAAAATTCATTTCGGTTCAAAGCACTTCTAAATCTTTGATTCATTTTTAGAGTCTTTGAAACTTACTTTGCCATTGAAGCTACTGAAGCATTATTCTTGATGTTCACCCGATTGCTACTTCATCTATAACTCATTGATGGGAATTTTAATTACTATTTTTTCACGAAAGCCAGTACTTTCAATTTTTTCCGTACAAAAACCTGTCTAACTTTTATTTTCATTACAGAATATGGGTATAGAAAAAGTTCACAACTTTCCTTTTCCGACTGCTCCTGAATCAGAAACGTGGAAGGTGTGTATCTTTTGGCTGCATATGAATAAAGTTCTAACGTATGACGTCATTAAATTCTATTTTTAAATTTTTTTTATTTTTGACCACATAGCCTAAAAGAACGCCATGAAATACTGCTAATGATGCAAACTTGGTTTAATGTGTCAAAAATTGGATGAACTATCGCTAATTAAAGATTGGGAATTTGCGAACGGATTACTGTTATCACTGTTATAGCAAGTTTTATGCATTTGATGCAGTTCAATTGAAAAGTTTGAGAATATGATTGTGTGGTGTATTTTAATGGTACGTAATGTGCTGACCATAATTATATTAAAACCAAGCTTGAATCGAAAAGTTTAAAGTATGAGCAGAATGTCACTGCCAACGACTTTATGTCAAGGTTAGGATCAAACTTTTTTAAATGACTGTAGTGATTAGTGGGTAGATAAGCGGATATACGGTAATTTTGTTATACTAAAAGGAACTACTGTTTACCTACTCTACCCCATGGTAGAGAGCCAGTTACCAAAAAAATAAAACTATTGTAGAAATAGACATTTTCTATATTTTAGGCTCGTCAACTGTGCCTCGATATTTTTGTAAATCTGTGATTTTTTATTCCCAAAAAGTGGGTTCAGATCTTTGCTACTGTATTTTTTGATGACGAAAACAAAGTAGAAAGCAAAACGTACTGACACAATTAGATCATAATGAATGTTCTTTAACTATTTGCATGAATTTTGCTGTCTTTTCTTGTTTGCTTAAAAAATGCTATAGATCAGAATTCACGCTGCCAATGAAGTTCGAGTCTAGTTTTTTCCTTGAATTTTTTTTTGAGCCTCAATTTCTTATGAAACAAATTTTTATGAAAGTGGTTCCTTATAATTACGCTTGTTTTTAAACTGCCCGCCTCCATGTAAATAGGCCCTCAGAAGAAGTTTGAATGTAGAAAGATGAGCTCTTATTATTAGTTTTATACGTCAGGGAACACTTCTAAGGGTTTTTTTGTTCTCCTTGAACTGGTGACCTTAGTTTCGATTCACGCTCGGTTTATCGTCTGTTAATGCATTTAAGACTACAATCCTTGTCGAATACACAAGCATACAGAAATCTAAACAAAATGCCCCCTCACCACTCTTTAGAATTTTGATAAATATATCAAAACTCCATTATAATTGGTGACAATCTAACTAGGATTGCACGCATAAACGGTTCGAATAAAGGAATAAACGTTGTGCGGAGGGAGGGGGAGACCATAATGACTTGGAGATGTAACTTTACTCCTAGGCTGTCCACACTAGAACCTGAATATTGTTGTGCTCCAGCTATTTTTAGCAAGGATTGTATGTCAGTGTGACTTGTTGTCAAATTCTTCTGACATTCCAGATTTGCTATTCTCGGAATCATTCTAACCGCGCTGTTTTTATCGCTGTTTTAGGCAGCTGAAAAACATCTGCTTGATCTAGGTGCCTTAGAAGAAAAGAAAGTGAAAAGAGGCAGGTCAATTGTAATAATGATAAATGTTTTATTCACGTCCACAGAAGTTAGTAAACACCTTGAGGTGATCGCTCTTTGGAACTTGTCTGCAAGAAAAATAAACTAATCCCATATTGATTTTTTCCTGCATTGATTTTTTCCTACAATAAGGTCAATCAAGTATTTGTTTAGGAAAACAGTGATGTGCAATAAAACACGTTTTATGGTAGTTTATATCTTGTTTTCAACGTACAATTCAACTCTAAATGCAGTCTGTCCAGTAATAAAGTATACTGCATGTTTATTACGGTGTTCAGTGTGCAGTAATGATTATTATTATTATTATGATCTGAAATATTTCTCAAGGAAGGTAGCTCTTTAGCAGGCTATGATTTGCAAAGGGCCCTTCATTTAAATAACTAAAAAATTGATTAACTAGCAAAAGAAATAGGTTACTTTTTCTACAATCGAAAACTGAAATATTAAGTAGTTAATTACAACCCAAAATACACTAAATTTCAAGCACAAATTTTATTATCAATTGCTGCTTTTTGTAAAGGCCTTGAAGTAATAGATACATTTAACTTTACATTAAATTTTATTCATCTTTCAACACTCAACTTTATGCAGCTTAGTTTTGTGACCCTGAATCAGTTTGGATCCTTTTGAATTTATGTACACATGTAAGACTTGACCTTTTTTTCAGGGGACTATAATACCACAGTAACTGCTCTTGGTAAAACAATGGCACAACTTCCAATTGCCCCTAGATATGCAAAAATGATATTGCTTGCACACCAGGAGAACTCCTTGCAGTATATAATTATTATCGTAGCGGCACTGACAGTTAAGGTAGGTGTACACCTTGCTTCTTGAAACCAATACAAGTTTTCTCTTACCAATAATACCGTATCTCGGTCCTCTTTTTGCATTATCCCGGCTCTATAATACTCATAAGTATCTTATTATAACACACTGTGCTGTTTCCACATGATTTTTGTACTGGTTCAGAGAAATACTGTGAATTCAAGTACACAATTCAATAGTGTGAAGATTCCGTTGTAGTGATATTCAGGGACGTCAGACGCATTTCAAATTTGAAGAGGGCACTATGTCTAACAAAAATGGGCATGTTTCAAAAAGTTCTAGAGAGTCTTAGTAAGGGGGTTTCTTCCAAAAGTCGGAGGTACGTGCCCCCTAGCTCCGACGCCCCTAGTGATTTCTAAGTCGTAAAATATCACTAATGTACACCAAATGTAAGAAAGGAGTTTCCAGTGCATATTGTCTGCAGCAAACTCAAGTTGTGTCTCCAGGAGTAAGAACGACTGTAAAAACAAAAACAAACGTTTTATGTCGTCTAGTTTTTCGTTTAATTTGAATAACAATGTCCAAAAAACTCCGGATAATCGATAAAGCAGCAAAACTAACATAATGCATTCCCTGCCATAATTATCTGTCGCTGAATTTCAACGGGTTTTCCTCTTTTCTACTGTGACATAACTTGCAAATCGACATCTGACAGCTTTCCCTTCTTTGACAGTTCTGAAAGATCTTCAGTGAAATCCATTTACAACTGTCTTTCTGTCAAAACTTTTGAAATCATGTAGTCATTTTTGTGGTTTTTTTGTCTTTTATATCAGGAAATATTCACAGATGATGTCAAAATTGATGAAAATCTCATTGCAAATGACGTAAGTATGCTAGCACCTCTTATAGTGTTTAATAGCTGCGATAATATTTACTTTTTTGATCTTGAAAGCCTGTTACTGGCAATACATTAAAAAGGCTTTACCTGCCTAAACTTGCAGTCCTCTTCTTTTACTTATTAGCTAAACTAAAAAGGTTTTCTCTGTAGGTTATAGATTTGTTAGTATTTTCTTCAGCTACAAGCGCATTTCGCCAATTGAATTGAATTTCGAGAAATGTATTTTATGGTTTTGTGGCACTGTGGCGTAAATTTGGTACTTATATGTCAGATACTCTTTAGGAAGATGCAGTGAAAAAGAAAAGGTCACTGCTAACTCAAGCAAGAAGGAAATGGGCGGGAACGGTATGTAGCAAATAGTTTTTTTGGTTCCACCAGTCATTCAATCAATTTGGTTCATTCAATTTATTTTTGAATCTTTTTTATTAATCCTGGCCTTTGGATAGTTTTTAGAGTTTTGATGATGTCGCACTCCGGTACTCTATGTAGCGTGGTAGTAGGCTTATCCGTGAGGAAAATTCCAGTCCTTTATCCTATAATAAAAATTGCCTTCCTTCCCCATAAGTTCAATGCTACACATAAAACATTTAGAGGTGTGCCACTATCAAAGGACGATTTAAAACCCTACAGAACATATCAATGGTTTTGGATAAAAAGTTGAAATTTCTAGGAGACTTGAGTTTGTTTTATGAAGATTATGCAACAGTTATGCTTAATTTTCTCCATCTTTTTGTATCCAGAGTCAAGAAATGCGCACATACTTTCTCCAGCCTCCCCATCCAATAAACCAAACTTCCCTTTCTTCATTAAAAGAATAAAAATAAGGCCATGTTTTGGTGTTTTAAACAAGATTGTTTGATTTTCATCAAACATTCTTAAGTCGACTGTCTTTCGAGGACAGTTATTTTTCTATCAATTACTAAATATTACGTTTAACAAAAACAACCTCTAGGTCACTTACTTGCCATATACAAATTTGACAAAAATGTTACAATAAAAGAAAAATCGAATAAAGAGGCTGATTACTGAACAAGGAGGCCTGGCAAGCGATCAACAGTTCCCCTAATAGCGTCTGCTATTCAAAACATTCCGAGTTCTCGGTATGTTTGATGGTTTCTTCGAATGGGGAGGCTTCCGTCCACAATTAAACAGCATAATTCATTGATATCTAAGTTCGTCACATTTTTTTTCGATATTTGACAGAGCTGATCATCTTGACTCTGTCTATATCTACGTGATGAAATGCTGCAACCTGTGGCAGCCCTTAAACTTTGAATGATGTTTTCCCAGGGAGAGAAATCATTACTGGGAGACATGATGGTATTGTTACGAGCGGTTGGTGCCTGCGAATTCGCTGGCTGTAGTGAAAAATTTTGCCAGGAGAATGGACTGAGATACAAAGCTATGGCGGAAATACGGAAACTGAGGGCTCATTTGTCCAAAGCTGGTTGGTTTCTTGATTAAGACTTACCATATTTATATTTGATATAATATTTTGTTCTAAAAATTTCTTATTAAAATTTTCATGAGGACCCCTTTTGAAGGTTTTGTTTTATTGATTGTGAATTTTTGAAGCTTGACTTTAGTTATTGTTGTCTTTGTCATTTAGAAATAGATCTTAGCAAATATTTTACCGATTCTCCATTTTTCACAGTGACCGCAATCAATCCAAATGTTGACGTTTTTGTGGATCCAAGAATGAAACCACCTTCTGAGATTCAGGTATTGTTGGATCTCAAAAACTTGTATGATATAAGAATGTATAGTATTTCTTGCGATTTTAATCCAATTTGTGGCAATTTCTTTAATACGCTACGTAAGCGGAAGCGATCTCTGATTGGCTGATAGCCGGCGTCCCTAGCTACGTGGTGGTTACGGGATACGCTTGCTCGACCAAGTAGCAGCATTTGTAGTTATGGCGAACCAAGTTATTAGTCTGTCGGGATTGGTAAATTTCTTTCGTGATGATCAAAATGTTGTGAGTAAAGGTGAAACAAAATATCATTCAGGTTTCGTCCTACAAGTGACAATTGATGGATTCGCTATAAAGGGTGTCGTTCGCGCGTCGATGAAAGATCGATCGTACAAAGTAGGCCTAAACGTAAATGGAGAGGGGCTTATAACCTCAGCAGAATGTGAATGTCCTAGAGGACAGTGGTTATGTAGTCATATGGCTGCTACAGCCATTTATGTCAACAAAAAGGGCATGTCCAAAACAGATTTGCCTAATTCATGGATGCACAGGCCTAAAAGCAAAGCAAAGAGGGAATCAGAGACGAAGACCATTTCGGACCTTTTCCCACCGACGAAGCCCCATTACAAGGCTGCCTCCAGAAGCTTTACGGAAGCTGACCGAGAAAATTTCCACGATAGACTAGTTACCATGAACGTTGACTGTCCGTTTCGATGGATTCTCTCGCCTGAACCCGACACCAGTAAGGATTCAAAAGGACCACCTCTGATAGAAGATCTGCTGCCTCTCTTTGCCAGCAATAAGGAGCTATTTGTAAAAGAAGTAGCAGTGACAAGAGAGCAGCAGCAATGGGTTGCTGAAGCAACAAAGCTACAAAGTAAGAGTCATTTGTGGGGCCAGTATAGGAGACTGCGCTTAACTGGTAGCAACTTTGGCTTGGTGTTAGGAGCAGTTAAGCGAAATATGGAATTTAATAAGCAGTACCCGCCATCGCTTTTCAAAACTCTAAAAGGGGAGTACAACTTGATGAACAAGGACAGCATAATGTGGGGAGGAATGCACGAAGAAGTGGCATGCAAACAGTATGAAGAGAAAACAGGGAATAGAGTCACTTCAACTGGGCTGCATCTTTTCCAATGTGGATACCTTGGTTGTTCCCCAGATGGAATTATTTCTTCAAAAGAAATGGATGGTCCAGGAGCCCTGGAAATTAAATGCCCTTGGAAATACAAGGACTCTTCAATCAAGGAGATGATCGAGAAGGAAATGACTTCTCCATCCCATTTCAGACAATTTTATTTAACCCATGACCTGATGCTCAACAATTCACATAATTACTGGCATCAGGTCCAAGCAGAAATGGCTGTCCTTGGTACCAAATGGGCACATTTTGTTGTTTGGACAGCTAAAGACATGCATGTTGTTTTTGTCCCAAAAGATGAGAATTGGGAGAAAAACAATATACCTTTGCTAAGTGACTTTTATCTTAACACATTATTACCATCATTTTATTTAACTGAATAATCTTTTCCTATGTTTTAAGGATAAAAAGCAGCGATATTCACAGAAAGAGGAAATCCTTGACTCACATTATTGAAACATTTTAAATAATATAAATGATCTAATTTTTTTTAAACAAGGGGGTTCAAGGTGTTCAAAAAGAAAGAAGTTGTTGTGTTGGGTTTTGTTGATGTATTACACTAAATACACTAAATTTGATTAAATTTTATATCTTCAACAGTTTCATTTTGATATGTCATATTCAACAGAGGTGTACCAAGAGGTTATAGGGAGGAGTAGCTTTTATTCACTTTGGGCAAATTTTATCTATCAACCCATCCACTCTATTGAATACCAACCTATGTATCAATAAATTAATAACAGGTTCATATTTTATTTGCACAAAAAAAATGAAATTTTTTAAATTGATATGTTCTGAATTAACAGTTTGTTGTCTGTTGTTTATTGTTATTAATCACTAGCTACACTATGATTTACTATGTGAATGCAAAAAATCACTTTTCACTGTTTTCATAGTCTATGCCACTGAATGTCAAAAGATGTATTTTGGACCAGATAAGTGTCTTATTAAAAGAGGAGGGTGTCTGACATACAGTTCATGTATCAATGAATGGGGGGGGGGAGGGCAAACCTTGATCTTATGCAGTATATAAAAAATTACATATTTGGCAACAGGCAATATGCTATTAGTGTCTCACTACTTAAATATTCCACTTATAACTGGTGACTGCAGATTAACAAGGGCTGCACAAACTTGAACAATTTTATTAGCAAGTTGTCTTTGATTGGTCTCCAAAGCCTGTAATATTTTAAAATTTCGAAGACGCTCAATTGCCCTCTCCACATGGATTCTTGATCTTGAAATTTTTCTTGAAAGTATGGCTTCAGCCTTGGTGAATCTTTCTTTGCCACTTAAAAAAGCAGGCAAATTGAGAGATACTCCTTGTGGCAGTATATCATGGAGAAGAAAACCCTTGTCTGCCAGTATAAGATCTCCAGCCTGCAAAATTTAAGAAACACAAAAAGCTCAAAAGTAAATTTCAAGACTGCTTTCAGAACATTACAACTTTATTTATTTTTGAGTGATTAGAAACAAAATATTACATTTGGGGATTAACAATTTGGCATTATTCGCTAAATACATTTGGAAAAATATATTTTGTTGTGCATCATTTACTTAAATTCAAATACAGGAAACTATTCTAACTGGACTTCAGTTGATTTTGTGCAGAAACTGCAATTTGGTTAAAAAATTTAAATTTGATATTATATGCATGTTTAGGTGTTACAAGTAGAGACTTCTTCCCCTTACCTTTAAATGGCTTAAAATATTAGATTCTTGGGTGACAACTTTATCACTGGTGCTTCCGGGATATCCCTCACTCACAAAGGTTATTGCCCCGTTAGGAGCAACACCAATGAGATATTTTGCTGTCAAGTTATGCTTGTAGTTACTGTATACAAGATTTGCTGCTTCCAGGTCCTTCCTTGGGGCTGACAAACGGAACTCTGTACAGTCTAAAATGATGCGGCAGTTTGAAAAGTCACCAAAAGAATCAGGCATACTTGACTGATTCTTGGCAAGGGATGGAACATTTTGCATCAATTTTACAAAGATAATCTCGTGTAGTAAATGAATATATGTATAGAATATATTGGTTATGGTTGTTCTGCTAACTCCAAATCTTTTAGCCAAATCAAAGAGTGGGACATCAAGCTTGAGCTTCATCAGGCAAACCAGAAGTTGATCAGAGTGACTTAAAGATTTGACTTCAAATCCATACCAATAGTTCAAAGGTTTGAAATGAGCCAAAAGTTGACTCAATTCTTCAAAAGCAACCTTAGTTAATGTTGTGTAATTCTGTATATCTTTATTATTCAAATTTTTATAACAAAAAACTTTGCCCTGGAGTTCCTTAATTTCTGCCATGGCTTCTTTTAAATCACCCTTTACTCCGGCAAGGTTCTGATCCAGATTGCAAACGGATTCTTCAGTGGATGATTGCATCGTTACATCAACACTGCTGCTCATGCTACTATATTCAGCCAAGTCTGTGGATGTTTCTCCCTCACCGGCCATATCTCCTGTAACCACGGTGGCTTCATGTTCACCTCTCGCTTTCTGAGCAGCTCTAGATTGGCGCTTTGGTTCTCGTTCATCACCCTCATTTCCCCTTAAATTCAAGCTTGGGATCGCAGTTCTCTTTAATCTAAGCCTTCGGAATTGGGCTGGTGTATCAGACCTTGGCTGAGAATAATCAGTTCTTTCGAAATGTTTGCCACACACGAATGACGACTTTTTCGGAACGAACCCGGCACGACGAATTCTGATCTCCCAAGCTTTCGAAAGCTTCTTGTCACTTGGAAATTCGTGAAACGACAAGTCGGGATTAATTTCTGAGTCTGAGTTGCAACCAAACACACAGCAGTACTTTGGCATCTCTATAATAATGTAAAACGCAACGCAAATCTACTTGAAATCGAAATAATTAATTGCTGTTTGTTTATGAGCACTTAGGCCAAATCCCGTAACCACCACGTAGCTAGGGACGCCGGCTTTCAGCCAATCAGAGATCGCTTCCGCTTACGTAGCGTATTGGCAGCGGATTCAAGTTTTATTCAATTTTACTCCATCGGTCATATTTGCTTTTCTGAGGTCAAAGGTCAAATCTTTTTTGCAGTCAAAGGTCATCCGTCAGATACTTTTGTCATGCTTGGGCGATCGTGTCGCAAAGTAAGTGCATTTTCTGATTTTGAAAATTGCAATAAATTTAAAGTTGTTTTCCCGGTTGTGATTCACCACGATGCTGTTTTTACTACGAAACTTCCTGGAGGCAAAGGAATACTTCCACCTCCCAGAAAAAAATCGATTCCAGAAAAATGTTGGTCCCAGAAAAAAATCGGTCCCAGAAACCTCATGGATGCAGTGCCAGTCTTTAAACAACACAATGACTCTACTTCAAAGTGTGTTCAAAGTGATATGATCAACAACGCAAGTTGAACATTGCAGAACTCTCCCCTTCATTTTTAAATAACCGGTCCCAGAATTTCCATTCAATAATGATCCCATATGAACGGATGTTTAGTCTGTTTTAACCTTATGTTATCAAAGGGTTTAACACATTTGTATTTTCACAGGAAAATTCCATCATCAGAGATTAAGGATATAAGCCAGAAGAATGCATATCAGGTTTGTCTATTTACAAGATCCTTGCGCTTATACGTAAATTATAGGGTTGAAGCTAACTGCATTTATCACAGTTAGGATATAATAGCAACAACATTTTTCGAAAATTTCTCTTAAGAGTAAACTAATCTAACTACAACGCGTTCCGTACCAAGTACATTGCGTCATCTACCAACCAGGATATAGGTGTTTCAGCGTATAGTCATTCTGGGCGCGACCCTCATCGTCGGTGACCTTTTCATTCTTGTGGGAGTAAAGAGCCTATTCTGACAGTAACTTTTCTAACTAATTCACAAATAAGATTTTCTGGTAATTGAATATACAGCTTGATTGACGAAGCATGAGTCCGGAAGACAGAGTGATAGCAAGATGCCGGAAGACATTATATTGGCTACCTCATTTGAAATGCTTCTCTGGAACAATTTGTACTGGCAACGCATAGATTTAGTAGAGAAAAATATGTGGGAAAGTTTGACACTATTATACTGATTGTCCAAGTCATAAGAAGAAAAAAATGTGAAGTTTTTCGCTAGTCCCTATTTGTGCCTTTCCCGTTTATGTCATCGCAATTTATGACTTTTCGTGAAAGTAAGCACGGAAGTATAATATTTGAATAATTTAACATAAATTATCATGTTATGATTACATGTATTCCCTTTAATTTGTGATTGCATTATCTGTGTAAGGGGTAGCAGAGCACGAGGCTAAAGAGCGAGACACGCGAATGCGAACTAGGCCTTTTCGAACACATCCCGGAACAATTCAAGTAGAACTGTCTAGCCAACTACTAAACATCGATATGTTTATTTTGATGACATTAAGATTCTCTGGTCAGCCAAATTTTATTATTTTCAAGATGAGATAACATGGGTTTGTTGATGTCAAAGAGTGAGTCATGGTGCATTTTATCACTTCAATCTTCTCAGTTTGTTCTTTATTGTTTCATCGACATGTTTTCCGAGTTTAATGAAAATTTTATCTTACTAATCTGTATTTGGTTTCCAAACAGCACGGTAACACAGAAACAGCCAGTGATGTAGCTTGACCTTCCTGACTCAGAGGGTGGAGCTTAATGAAAAAGCAAAATTTGCTGAGCAAGGGGATTCATTTCTATTTCTTTATGACGGCAGAATCCTTGCCGTCAGGTAGTTTTACAGACGATTTTGCTGACCCAGCGAAGACTTTACCCACTAGCTGATAAAAACTGAGGCTGTGGCACTTCCCTACAACCACTTGCTTTTTACTCTAAGCAAACTGAAAAAATAAAGCAACCCTCGTTCCGTTGTCTCTGAGCAAAAAGCTTATTTTTTCCAACTTTCCCTTTTCCACGTAAGACAGCACCGATGAGCAATGGACTTCTGACAGAGATAACGATTATACGGAATTCGACCACCAAATGCTGGCGGGACTTGAATTCTATTCTCACGACCACCACCAGTCTTTTTTCGAACAGAAGAATCGTAGCTACTGGATGTTCTAGAGCCAAGAGCTAGGTGTTATTAAGAAGGTTGCGTAAACAGGACTCTTGGACTCGAACTATGTTTGCTACTTACTATCAAGACTACTATGAGGCCACTACTATGACATAGGGACTATATGAGACCAGATACAAAAAACTTCATTCATATGAAAGGTTTTTGATTAATTGTGCATGATTTGAACATTTGCCATCCACTGTGTTAAATTTTCATGAAGTACTCATCTTTTAGTCCTATAATTGATTTTTCCGTGGGTATCCACATCTGTTGCCATTATATTTCAGATTAAGCCTGGGAGCGATGACATGTAGACAGCATCATTTTCATCTGTTTACTTGATTATTGTTCAAGACGCGCCCTTTAAAGACGGTGCTTAATTAATATAGTGACGTAACTACATGTGTTTATTCTTGAGAAACATCGAATTGATTACTGTAATCGAAAACCCACCCTATAATGTTTTTCTTTTTTACAGAGCTGTTCCACAGCAGATCCTGTTTTTATCCACCCAGCATCTGCTATGTTTGATAAACTCCCAGATTATTTGGTCTACCAGGAAATTATCGAGACATCAAAACTGTACATGAAAGGAGTAACGGCTATCGAGGAGAACTGGCTTCCTGTATTCGCTCCGTACCTGTGCACTTTCTCAAAACCTTTAGAGTCGCTCAAACCGTCATATGATATCAAGTCAGGCAGGATGAAATGCCACATGACAAGTACCTACGGTATTCAACTTATCGATTTCTTCCTTAAAGATCCTGTATCGTTTGAGGGGGGGGGGGGGGTAAAAAGACCCATAGGCTTTTGCCCCCGGGAGAAGAGAGGATGCTTGCTCCCTAAATTCGTTGCTTTTTCGTTCACGTGCATTATAAGTGTTAGAACCATGGCCTGATTATACGACAAAACCTCCGATTTAGCCGAGATATCCAAGCGCAAGGACGCTTTTCTTTCATAACAAGACATCTACTCTCCTGATCCGCAGATAATAGTTGATAAACAACCGAGGGTTATTGTGCTGAGTGAAAACTTGTGTCACTGTAGTAAATCAGGTTGGCCGGAATGAGATCAGTGCAATGTAGTTTATTCGCCAGTCTTTATCTAAAAATATGCTTAGGAAGAAAAGAAATGTTTTCACAGTTAATCAGATGTCTTGAGCAAAATTAGATTCCTACTTAAACGTCAAGGGCTGCTATGATACCAACAATTTGAGCTGCTGGAACCTCTGTGACAGTTATTATGTTTCCATGGCGATCAACATGGCTGCTGCTGTTGTGCTGAATTCACTTTTGTTGTTCTGAAGGATAAATGAAAACAAGAAAACATTAAATATTTTCTGGATGTCATCTGGTTTAGGGCCTTGTTATCTCCCGAATCGTATAGCATAATGAGAAATGTTCTTTCGTCGTAAAAAATGTCCTAATAAGGTACCGGCAGATAGTCTCAAGTATATTTTTCTCTCTCATCCGCTTTGGAAAGGTGAAGAACATTTTCCATAGACAAAACGCTTACCATGTTCAATAAGTTTGCAATCATTCTTCTGTTAACAGCATCATCTCTCGCCATGTTTTGTTGCTAAAGTAAGAAATGTTTTTGAAATTCAACTCAAGTAGAGAATTCAACGAGTTTAGAATATTCTGAGTTCCAGAATAGACTGCAAATTTTCAAACGAAAATTTCACAATAAAATAAAAAAATATCAAAGATGAATTGAAAAGTTGACTTCACGAAGCATGGGCTAGACGACTACTGCAAGGCGATGTCCGATGTGTTATTATTCTAATTTTATCTCTAATTGTTTACAGGATAATTCTTTAAGTCACCTGACGGTAGAAAAGCGCTTTATGATGTCGTGTTTTTGGGAGATTTGCTTTGTGGTTTAGGCTTTAACACTGAGCATCTAAAAAGCAGCTAAAAACGATCAAATGCCAATATGCAATTCAGCTAAGAAATCTTCAGGGCCCTTGAGTTAAATATTTATTACTTGAGCTGTGTTTAAAGTTAAACAGAATCATAATTTACCAACTGAATGCCACACACCAGCCAAATATAGTGTTTTCTACCAATACACAAACGTTTGTTGCTGAGGTCGCATTTAATATCTACAGAGAATGTATGTTGTTCTTGGGGAAAATCTCACAGATGCTGTGCATCACTAAAAACAAACACTTTCTGTTTTTCGTTGCAAAGGAAATCTTAAAGAAGAATAATGCGTAGAAAGTAATCATGTAGACAGAAAAAGTACATTCATCAATTACAATGTTGACATTGTGAACTTATTTTTCGCCTTACAGTCGTCAACTAACTACCCAAGCTTTGTGAAGTCAATTTTCTTGTAAATTCATCTTTGTTCATTGTATTTTCTCACATTCAGAAGTTTCTGGAGTCATTTAACGTTTTCATTGACCCCTGAAGATTCCCCTGTTTTATCATGTTTTATGATACGCTTGCCAACGGCTCGCCCAAGTGCTGAGATTTGGGGGAGATAAGGGTCTCGAGCCCCCCCCCCCCCAATTTTTAAAGATGCACTAATTTTCAAAAGGTAATTTTTGCAAAAGGTTTCCCAAATGTTTACATTTCTCTTTAAAATGATTCTAGTGTCACTAAATAAGGTCTTTCTGTAAACTGTTCATCCCTGTTGCCAAAGAAAAATGTGGCTTAGGTTTAAGACCTTTCTAGAATCACATAGTTATATGACTGTGCTGTGCTAGCGTTTTGCGCTAAAGAAATGAAACACACAAACAATCACTGATTTATGATGTTCTTTTTCATCCAAGCTTCTGCTGATCTCTTGTGAATAACAAACATTTAAGATGTCCCTGTTGACTCTATTCACATTTCGTTGACCCCATATGTTAGCAGATTATATTGTTGTATTATCTTCCCATCTTCATCATCATTCCACCGGTCATTGTTCAATTAAATATGTCTCTTATTTGATAGCTGATTGAGGCTCTTGACAACCAAATCTATCTTTACCCTGCTGCGCTTCATCAGTGTTGTATTTTCTTTGTTTTGGAGGATGCACTATTCAAATTCTGCTTTTGTTATTTGCTTTCCTATCCATTCTCATTGCAGATATTCATTCTTTATCTTTCTTTAGGCCCACATTCGTGGACCCTACCTGCGCAGGAGCTGGATTTCCCACCATGCATTGAGCGATTCAAATGGTTTGCAACAGCATTTCTATCCGGACAGGTGAGTTCTTACACTGATATGTATATATATAAATATATATATCTGTTTTTATAATAGCACAACCCCTTACCCCCTCCCCCCTCAAACACACACATCCCTTAGATTTCAGCATTGTGAGATTGCTTTAGAAAGCGTTATATTTATCTTTGCTACTACCAAGCTTGTAAATGTATGACGCTGAGAAGTTTTGCTCTTCTCCTAGTCCTTCCTCTAGCTAGATATGACTTCATCTCACGATTCCTATCCTGGAATAGCAGAGAGCTGGTATATGGTCATGTCAGTGACTTGAACTACTGAGCCAGGCCACTGGATCTGTAGTCCGCAAAGCTTACCACTGAGCCATCCTCACACCCAGCGTTAAAACAGTAGATTTGCTTAGTAAACAATTTTTTTTACACTGTAGGTTTCCCAATCTTTAAAAGAGTTTGTTCCTTATTTGTTGGCACCGGCATCAGTCATGACGAAGAGTTGGTCGAGGTAAGCCGTATAAACGCTTTGTTCTTTAAAGTTCTTGCAATGCCTCTAGCTATAAAACAGTTCTTTGCATTATTAGGTCTATCTTCTCTGTTCAGTTAAGTATTTGCTGCTAAATAACAGGAATTGAGGTTTCTTAGCAGTTTTCAGAGTTTTAAATTTGGAGAGGTGATCTATAAAAGGCTCTCCTTTGAAAGACAGCATGTAATTCTTAAATAAAGAGGCTAGCAGTGCTTCAAGATACAGGGCACTTTTTCAGAACTGGAGTGTCAGCCATAAGCAAGGGAAAAAAAGTAGACGTTGGATCTCTTAAGAAAGTGTTATCTGAAAATTGAGGATTTTTCCCATCTAGGCGTGCATTGTTTGTGAATTTTGAAACTGGTCAGCAGAAAAAGATAAATGTTAATTTTTATGATGATAATGAAATGTAACATTTCCCCCAAAAACAATAGCTAGCCATTGCACTGCGTACCCTCTGACCCATTACGAGCAAATTAAAAACATCCCAGCTGCAAAATTTTGAAAGAAATCACTAACAATCTAGCCTCAAAGTTTTGAAGAAAATTAGGAAGAATCCAGCCTCAAAGTTTTAGAGAAATTAAGAACAATCAGCCTGAACTTCAATTTACTGGTTCTTATAAAAAATAAGTGTGAAAGGGTTTGAATTCTGTCTGGCCATGGTCGAGTGTACAATATTTCCCCACGCGCTGTTTGCAGTTTGTTCAATTACAGTTGCTCCTTTCCATCTCAAACAAACGTCCTGTTCCCCGCAATGTCCAAAAAATAAAGAAGATAAGATAAACATATTGAAAAAAGATATTTAATTTTACATGAAAATGACTATAATGGAACAATGGAACCGCGCTTTATGTACACGAGTAACTGACAAAAGCCTAATTTGTTTACCTCAATATCTCGTGAAATGACATATTGCTTTTGATAGTCGTGAGAAATTTGAAATGTTTAGAAATGGTAAACAAGAACACTCCTTGCATTTGCATGTCAATCGACATTGTATATTGTCATCAAATTCAGAAACTCGATCATTTGATGTTAAGAGATTCAAAATGTTGCACTGAAAACTGCCCTAGACATAAATAGCCTAAAGTGTTGGTCTGCGACACGTCCCCTGAAGCTAATGCCTTTCTTTTTTTGTTTAAAATCGAGAAAAGCAGCCTTTTGTAATCTTTTGCCAGTAATTGATACTTTTCACAGTTAGCTGCTCGCGGTTTTGTGAATTCGTTCATCAAGTTAGCCAGGTTATTATTTAATGTCCGGATGAAGGCTTACAATTACTGATATTATAATGCAGGATGGGCTAAGGCCAAAAGGCTTTATTGAAGATCAACAATTCTTCATTCTCGAGGCTTAATACAACACTTTTTTTAATGGATTCACCCGATATTACATTACCAGATCGATTCACCAGATCTAAATGAAGCGTTTTTATTGTCTTTTTTTCAATTTTGAAAGATTGCAGTCATTTTTTGAGCCATGTTCCTTTTTCTGCAATGAAATTCATCATTTATGTGGCAAAGGTGAAGAATCCGGTTCGGATAATCCGATTAACCTCTTGTCAAACACGTCGAGGAGTTTCTTGTCTGCATCAACGAATCACAGGTCGCTTAGGGTCAGGGAACGCTCTCCTAACATATGACATCAAGCAAAACAAGGCACCACTCCGGATTGTTTATGTCCGCCCGTTATCTTACTATTAAGTTATTTCATGTCGTTCTTCAGAAAATTTAGAATTTTTACCTGGTACTGAAATTAATTGCTAATGGACGATCGCTTCTCTTAGTTGTGCCAATGTATAACCACATAAAATGAAATGACTATTAGAATCTTGAGTTTATCGTAAATTTAACCAGAAGTGCCTTTAAACAAACAGTCAAATATGTCCGTGATCGCCTAAGAGATTACCAGATGTGCCCAGGCTCCTTCCCAGCCAAAACAATAGTAATCCTTTGTATTTATCAATCATTTCGCAGCCAATCTAAATCAGATTTAACTAATCTGACAGTTATAAAAGTTATATGCTGTTTTTTTCACAATATATTATCTGAATTAAATAGATTTTATGACGTCGTAATTTTGCCAATCGTTGACATAGTCTGTCATAATAAGGCATGACCGCATTTAAGCTATATTATGTTATTGCCTTAACTATCGTGTTTTTCGATTCAATAAATTTATGGGAAACGAATTAGCAGCTTGCTTTTCTTGCTGTTGACAAGCGTGCGCATATAACTCACTGATCTATAAAAAGACTGGATCGAGCTTCTAATGTGACCAGAGTGTTGCCATCCGAGAAGAGGGCCCCAGAACAGCCCATGCAAAGAGACGGCAATAGGTGTTTCTTCAAACTTTGGTGTTTCAAGACAATAGGAAGCTCGATCCAGTCTTTTTTATAGATCAGTGATATAACTCTGTAATATTTGCATATGATTGTTTCCGCCTGGACGGTTTGGTTCTCCCCCCCCCCCCTGCAGTATTGTGGTTTTACAGCGTCTCTGTGGGTAGTTTCAGGGGGCGGTTTCAGAAATGCGAACAAACTTTTTACATGTCGCAGATCGCTTTATCTCGGGTTCTCTCGCGGTAGTGCTCGTTCAGCTAATTGAACATACCAAATCTCCGATGATCGAATTCCTTTATCAAAATATAAACATCGTCAGGGTGTTTGAATAAAAACTTCGACATATTTACGGTACTACCACTTTTGAGTTCATTTTAGGCTCTTACCCCCACGATCTGCATTTAGTTTCTTTTCGACACTGTTCATTCTCTGCTCTGTCTCTGCACCTTCTTATCGCATCGTTTTTTAATCCTGCTCGAACTCACCAAATCTTCACAACATTGAGTGCTCTTACAATTGAATAAGCAATTTTATTAAAATTTCTGCTTCACACTTGACATGCTCTTATCTAAAAATCTCCTTTATTGAAGTTGATTCAAATTTTCTTTTGCAAAAAAGGTTCGCCTATTCTTTAAGATTTTATCTGTCTTACACAATTTTATCATCACACCTCGTTTTTGAGGAAAAATTTTGTTGACCTCACAGTGATTTTCCTCGAAAATAAAACTTTTCCTTCTTTTCACGATAAAAAATTGCAGCAAACCTACTATCTTTCGAATCGTTCACAAAAAGTCTATCTTTTCTGACTTATGATAAATTATTCAACAGCTTTCTAAAATTTTTAGGTCAAGCGTGTTTCATAGTTTGAGAATCATCATATTTACAATAGAACTAGCCTTCAATACTAAATTTAACACCATTGAAACTCTCAAGCCAATTATTTTTATTACCATCTAATAAATGCAATCGAGGCTTTTATTCAATCCGAGGTACATCTAGGCCATAATTTGTTTGCCAGCTATACCAAATTGAGAGAAGTACTAACTGGATTTATCTTAGGAAATCCTGTTCTTTTAATAACATAGAAAGTAGACTTTGAGACTTAAAAGAATTAATTGTTCAGCATGAAATAGACGATCTAAGGAAATATTAGCTTTTTATAGCTATTGGCAGTTTTTTCTCTTTTCTATGCCCTAGTAATGACAGACTGAAAGAAATTTATGTATTTACATTTCATTAATGAATCGTGTTTTCCTTGCTATAAGCAATGAGATTTAGCTGAACGTTTCTTGGAATGAATGTCACATCAGATTATCTTTCATATAAGCAGAATGAATTGGTGAAGGGAATGGAAAGTAGATTTGCACAAAGAAAGTTTTTAGCAATGAATCGGCCTAAACGGAAATTTGCAAGAAAGAATATATTGCTTGCTATTTACGAATTCAAATCAATTGGGGCTTTAATCAGTTTCTTAACTCATAAACCACTTTTCTACGACAATTATATTGTGTTTGCTGCATATAATCCTCATATATCAATAGTGTTGATTTTCTCATTGAAGCAGGGACTTGTTTTTCTTAGACTTTTCCGAGACATTTATTCTAAGAAATAAAGCCTGAAGCTTGGGCTTGCAACTTAAAACCGTCTTTCTATACGTCCTATACAGCAATCGTATAAATTTCAACCATATGATATTCTTACATAAAGAATTAACTATAAAATTTGAATGTCTTCCCATACAGACAAAACCACTATTATTCAAAGCTTTTGTATCTTGGTGCATTTTATATTTCCTATGATACATTTGCCATGATATACTTGACTTTGTATTCTTGTGTTTCCAGGCTCCACCCTCGAACAGAAGTTCTTTTACAAACACTAGTTAAGGCAAACGTGTTTGACAAGAAGTCGTTGATGCAAGCCTGGAAAGAAAACAGTAATTGTAAGAATTACTTTCACTGTACTGTAACTCTTAAAAGTTTTTATTTTCATTTATAACAGTTGCGGCTATTGTAATGGCTTGTTCTTTCGATATTTTCAAAGTTTCCTCGGGTCTCCTATACCTTGTTTAATATGTGTAAATAAAGGAAAGGCCACAATGGCAGGTAAATTTAGGTGAATTTGCGTGTGTTTGTTTGTTCTCGGCGCGTTACGGTGTTCCTTATTTGCTACTTGTTTAATTTGACTGGTTACTGCATCATGCTCCAATGTTACTGCCTTTCCTAGCTTAAATTCTTCAATACGCCAACCACAGTGCATCTCTTGTACTCGCATTGTATTTCATTTGATTATCAACCTAACTTGCTGTATTGTTTGATGACGTCAAATTTTACTAGATGCAGAAGTAATACGTGTACAGGCTTGATTTTTCTCAAGAAGTTACCACAGTTTCATATCGACTGCTTCATATAGAAGCGATAATGTATTATAAGCTATTATCACTGACTAAGTCGTAGGCCTAGGAGGATGGCAGACTTGTAAACAGAAATAATCTTTAAAAGATGCCTACATGAGAAAGCAGCTTAATGTTATTAATGCTGCATTATGGCGGCAAACAGCTGCATCAATTTATCAGCGAGAATATTTTGTCTGCTTAGATATAGATTTAGCATAATTAATTTGAGTTAGAAAGAATGCTATTTTTTCTTTGTCACGCAAACTATTCGTAAAGTTCCTAGAACCAACGTCACATTGTAGCAAATAAAAATTTGAAAAGAAACTCGTCAGGTCTACCTAGCAGCGCTTTTAGCACAGTTGTCCTTGTTAAAATGTTACATAGAGATATAATTCAGGGAAAGCAAAATATGCCTCTGATAGGGGTGCTGGCAAATGATACAAGGCCGCTGAAGCACCATTGGTTTTCTTATAGGCATTTGACATGCATGTGTACAGCGAATCCAAAAATAATTTAGGCCAAATTGATCAGAGCACGCGTACAAGAAAGGAATTGGATACTGCTCACGTGAAAGCACTGTGCGCTGCTCTAGGATTTCACCGATTTCCAGAAAGGCGGAAACAGTTCACGTGTTTTTCTCTGTGCGCAATTTGATTGGTCAACCGCTCGTGGTCGAGTGGTTTTACCTGTGTCAAATTTTACCAAGCCACTTTTACCTGTGTCAAATGCCTTTAATGGATGGTATGGTCCCCAGAATTTGTGAAGCAAACTGCAAAGCTCTAACTTAACAGAAGCTTTCGCAATCGCGTTGCCTCTCAGCCCATGGCATTGCAGAGCCTATGTTATTTTTCATAATCTTCCAACGCAACATTGTCCCCAGATCCTTTAACTTCCTCCTACTACCAACTCATTAATAGTGTCTACATTTTTAATTTATTATGTTTATATATAGTGTTTATAAACATCTTTCATTTTAGTCATGCTGACAGCTTACTTGCAATGGATGCCGGAGAGCCTTCACAACGAAATACGTCAGAAATGGCATCTAGTGTCTTAGCCACAAGTATCTCTCTCTATGAGTAAGCCTCCATACCCGATCCAGAGCAACGCCTCCATGCCCAATGGCTATCTGACCTGGATGGTACTACCAAGATGTCACAAGGTGTGCTTGGCTTGCCCGAACCAGCACCACAAAGAACGGTTTCTTTCCAAGACCATGCAATCTTTGTTGATTCTTTGCGTTCATGGATGACGTAGAAACTATTATGCTGTCCAACTGATAATTTGAAAATCGTGTATGTCGATTATACCTTCTGTAATGTTGATTGTTGATTAATTTTAGGGTTTTAAGCCTGTTGTACTTTAATTATCATCTAGGCTAGGATTTATCTGATCGTGATAAGATCTAAAGAAGGGTGGATTAAACAAGTGAGCATTTTTACCAATCAACATCATCACCATTGGAATCATCATCGTTAATCGCTCACCACCAGTCATCATGATCAACCATCATTGATCATCACTTATCATCACCACTCCTCGTTGTAGTCACTATCACCACCAAGGAGGAGAATAGTGATGGTCTATGACGCAGGCTAGATCAATCATGATCGATCACCGTTATCGCCACAACACATCACTGTTATCATTTGCATCGTTGCAATAATCTTGAAGCACTATCCTTCAATTTCAACTTCAACTAACAGAAATTTTTAAAATGTAAAAATCCCATTTAAACGAAGGTTTCAACAATTTCATTATCAGAACTTTCAGTTAAGGCCTTGACCTGTTATGTCTCTTTTGGAATATCGCATGGCACATCCATGTATCCAATGTACGGCCGTGTTTATTTAAACAGGCTTATTGATCTTAAAGCTTCAAGTGACTTGACCCGAATAACCCTGTGGTTTACCAGTGTACCTTGCAAGTGCGATCAGTAAATGCCCATTTTCTCCGGACTTACAATTCCTCTACATACAGGTATGAACAAGCTATCTTGTGTGGCTTTAGCCCCCCTCGCCCCCCCCTCGCCCCCCCCCAAATAATAATTCCAAAATATACTTAATACCATACAAAAACTCGCCCTGCTTTCGGTTTTTTGCATGTTTAGCCCCCTCAAAACGTTTTAGTCCCCTCAATCTGTAATATGCTCCGCGGTACGTGTTTGAAAGTGGAAATGGTAGGATTTCGACTGAAGGAAACTCGGTAAAAACTATAGAAAGCACAAAAATGAGGCGCATTTGATACGTGTTCAAAAAACAGTTTGCAAGTTGTATTCCTGAAGGCAAGTACTTCATGTAAAGATACCGGCATCTTGATAAACTCTCGCGTCAATGAAGGCTGATTCTTTGGTTTGATTATTGATAAAGATAAATTTTGTCGCAGAGATGTTGAGACGGCCTGTTACTTCCATGATGTCGGCAATCCTTCAAAATATGTTTGTGAAATTTGGGCGAAAATGTTAGTAAACACAGGTTGAAAGGCCGCTTGCTTATCTGTTTACGAAGCGAAGCAATTAGCAGGTGCCTTATTTCTGGACAACAGATAAAGTGACTTGGCTGTGCTGTTTTGACCATTGCAAACTTGTTTGACGTTAGAAAATGCTTTGCTTGCACATGTTTAACATCTGCTGACGAAGCATTTTACAGATTTGTTTTCATAACCCCCTTCCCCTTGCTTCGTGAGTGCACTGGCAGAATGCCGTACGTACTTTTTCTTAATCAATTCATAAAAATCTCGGGGAGGAAGTTAACATGACTTTCTGATAACATCACAGTAACCTAGTAAGATTATGGTCAGTAAAAAGTGTTTAAGGGCGTTGCGATCCAAGAAAAGGTTTTCCCATTGCTTGGGAACAAGTTGACAACTGTCGGAAAGCGATAGAATATTCTGACAACAGAACAACAAGAACCAAAAACGCCCCAAATAACTTTCCTATGATTGGTTAATTACATCCAAGTGACTATTTTTAAACACTAGTGGGCCGGCGACCCGGGTTCCCATTGAAGTTTTCATAGTCGGGAAAGTTGAGCTCAAAGCAACTCTATGACAGCACTAGCAGTATGCCGTACGTAATTTTTCTAAATCTCCTGACCCTTGCGATTCACAGTCTGCGCAGTCGTGATAATCGCAAGAAAGCATTCTCATTAAAATCAGGAGACCAACGCAGACTGTCACAAACCGTCGCCGGCCCTCTTGCGATCTTATGAAAATCGGGCGTAATGAAAAGGCCTTTGTGCACAGAGGGTCTAGCCCGGTCTAAGCCAATCAACGCACAGGTAGCTTAATCGGAACCAATCAAATCACAGAGCGCCTGAAACCATATCATCATTTGATTAGTTGCTTTAAAGCCTATTAATAAAACTGAAGTCTATGTGGACACACTGCCTTAAAATTTGATATTTGTTGAGCTTTATTATTATATCATGGGTAAAAATCTGGAATTCCTTGGGGCGTCGAGAGTCTTTGAGTCGGTGCCTTGGCGTGTTTATTTTCGCATAAAATGGCGGTAAAGAATGATTTAGAGATAAAACTAAGCAGATTGAAGATATTTTTCCGTCGTAAAGTTTAATGATTAATTCAGCATTCATCATTATTTGCATTTGCGTTCGAATCTTTTACCGTAAGCTCAACCTGTTAAAAATTCAATAGTGAATTTAGATTGTGGCTAATTTCCCGCTCGTCGCTGATTTCTTTCAATAATAATTTATAATCATAACCATTTCCGAAATTATGTTTTATATTCAGTACAATACAACTACGGTATAAAAAAGGAATAAAGGATTTTGAAAGCTATATTTTCTACTTGCATTTAAGGGCTCCATTTGTTAAGCTTGGTAGGATGTGTAGAAATACCGACATTATTTTCATTTCCCCTGAATTTTAGAAGGTTCATTTGTTTTACAGGCTTCATCTATATATACACAAATTTACTAGACGATACCACAGGGAGCATGGGAAAACATAGCAACCCTGTGGCAATTTACATTCAACATATAAAACTGAATTAACTACAGTTCAAAGATGCAAAATGAACGAAAATAATAAATAGAAACTATTACAGGCTTTTGAGTGACAAAAAAAGAACGAAAAGTATTCGAAAATTAATGACATGAATATAACTAGCGCTTTGTTCCAGGAACAAACCCTCTCTTCTCCTTCTTGCCCCCTCCATGTCTTTCCCCTATCCCCATTCATAGCGCACCTTTATGCGTCGAAGAACATATCGTGGCATTTGGAGACCACTATGGAGCCCAGCCGTTTGTATCTGTCAATTTGCTAATATTTTTTGCTTCATTTTATATTTACAAGCTTATTAATAGCAACCAGGATGTTTTGTGGACCACGTTTTCGACTGAGTTGGTATTGAGTTGCTGGAAGTCCTCCAATCGAACCACCCGTGTTTAATAAAAACAACAGACAGCTAAAATAGACCACGAAAACAAACGTCGGGATGGAAAACCACGCATGAAGTTATTCATTCAAAATACAATTCATGGTCTGGCCATGCCCAAGACTGAATGAGGCAAATCATTTACCAATTATTCAACGCTGCTGATCAAATTAACAACATACTCTGTACAACCAGAACCGTTGAATTTTGGGTAAGCTCTAGAGATCAACAAAATAGGCTCGAGCCGGGCTCTTTGTGGAGCAGGTGCATATATCTTGACTTTGTATGCGGTTCTGCCATCTTGTAAAGTAATGAATCCTATATTAACTAGTTTGAAGGTGTACCCCTTTCAGTCCCTGAATTGCCTAATAGGAGGGCTATTTAAAAGTAGGGACATTAACTCAGATAAGCAATTTACCTTATGTGGGATGTTTCCAGTTATTATAACTTACTACAGTTATGTTCTTGTACCTAGAGCTAGAGAATTGCAGCTTTGGAATATGAAATATGCATATGAGCTCTTCTGCTTTTTAAGGTCGTCCATAGCGTAATAGTACCAGCCGTACCTTTTCATGATTTTACCAAACTTGACTTGTGTTGCTGACAGCCCTGTGGAAGGTAACTATAGGAAATTAAAAAATTGCACCTTGTTTTTGCTTGAATGTTTCCAGCAGTATCTCAAATATTTGGAAACAGGTTTGAAGGAAAATTTAGAATAAATTGGCTAAGCAAGTGAAAGCTCACCTCGATGTCCAACGGTACGCTAACAGATAACACGTGGTTTCGGCGTTGGGACATTCGTGTCATTGTGTTTACTAACAGTGCAGGTATCAAAATTAGATAGCCGCCATGCAACGAAATTCTTCCGTGTTTCGTTTTCGTTGTATTTATCACAGGTCCTCTTTCAAAGAAAACTTCGGATTCTACTTAAAAAATTTGTCAGTCTTATTACGTAAAACTCCTCAACAGCGTAAACCAATTTAACACCGTCACCAGATTGCCATATAAACCCCCTGCAAGGACCGAGATACCGGGGAGCCAGGGGGCCTTGACCCCCAAAAACTTAAGTAGCATCTGTAAAATACTTTTATTATGTAAAATATGGCTGTTGTTAAACTTATCTATTTGGGCTGCCTCCCCAAACCAGAATTTGTATCTCTGTCTTTGACCCCCTGTCCTGCAAGGCCATCCAGACGAATAACGGATTTATTTCTTGGGAAATTTTTGCTTGAGTGGAAGGTTGCTGCAAAACTTTATAATTTTGAAATGCAATCATTCAGTGCCACAACCCAGTAGTTGCCAACCCAACATACCCCCGCCCCCGCCCCCCCCCCATGCTTCGTCATTTCCACCATTTTATCCACGTTATATATCAATCTCCAATGGCATGTTTGAATAAGGAATTGAAGCATGACCTCAAGACTTCTGTCCCCACATTTAGACACCCTCTCTCGAACTGGTTGAAGTTTCTTGCCGTTTTTTAACTTTTACTGTCAAAGAATTAAAGATATAAGCATACACTTCCAAAAAAAGACGGTTTTATCTCAAATAGTCAGGCTCTCGCTCTATCGTCCCTTCCACAGAGATGAAATTGTCCGAAATAATGCCTTGTCCACTCACAATTTCGAAAATCAGAAGATTCTCAACAAAATGTTCTCTGGAAATAAACAATAGGCTATAGATAAAATGGCATAGAAAACTGGAATTTGTATTTTCCAATGAGGTACTTCTTCGGTATTTTCAGAAAAAAGTCAGGCTAGTAGCAGGAATTTTTTCTTTATTAATTATATACAATATTTATTCAAGTTTTCAGAAAGTAATGATTGGATTAAATAAAACATACTAACTAGCTACAAAGTCTCGTCTTCATAGTATGATCGAAAAATTTTATCTTAGTTTCCTTTTCGTAACTTCCTGTCTGTCGTAGCATATGAAATATGATTCCACAAATCTAATGTGTATCTGTGTATTCTAATCTTCTTGGAGGGGAAAAGGAGAGAGGAAATCCTTTATTTTGTTCGTAGCTGTCTGAAAACCGCGGGATTGAGTTTTGGCGCAAGTTTCCAAACCATTGCTTCCTGATCAAAACAAAGGACATTGGAAGAATATGATTGGTTTAGAGACACGGCAGATACAGTTCTGGACTCTGATTGGTTTATTAAACAAAAGGCAAATTGAAGATCTCCAGTCTCTTTCCGCACCATAGATTTCACATCAAAACAACATTGTCGGGTTCGAGTATAAGCAGTGAAATTTTTCTACAACTGACCAGCTAGGTCACAGAAAGTCTTGAGAGATCTTGCTTGGAGTTTATTTTTTAGCCTCAGACTGGTTAAAAGTCAACATGGTGAAGACGTTTCGAGCCTACTTACCTGCGAATTCTTATCGAAAATATAGCTGTGTTCATTGCCGAGCACATTTGGCTAGCCACGACGATCTAATATCGAAGGTATTCCAATTCTGTGAAAACTTGGAACTCTTGCCAACTGCTAAAACAATTTTTTTAAGTTTTTTGCTATAAAACTCAACTTAGCTGTTTTTTCTTCTAGTCGTTTCAAGGAAGCCAGGGGAGAGCGTATCTTTTCAATTCAGTGTAAGTTTTGTTGTGTTTACTTTCTCTGTCACCATGCTTCCCGTCCGAAAAATTGGCCTATATTTTCGTTAACTTGTCCCAGTGAAATACAAGTTCGTCAGTAAAGTATTATGTGTGCAAATTGAAGATGCTTTTCTGTCTGGTCTGCTTCTCTCTTCAAAGTCTTTATCTGAAATGTAAAGTCGCCTTTCGTTTTCCATCAGAGCTAGAGTAAACACGAGTTAAAGCACATTCAATATTTTGATCGTGTTTTCCTTGTGTGATTTCCCAAGGCGAATCCATACCTATTATTCTACTATGATTCCTTTGCTAAATTTCTCCATTTCTATAATAATTTTAGTGTGAATATAGCATGTGGACCTGCTGAGGAACGAGTCTTACTGACTGGTTTGCATGCCGTTGCCGATATTTACTGTGAAAGTTGCAAAACAACATTGGGCTGGAAATACGTGAGTTCCCTTTTGGCTCCAGTTTGATTTCAAAGTAGCATTGATTCATGTGTTATTAGTATTATTTCTAGTTTTTGAATTATCTGCTCGAAAATGAAAGAACTTGTTTGTTATGAAACTTGTTTATCAGAAACAGTTGTCTGCTAATTTCACAAATGACGTCACAATTATTTATGAAGCTAGCTTTTAGAAGACTGGTCTTTTTGTAAGAAAATCCGAAAATTTTATGGTTTTTCCTGCGATGTTGATGATAGTCCAAATTTGCAATATTAGATCTGTTCGTGCAAAACTAAACGAATTCTGCTTAAATCGGCTTTTGCCTGCGGTTTTTGAAGGTCCAGCTTTCTACATTTTTCTTGTTGTTTTCTCAAAGCTCTCGAGTCAAGGGCTAATTTCTGGCGCGTGTCTTGCTAGTCATGCCATTCTCATGGTTTTAGGAGCACGCCTTTGAATCTAGCCAAAAGTACAAAGAAGGCAAGTTTATCATCGAGTTGGCACATATGATAAAAGAAAATGGTTGGGAGTAGCAGACTTAAAAAGTTTATTCCAAACCAAAGCAAAAGTGAAAGAGTTGTATATAAAGAACTTTTTGGCATTACATATAAAAAGCCAAGTTTTGATAAAGGTCTGGTGTCAAGCCGATGTTTGTATTCAGTTCCAAGATGAAGGCATGGTGAAATATTATATATCATATAAAAGGTGAGCATTTATAAATTTAAGTTATTCCATGATGTATTATACACATTTATTGGGACTTTGAAACCCTGATTGAACCCAAAGGCCCCAAAAAACAAATCTGCAACCTGAATGTAAATAAATCTATGAAATTTTTATCATTTTTCTAGGCCAAGCCTGTTATGTGGATAGTATTTTTTGCTAATCAGTTTAAAGGGACCATAAAGATATACAAATTTTCCATTAAAAGCCATAATTTACATCTTTTCAACTTCAAATTTTATCTTGATTTTGAAAATATCCGATCAATCAAGAAAATTAAAAATGTCCCACATTACATACCCCCAATAAAATTTGGTTTATAAGAATGTTGAAATTTGTGATTCTCAATTGCCTTAGGTTATTAAATTATTGTAGATATTTGTAAACATTGTAAATTATTTCACATAGAATGTATTCCACAATATTGTGTTTAAATTGTAGTTTGTAATTTTAATTTATAATTTTTTGTTACTTGTTGGTTGAAATTTTGTGTATATATTTATATTTTTCAGAAGGCATTTAGTAATGTTATTGAATGACTCAGAAGGTCTAGTCTACAAAGTTTATATTTGCCATTGAGCATATTATATTTTTTAAAAAAACCATGAAACCTTAAGCAAAGCAGTAAGGTCTCTAAATCTGCTATTCTCAATTCGACTCACTGTTACAATAACTTCCAACTCATAGACCTAGGAAGCATTTCAAAAGTGGAGGGGGCACATTTAGTCAAACAGAGGCATGGCCGTGAGCTGCAAAAGCTACTTTACCACTGTACAGGGAACTTCCCCCCGGTGCCCCATGATTCCTATATCTAGGTTTCAACCTATATGTCTTCTGTACTGCCACTTCCTGTTTTGTTGTTCTTGATTTAATATTTAGTAATTAGATGCATTCCAGCATGTACCATGAAACTGTAAATGCCTTGTAACTTCTAGTTCTGTTTTCTGAACTGTAGCTGTTTTGGATGGTGCAGCTTTTACAGAAGATGAAACCCTTTGTTTTAAATTATATCATTCTAAACAAGGCTAATAATAACTTTCATATGTTGTGCTGGAATAGTTAATGTTGGGATGTGCTGGTTCGCATGCCCAGCTAAAACTTCAATCCAGCTAGTAAGGAAATCAAAAACAGTGAATTCCTATCTATCAATTGAGATTTCAAATATCAATTTATACTCTCGACATTCTGCCCTTCAAACAAGCTCATAGTAAGTATTTGCCTTAAATAGATATTTCATATCAGATTAGTCGAATCTACTTTTAATCTGGCAGCGGCAAATTAAGTTTGGGTTAAGTAGACAAGAAATGGAATCCTACAACATCGGCCTTAACCCAGCTGATGTTTGCTTTAGGTTAGGTTTAGGACTCCTTATCGAGAATCAACGTGATTAATCATTGATTGATCATTGAGAATGACTCCCCGCCTAGATCAGACATGATTGTTCAATAAATCTCGGCATTTCATGGCCAGCATTTGTGTTTTGTGTGGATATCCTGGAAGCATGGTAATCCAAAAATGCACAGAAGAATTACCGTAGATTAAACTGTGGATGATGTTATTAATAATTAAGGCGTCCGAGAAAAGTCCATATCAGCCTCTAGTGTTCTTCTTGAACGTCGCAACCCGAGAGCTTGAATCCTGAATTCGAAAATTTGCTTACAAAGAAAATCTGGTGGCATTCGTTTTAAGAAACCTGTTACCGCAGGTAAATTAACAGTGCGCTATCAGATATTCAAATTCAATATTTCATTTATTTGTCAAAAGAGCGACAGAAAAAGTTAATTATTTTTGAAGAAAATACTTTAAAAGATTCCATCTTTCGCCATCATTGGCAACTGGGACAGATACGATTGCACATTGGAGAGAGAGAGTGAGAGGTTTCCAGGGACATGGAACGAACTAAGGGGAATTCAGATACCTTTTAAGAAAGGTTGAATATAGCATGAATGTTGAGAAGGAACTTTTCCCTTGAGATAAGGGGGTTGAGTCAGACACCCCGGGTCTGACTTTCCTTTATAGGTTGACGATTCAATCAATGGCTAACCTTGAATCTGATTCCAGATTGTGCCTAACCTCCGAGGCTTCTTACCTCTTTTGGTTTTCAATTTTAAGAAATTTTTGATAAACTCTTGGAGAATTTCGCCTTCATACGGGCTGCACCATCCATGAACGGATTCGTGTTTGTAAATAGCGTCTTCACTTCTATGTGCTACGACTCGAAACTTCGCTCAGAACTGGCGAAATTTCGATTCGAGCCTTTCGCTATTCGTTTTCAATACCGTTGTTTGTAGATATTGGGGTAGTTAATTTAAATTCTAGAGAGTCGTCCTATGCAACTGTAATTGGCGATCGTTGTTGATGAAAAAACACTTCATGTTTATTTTCGCTGCCATTTTTCTGTCCCATCTCCTCTCTACGCACAGTAACGTGGAATTGTTTCCTAGATTCTACCGCATTAAAATACATAAATGTTGTTTAAAAATCATCTCATTGAAATTATCAACTTAGAAAGTCAATCAAACAAACTGGGTTAGGAGTTTTTCTAATATCTTGTCAACAGATTGCACTTGTCGATCTTAAGGACAATACACAAAAACCCTGGTAGCTAGCAATGAAAATTACGTCATAGCATAACTATCGATGCAAATTGTTTGCTAACTGAATCCATTTTTGCAGAAGCGAAGAAGTGTATATGTTTCATGATATACGTGTTATTTTTTAGGGTTTCGTGACCACGCGGCTTTGCTAAATTCAAAGCTCGCATTGGGGAAATCTCAACCACTCATTTGGAATTTTATGTTGCTCTATGTTCTCCTATAATTGTCGGTCTCGATTGCCGAACAGCAAGGCATAACTAGGCATTTTGTTTTGCAATGGATCTCAGTCGATTTGTGACTATTTGACTCACGCTATCAAACCAATTTGTTGTTGAGACATTGACTCACGAAGGGGTCAATTTAAGCACACGTTGAATGAATCTTTTATTCCTGTTTATTTAGTGGAAAACTCTATTTTGTTTCGCCTAGAGAAACAAGGGATTCTCTCTGTCCTTAAATCATCACTTTCCGGAGGCGGAAGTTGGCACAACTAACGTGACTTGAAAAGTAATTTCCTGGAAGCAAGAGTGACACCATAGAATGATAACGAAGCCATGTCTGAACAGTGGCGGATTAACCAATACTAGAACCGGGGGCCTTAAATACTAGGGACCGATTTCTGCCAAGAAAAATAATATTATGTTATAACAAAGAATTAGCGTCATTAACGTATATTGCTAAAACTTAAAGCAACAAGTTTAAATGTATGACAATTACACTTTAGGATAAAATGCAATTACGAAAATGTCACGGCGTAAACATCGTACGGTATAACATGCGTTATCTCAACACTATTCTAGTATTTGAAGCTGCAAAGTCAGATATAATGTCATCCATCGAAAACATGTCCATTACATCATGGTCGATACTGAGAAGATACTAGCCTGCGCGCAGACCCAGTATTCTGACTTTCTTCTTCAAAATACTGGGTCTGCGCGCAGGCTAAGAAGATACAGGCTTCCCAATCGAGTCTGACCGATAGTTGATCGCAAGTATTTGTTTGCGTTTCATAATTCTGAAAGACCTTTCGCCGCTGCAGTTGTCATCATTGGAGACAGAAATCATTTTCACTAAAGCCTGATTTACACGAGTCGAATTTTTCGCTCGAAGCGACTTTTCCGCCACGAATTTTTAGCGACGAGTTTCTCTCGAATTCGAAGTTCAATTCACACTGGCAGAAATTTTTATGCGAATTCGCTGTGAATATTACAAAAGAATATAGCGACTGTCCGAAATGTGTTCTTATCAGCAAGTTTAAAATTCTAAATTTATCAAAAAGCGAGTAAAACAGCAAAAAGCTATACTGGATTACAAAAATTTTTCAGGACATCTTCAGAAAGGGGAATTCCATCTTTCGGTAAGAGAGGTTTATGTTGACATTCATAAGATCAGTATAACAAATACTTTCAAAGGTCGCTATCGAAGCTTGCAAGAGCATGCGAGATTCTGTTAGTGCATCTGCTTAAAACTGTTGCTCTTGAGCAGGCCAATAAGCAGCCAACAATCCAGCAATTTGAAGAAATGCTTGCCTTTTTTTTATTTCTGCCATATTGGTAGAACGATGAAACTTTCAAGCAAGTTTTCGTCAATTTGAAATTCAAATGTTTGAATGACAATTTGATATGAATCCACTTACATGGATTGTGTACGAGGAACAGGAAATGAATAATTACCAACCTATTTTATTGACGTTTTAGGCGAGAGTGTTTGAGAGAAAGAATGCGGAAAGACGTAGGCCATCTGAAATCAAAACAGATATCTGGTGTCTTCGAATGCTGTTCTGATTGGTTTATTTTACAAGGCGAAAAATTTCGCAGCGAAAATCGGAATCGGAAAGTAGGAATGGTTTCTACTTTTTCGCTGCGAATTTTCTAACCTCTACTTCTGCGCATATTTTTCGCGCATTCGCGGCGAATCATTCGCTTCGCACGAAAAAATTCGTCTCGTGTAAATCAGGTTTAAGCCATGCAAAGTCGGGTGCTTTTCTGGCCATTCGAAATGACCAGACCACACTACAAAAAGACAGGCAACCATTTTATTAACGACGAAAATATGCTTGACTCTTTACTTTTTCTGATGAATTGCTTCGCGAAAATGTAAACAGAAAACTTTCATTCAAGCTCATCTTGAGCGATGAAATTAATACATTCCAATGTTCTTGTCATCCCAACCTTCCCTTCGTTACAGCTGATGTTTTCACATTTTTGTAGAAAGTTGATTTGTATTAAAAGAACTTTCCATAAAATACCTTATTCAATATAGAAAGCTAAAATGATTAATTTGTTATTTAAAATATCAAAGATGTCAAGAATAAAGTTTTACTTCATTTTTCGAGTTTATAACCTACCTATTTTTTAAGTGAATTACGCAAGAACTTTCTTTTGTCGAGGGTAACTTCAATATACAGTGGTACGGGATGCGCCATTTTTTGGAGTACCATCAAGTATGAAATGAATTGTCGGTTATCGATCTTGGTAAAATCAAATTGGTCATAAGTTTTGGGATTGATTTTTGGCATGACTTTAAATTTTAGGGTATTATTTTCAAAAGAATAGTAATATGTTCTCATTTACTTGATTGAGCTGTTAAAAGTTTCGTAAGAATGATTGGAGAAGAAACATTAACCAACTTTTCTAGCAGAGGCACTTTTGTTTAAAGTTCAAGGCAACTGGTATTTTCACAGCAAAATTTCTTTCTATCATTTCCTGAAAATTTTGAAATTTGGCTATGGTAACAGAAATCAATCAATTAATGTCCATAGCCAAGTAGCCGTAAGTGCACTTTTTGTGAGTTCACAAAGTCTCTCCACGTATTTCGGTCAGCTGTACACTTTGTGGCATCGTATATGCTCATTGTCGTCCAGTTTGAGATATTTGAAATCCAGTTGTTTCTTGGCTTTCCACGACCTCTTTTTCCTGGTACCCGTCCATGCATGATTGTGTTTGCTAACTTAAGCTCTTTTTGATGTGGAGATACATGCCCTAACCATTTCATTTTCCTTCGTTTGATCATGAACAGCAGCGTTTCATAGTTTTCACTTCTAACGATATCTTCCTCGACACTTTCATTCGTTCTGTGTGCTGTGTACGGGATATGCAATACTTTCCTGTAGCATTTCATTTCAGGTAACAGAAAAGGAGACGTTAAAACGTGTATTCATTAACCTTGTAGTTTTTTCAGTTATGGCACCACGAATTTTGGCACGATGCAGCCGCAAACACGGAAATAATACATAATTGGCTATTGTAGATAACGATATATATTCAAACCTGCATTCAAAAACGAACTTTCAAGAAACTGCAAAATTGATTATTCTCCAAAAAGCAAGAAAATTGGGAGCTCGATTTCTTTCCATTTTCTGAAAAATGTTTATTTCAGATCAAAGACTCGAGGAACAAAACATTAGAAGCAATCGAATGCAATATATAGAACCTTTCCTTCATGTTATTTAGCATCTATCATGAAGACTCCCTCTTTCCTGCTGTTATTATATGTTTTTCAACAAAAATTCCTTCAATGCAAAATTGGACAGTCTGACCCTACAAAATGGAATCGTTTTTATGTGGGTTTTATATGTTGATGAAAAACTATCCTTAAAAAGAAAGCAAGCGAAGAAGACAAGTTAAAATCTTTCGCATGAATGCATGATGTTACAAAAAGAGCCTAATGTTTTCTTTTAAGATAAGATCTGAAATCATTTGTTGATTGCACTTTAAACATTAGGCAGAAATTGCAGCTCCGAGAAAAATTAAGTCAGAGACCATTCACATTTTGATAAAAACTATGAGCTAGCATTCGGATCTACTACAAATAAAGAACAGCTTAAAAATAGCACTTAAAATCAGCATTTAAAGAGACACAAGGAGGAAAAACGCCACTCAAGTGACACAAGGGTCTTTGCGTGAAAGTAGTTGATTGTACACATACCCGCCTTGCCTCGAAGCCATCATAGCGTAGTACCTCTAAGTTAACGGGATCTGCCCTTGGCCGCTATGGCCCAGGAAGGCTAGAGGTGAACTTCTTCCAGCTCTGACTTTAGGCAGATTTGATGAATAAGATAACTGGATAGGGAAAGGGGGTTACTATAATAATGATATTTGTGGAAGGAGGAGCATTATTTGCACGGTAAGACGTAAGGAAACCGAGTTTATAGAACATATATTTGGTAATGTGTTAAAAAGTACAAATGACAGCTGCAAAAAGTTTTTTAAAATAAATTGCATTATGAAGCGGTTTTGAAAGGAGAACACGATGTCCAAGAGTTTAAAATAATATCCCACGCTAGTCAAATCTGCCAATGAGAATCTAGATTGACATGCCCAGCCCTGTTTAAGAGAGGGATGTTTATAATTGCGCATGAAGAATTTGAGTCAAGACAGTAGATGCTTACTAAATCCATCAAAATTATTACTTGAATGGCAATATTCTTCAGCACAGATCAATAATATAAAATACACTAATAATCACGAGGTTGGGATTACAAATACAAACACGTCCTTAACAGAATTTCGGTTGTTTACATCAAATATACAACTATTTTTGCCGACTTTGACGATTAGAGTTTCTAATAAAAGCTCGGTTGCATTCTTGAAACTAACATCGACAAAACTCGACCGAAACGGTAGTTGACGTTTGCATGACTGTTACGTTTCTTTGGCATCAGTTCAATTGTTATAGTTGTAATAAACACTATATAAAAACTGCTACCAATAAATTGTCTTGATGTTTATGATTCAGACTAAAATACAGTTTGAAGTTATTCAATAGGAATGACTCATTGTCCTTCAATCAATCAACCACCCCAATATCAAATCATATTACAAGGGTAAAAATGGCTTTCAGTACAGAGCTCTTTTGTGACAACTGTTGGTTGCATCTTCTCTTGTAATAGCCTGCAATACAAGTACTGAAGTAGCCCGCAGTGAAAGTACCGAAGTAGCTGTCATTCAATCTTGCATACCATGTGTCATGTAGTACACTTAATGGATGACTCTAGAGTGATATGACCAGTTCTAAACAGAAACCTCGTAACTTCCAATGACTCTCGTCTTCCCAGGCTCTGATGAAGATCCTGGCTGTCCGGTTCCATTTCCTTCATGCTTTGACAATATGTTTTGGTTTTCAGTCCAGCCTTTGGTAGATGAATTTGGCTAGGAAAAAATTGGCAAGCTAATTATCAGTTTATTGACGGTGAAACAAAAATTTTGCATTATCATCATTGTTCATATGAATTTCAATACAAATGCATTTGAATAAAGAAGTAGACATTTCTCTTGAGTTTAAATAGACATTTCTTCTGACTTCGGCAAATTTTTATTGTTTCATAAATATGGAAATAAAAAAGAACATCACTAAAGACAGCTTAGCACTGAACGCCCTTCAGATTACATACATAGTCTTGAGCTGTAGAGTATTTCGGATAGACTTGTTTAAATCAGGTTACGAAATCCGGCAAAATTCACAATAAAGTTAAGCCCACGGTCTCATTTTCGTAGAATTGGAATGAATGAATGGAGCTGAAGTAATGAATGAATGAAAGCTATGGAATGAATTATAGATAAAATTGAGACGTGTATGGTGTTTTGCACCTCCTCGAGCCCACACAGTGTGCATATAACCAGGGTTGTCAGATGCTTGGGATGTTTTGAGGCAAAATACTTTACGGTTGACGGCAAAATTCGGCCAGCCAAACAAAATATACAAAAAGCTACATTTTGACTAATTCTTTGAGTAAAAGTGTAATCAAAATTGGCTTTGTTTGTCACAAAAGCTCCACCTTGCTTTCAATTTCAATTTTCTGTTATCTTTTATTTTGTTTCTTACTTCGTTATTTGCAATTTTGAGATTATTTAAACGGAATGTTGATAATTGTCTGTGCTAAAGTTGTAGTTTTCTTGTATTTTTGTGGCTTTCAACATGCGGCCAAAATTCGGCCAACTTTCGCTTTTTCGGCTAAGTCAATTTTTTTTCTTCGGCCAACAGCTTTGAAAAACGGCCAGAATGGAGGAGTTTGGCCATCAAAACGGCCAAATGGCAACCCTGCATATAACGATGCATAGATGTGTCAAGACGGGGATTAAGAAAACGCTGTTTTAAATGGCAAAATCCTAATCAAACTCCAGACAAGCTATCATCATTAATCCATATTTATCGCATACTTATCTCCTCACACACAGCCCTGTTTGAAACTCTTTTACCGTTTATTCTAGCTTCCCAATTATTCCAAGCCTCTGTCCAACCTAAACCCAGCTTATCCGAACCCCGTTTTTTTACTTCTGGAGAATTAAAATTTTGCTTTAAATCTTTAATATGGTTTTTTTGAGTTTGGCACAACTATAATGGTACAGGTTTTTTGGCACAGTTATTATGGTAAGAGTTCCTACGCTACAGAGATCTACAGGACTAATTTCGTTAAGTCTACAAGAGAAATTTCGTAAAGTCAATTAAGAACATTTTTCCAAATGAACTTTCAAGTTTAATTTTTTCCGGCAGGTCAGCAGAAGATCATCTTTTAAGCAACAGACGACAGCCAATTAGTTTTTACTCACTGTTTCGTTGCCCACTGGTGTCATTTCTATCGTCACGTCTCGAGTGGATGTAGCACTCTTTGCTGGTCGCTTTTTTTCTTTCATTCTAGTCTCCTTCGATTTGAATTTTGGGGGTCTATAGCCAACAAACCTGTTGAGGAAGCGATGTATTTTTCTATTAAACAAGTTCTCTGAAGATCAAGATACAAGTAACATAAAATCTTGAAAGTATAAAACTGTTCACATTCTTCCGATTTATATCTTGAAAATTTGATATTGGTTCGAAGTTCTTAAACTGGTCTATTTTGCATAAACGGAGTGCTTTACCAAAACACTGTGAACAGGCCGTTCACCGGATTCTTCTAATCTTGCTGTGAAGTATATAGAAAAACAGTAAGTTGAAACACCACAGATCAACGAGGACAATAGCATGACAATAGCACAATAATATTACACATTTATCAATATTTCTGAAATAAAATTAACTAAAATTCCTCCCAGCATTTTGTGCTTTAGCTTGCAGAATGATCTAAGTTGAATTCCTTAATCACAGAAAGTACAAAATTTGGTTGAAGTTTGAAATGTTAACTCCCAAACCTCATTTTCATCCGATAGAAACTATTAAGGTTGAAAGACAAACATAAAAGTAGCAACATCGCAACTTGGATAATTACACATAAAAATATGAAATAATAATGATTGCAATGTGAAGGCTACAAAAGGATTGTTTTGTTCTTCTTATTTTTCCTCTCAGGCTTGTAATGCTTCGTGTTGTTTTTTTGGCAATTAAGCCTCGGTGTTCACATAAAGCATGCTCCTTTAAATAATAATAAAAGCTGTACCCGAAAAAGGCATCCATTTTCAGTTGGTACCCTTCATGCATTCCATAACTCATTTGCGACCATAAGTGCGTTATGTTATAACTTTTAAACGCAAAAATCAACATCAAAATACAGTTTACTTCTTTCGAAATCATTGAATAAAATACGATGCTTTTTAACATAAATATATTGTGAACTATAATACCTTGGACTATGCGTGCCACATAAAACTGAGCAGCAATTCCTAAAACATCCCAGGTCGAAAGGGTTGTGTCCACTTCCAAATTTCCCAGTCACCTACGAAGAAAAAGAAATCAGTAAAAATATAGCAAAGAAAGAATATACAATTTATTATCGTTAATATACAAGGAATCGTTATCATTGCCAATGAAATACAGTGATGACTGACTAGTCAAATTAATAGAGTAATAAGAAATAAAGTCAAAATATTTGGCAACGTTAACTGCAATGGTCTCACGTTTTTTGATTCGCCCATTTCGACACATTTGATACATACATTTTCTAGCTTGGAATTTTCGGAAATTTTTCCAACGTTTTATACTTTGACGAGAGTAAGACGAAGTATTTGCTTTTTTCAGCCATTTATAAAGAAACAAGCTACACATGGGGAGGTTTTTAATAATTTTGGCATTCATAGAGAGAACGTTGACGTTTTTGGCTCTAAAAACAAGGCGTAAAACCCCACTTTGTGCATCGGTCCAACGCATCGGTTCAACGCATCGGAAAAACTTATAATATGAAACTTTCAGAAATATCATGAACACAAGATCATGTGACAAAACATTACCTGTTCATTGGTTGTCCTTCCCATAGCAACTAAGCCAATATGAAAGGCTGTTAAACCAAAAACAGGGATTGCTGCCAAACCGGCTATGATGATTATGATTACACTAAACATTGCTAAGGAAATATGTATGGATAGATTTTGATCCTGTTGATGATGACATAGAAGCATATCACTACAGCGTTGATTTATAATAAAAAGTGCATATAAAATCACAAAATGCAAGTCTTATTTAGTAAAGAAAAGTTTAAAAAGAAGTAACTTCAAAAATTGCTTTGAATAAAACCTTTTTAGACACGCAAAAGCTTATCAGAATAACCCTCAAAATGCTTAAAAATCACAAAATGCAAAAATCATTCAGAAGTTTGAGCTTTGAAAAAGAACATGAAAAACTATTTGTTGATGATTGCCATAAAATTAAAGTACAAACTAAATAGGAGCTCTGAAATCGTTTGAGACAATTTGTGACAGAGAACAGTGGCCGCAAATAGGGACATAAAAATCCATCATAAGCATCATAAGCATCTCTTTCTAAGGAGGTGCTAGGTCTCTTAGGCGTCGCCTCTAGGGCTCGGCGACTGAGACTTGGAGCACTGACAGATTGAAACTGTGAATTAATTGGGATTTCATATTTCTCGAAAAGCGGAAGACTCTTTGATTCGACCATCATTTAGTATCGACCAGATGTTTCAATTTGACTGGTCGGTTCAGATGTTTAAAATAATTAACAAGAAATGTCCTGAGAGTCTGCACGATAAATTTGCTGAAAGATCCACGGTAAGCAAGTATGGTACAAGAAACAAGACTGATCTCCAAATCCCAAGGTTAAATTCAGACTTTAGTAGAAAAAGTTTTAATTACACTGGTCTAAAAACCTGGAATTCTATCACAAAACACATAAGAGAGTCTAATACAATAATTCTGTTTAAGAATGGGCTAAAGAGTAATTTCCTAAGCTGAAGAAAAATATTTCTGCACGAATCCATGGTAGAACAAATCTGGTTTTTATATCTGTTTATTTAAATTATCAACTGTATTAATCAACTTTTATTTGTAACTAGGATTTTTATAATTGATACTGAATGGATGTCGTGATTAATTAATTATTAAAAAAACTCAACCTAATTCTCTAATTCTTCGGTAGAAACTTTTTTAAATACCTTTTTGTGCGTTTTTATCTTAAGAATGTGACACTGGGCAAAGTGCGATTCGTACAAAAAATTAAGTAAGTCATCCATAATTATTGATGTAAATAAGTCCATGAAACTCGGAAACAAACCCAATGTTAGTACTGCATAACAAATCCACTGACATTTCCATGATACTTGTTTGAGATACTTGAAAACGGCTGAGATAAATTGTCATTATCAAGCAATTGTCATTATCAAGCAGTCTTATTGCTAAATATTGTTTTCATATGTCCGTACTGATACCCAATACAATCGCATCGACAAAATTAAAGGTGATTTTTTGAGAAACGATTCAACAATGTAAACAGCAGGGCCAGGAAAGCGAGAATGCAGAGTGGGTAAACGCGCACACACAAAACAACAATCCTGCAGTTGCAACCGTATTTTCTTTATTTTTTCTGCTTGTACAGAACCGCAGCTATGGGAATGAATGAAACATCGCACAGCAACACTGTCTGGTGGTCACAAAAGGTTTGAAACGCAACGTTACAATTCAGAAGCTTGTAGTTACAATCGAAAACCATCCATAGTCTTAAACCCTTATAGCAAATATCCTCAAATGGTAGTACATTCTGACAGAACTCCTCAAACGGTAGCAAAGAAAACGAAATTATTTCCTTGGTAGCATCCATTTTCTTTGCGCTCTCCTGGTCCTTTTTTGACAAATTTCTTCATAATTGATTGTTGTTGTTTCGGGAAAGATAAATCTTGTTTATTATCTATAACAGATCGCAAACTAAACTGAGCAGTTCAGTTATTATCAAAAATGGGCCATTTGGTAGCCATTTGCTAAGACCCTCAAACGGACTGGACCCCCCTGTCAGGCCTTAATGGGACTACCCCGCCCTCCCTAGGGCTGCAGCTAAGCCTTTCCACAATAATTTTCAAAAAACCCCTTTTGGCCTCTGAACTCCATGTTAGATTATTCCCTATATATCAAAAGAGCCAAACGTTATGGGCAGTCCTCTATTTTCAGTTACACTTGAAGTTGCAATTTAACCGCTTCATAATATGAAAAGGATACGGAACAGTCAGTTTTCCATCCCCTTGCAGTATGAATAGCACAGTGAGGACGATAACTGATATAATGTGTATTGAAAGAAGGAGTATAAAGAAGAAAAAATATCTGTAGTTTCTTTTGCCAATGCAGTTATCAACCCACGGGCAATGATGATCAAATATCTAGAGGAAAAACATAAATTAATTATCAAATATAAATGAAGGACAATTTCTTATTCAAAACATAGGTGGCATAGCTTCAGGTGGCAGTTTTATGCTAAGTATTCCAGAAATTATCCCATTGAATCAGCCACATGTAGCCAAATTATCAAATTAAAAGTAATTTCAAGATTATCTTTATTGAAAAACAGCTGTTTTCATTCCAAAATTGGATATAATTATCAGACCTGGACAGTTTTCTTCAGGAAATCAATCAAGAAGAAATTGTTAGCATTTCAATAAGCAAAATCCTAGCAGGCACAAATTTAGTATATCCAGAAGGCCAGGCAAATTTTGATGACAAAGTAATTACATTAAAAAAAATGAATTTGAACTCCACTCTAAAGCTAAATAGATATGCCTTGTATTTACAAGGTACCAGGACTGATTCATGATCTGTTTAGATGGAAGATTCTGATGAATCCAAGATAGATGCATTCTGTTCTTTTGCTTTTATCTTGTCAAAGATAGGTGATTCTTTTTGGATCTGTGAGCTCCTTCTGTCTCTCTAGATATCAAATATCTATACAAATAATGTTATCCAAAACCAAGATTATCAATAGGGGAAAGGAGAGTCACCCAGTTTCAATAGGACAGGCTGCAACTCATAATACACTAAACAATAACCCATTTGATTGCTGCATACAAGGGAAATTACCAAAGAAGCTGTGAGTAAGTTCCACAACCAGTTCAAGATATATATCTGAGAACACTATTTGTTCTACAAACTGAGTTTCCCAGCCATATTTCCAGATCAAAGCCAAAACCATGAAATCAACACACACCCTTTTCCTATACTCCCTCTTCCAAGTGCACAGGGGTGATGCAGCATCTATTGTAATAAATATCACACCTGCTGTGTGGGAGGACACCAGGGGGTTGTGGGGTATGGTTGGTAGAGCAACAACATAAAGTTTTTCTGATTGTGATTTAGTTTTCCCACTCGCTAAAATTTATCTTGGTATATTCACACATTCACCACTCACTAGGGACCTGAGAGATTCAGGTATAAGAAACCTATAAAAGATGCCTTTTGAGGTAAAGAGCATTGAAAAGACATGTACTAAAACATACCTCTACACAAGTATTGCAAACACTGCAGTGGGAACACCTTGGTGGACGATAAAATTTACAAGTTTCACACCATTTCATCTTAACAGTGATGCCATTAATTTCTACATTTTTATACAATGGGTGACGGAAATCATCTTCATCTCTATCTACTGCAACAATTGCTGAAAAAAAGAAGATGTTTTCAAATCTTTGAGTTAAATACACTTGACTGTTTTGATTGACACATTCTAAGTGCTGAAATCAGTTAAATTATTATCTAACTTGGTATTTGATAAGCAAAAATGGGTATTGCAAAAATGGGTATATATCCTTTTAATTTCAATATTTCAGGGAAGTTTCTAAGTCGTAATGAAAAAATTCCAGCTTCTATCATTTTGATTGGATTAACAATCTTTTAGTTATTAATGTAAACATCTTTATTGGGAAAACTCAGTCTTTTAAAAATTAAAGGATATTAAACACCTCATACAATCTGCGATGGAAATGCAAATTGAATCATTACAAAGCACAACAATTTAAGATAACAGCAACAGGTTATGAATATAAAAAATTCAATTGTTGTTTATGGCCAGAAGAAAGATGTTTTAAAATAATTATATTGCATCAATGTTTATAATTGTTGAATACTAAACTTATAAGGTTCATAACATACCTCTAGGAAGAATTCCAGGGTCCCGAAAAGTGGCATGTGCAAACATGGCAAAGACAAAAAAGGTTAAAATCCCCTCATAAATTGTGACAATCAATGAAATCTGATTTGTTACAAATGGTCCTCTGAAAAGAGAAAAATTATAAAATAAAAACTTTGAAAAACTTTTGGTGCACAAACACAAAAGAAAAAAGGGTACAACACAAAACTTACACCAAACAAAAATCCATATAATCTTAAAGTATCTTGGAAAAATCTGATCGAAATTAAATCTGATTTTCATTTGATGCCAAATTTTAAACATTGAAGCTTTATGGAGGTGATCACTCCATTCTAAATCAACAGTACCATGAACACAACAGCTTTGATTAGGTAGGAAGTCACCAGAAGGCTTGGTGATTATGGCATATACTGATTGTGTCTCACATGGAATGTATTTACATATTATTTCACACTGATTGTTATATCATTGATTAGTCATCCATTGGAATAAGAAGAAATGTGGAAATAAAACTAAACAAGATGTCTCTTTTTGTTGCCATACAGGTTCTTTCTTTTATTATTAAGTTCTGTTTTCAAAGATCAGAAGCTTTTCCTCAGCTTCTACTCAGTCATTTGGGTAGGGATGAGTTGTGGAAAGGAAGAGATCGGGGAAGGAGGGGGTCAGGGAAGGAGGGGGTTGGAGAAGGAGGGGGTCGGAGAAGGAGGGGGTTGGAGAAGGATGGGAAGTAATTTTAAATTCCAATAAGTAAAAGCCACACATCTTAATCATCTGTGCATGTAAAAAATCAAGGTATAAACTGCTCCCATTTCTGAACTCTCAGATTTCAAATCATTTCTACACAAGATCACAAATATTTTCATAGAGGTAATAAGGAAATGTTTCACCAAAGATGGCTGTGACAGGACATAAGCAAATCATCAATAGGCCATCCTCTGGTGATTGGCTTCCTGAGGAAACCAGCAGTTTGTTTTCTTGTAAAAATAACCTGCTAATTTTGACAGGATTTGAAACAAAGCAAAATATTTAATTTGGTTGCCAGGTATTGTTCAAAATTAGCTGATCTTTGGCATGTCAATCACAGAGAACAACAAATTGATTTGACTTTATTAAAAATTTGAATAATATTTGGGAAATTCAAGGCAAAAATAAATGGATGTGCAATATGTATATAGCAATATAGCAATTGAATATAAATATGTATATTGACGAAGTAATTATACAGGTTTAAAGGAGATAAGGCTATCTTAGAATGCTACATACGTATTTGATAGAAATATTGTCACAATTCTTGTCTTTAATTACATAAGAATAAGTTGCCACAAATTTAAGGAAAATGTCCCAAAATGGCATGAAAAGGAAATTCAAAATAGAAAAATCTCATCTATAAAAAAACTGTTTCTTGTTTGAAATGTGTCTGTTGTAGACGAATTCAACTAATTTTTAGAGTCAGAGTTACCCGCACAAAATTGTTTTGCTAGCCTAAAGTAATACAACTAAAAATATCTGGTGAAAGTATATACTGAGAATAAGAAGACTTTTTATTCGAGAAGTATAACAGAGCAATGCGATACACTATGTAAATACCATATATTCTTTTAAATACTGTTAATACTTACATAAAGACAAAAAATAATGTTGTCGTTCCAGCCAACAGTAATAGGGCACATAACATGGGGATCTGTTTGGTTCCGCAACCCCGTTTTACTCCGCTCTTCATGGTTTCTACTTTTGAGTATTGACATTTGAAGCAAGAAACCACATCAAATCGTGTCTTGTGAACAGCTAAGCACTTCTTATTAGCTCATCATCTCATTTGATGCATGCACTGGTTTGCTTGGGTGCAGCCATCAACTTCAGTCGACAAAAGAAACCTTACATGTCATGGACCCAAAGGACGCTCCTTCCTAGCAGCAATTAAAGAATAGAGTTCTTAAGTGGTGACGTCATAATAATCTAACAGAATTTACGAATTTGGAGCGCAAGACCTGAAAGGTCATTAAAAAAACTTATAAGTAAGCAATGTCAATTCTTGTTCTGGTTTGAATAATTAAATCTGTAATCATTCAAATAAAATCATCTATGGAATATCCTGATAAAATAGTTAGGAATCGGCCAACAGTAATCCATTAGAAAATATTCTAAAAAATGTTGTTTTTTGATGTCGCAATTAAGAATTTAAAAACCAAGTTATCAAGCATTGAAGCTTTTCCAGTTTTATCTTCTCTAAGTACAGGGGTGTCGCCAAAGGGGAGGGGTAAATGGGGAGAGGTAAAAGGGGCGCTGCACCCCCAAACACTTTGTCCGTCGCATATAAAAGATTTTTGCCGGGCAAAAGAAGAGTTTTTTCCAGCCCTGTAAACTTTTTGCAACAATTGTAAGACATTAACACTTCTGCAGTAGTTGGTTGAACTTTTAAAGTAGGACACTAAAGTATGAAACGCACCACACTCTTAATTTTGAAAACAATTTTAGCCTTGATCTCAGTGCTTAAACAACTTGAAATTTCCTAACTTTTTGCTTCAGGTTTACTTTATTTTTTTCTATATTCATTGCATTTTCCGAAACGTGTTGCCAATATAATTTACCAGAAAAGATTATCAAGATTTCTTTGATATCAAAATCAATTTTTTGTAAAGTAAAATGTAGATTTATTCCGCTGTTGCAGTAGTTTGTTGTAGAAAATATTTTGTTGCAAGAAGAACTAAGCTTATTGACTATGTTAGGCTCAACTAAAGCGGCTCAGTCGATTAACCATTGGCGTAGACAGGACGTTGGTAGGAGGGAGCGAGACATTTTCTGACAAAAATTTGATAAGCAATTTAATTTCTCATAAATTTTAACATAATGTAACGACATAAGAACTGAAATAAACTTTAAGTGAGGTGTCATAAGTCCTACTTATAATGTTTAAGCATAATTAACATAATTAGCATAATTAATGTACGCATGCTGTCAATGTATTTTTGAGGAACTTAATTGAAGAATGGATTAGGATCAAGAACGTATTTTCTATTGTCTATATCTATGACGATATACAGAACACGATACTTCTGTGAGGGGACTTATGATACTTTAAAGTAACTAACACGATTGTTAGAGGTCTTCCCCTCTAAAAAGGCATTGATCTTAAAATGGAACACTTAGATGAAAAATAGACAACCGAAAAAATAGACAAAAAAGTTTGCCGACAAAATAACTCTTAATCTTACAGAGGTGTACTCCACCCCAGACCCCCTCTACGCCACTGTGAGTTGCCAATCTTTGGTCACGATATAGTTGATTGATACGGCAAAAATACAAACAAGAAGCAATTTAGGTTTTTTGAATGTTTCAAAAAGCAGGCTTTTTTCTGCCTTCCCTGTCATTCATTTGTCATTATTGCATGATTCTATTTGAGGGACTTAAGAGATCGAAGCCATCGAAAATTCATTACATGACATTGATCTTATAAATTTGTGGCTTAGAACTTGAAATGAAATCGCAGCTTGTTGTAATTCCTGAAAGTTTCTTCCGCATGAAAAAGCTGCAAGAGGAACCTGGATCTCTCTCCCAGAAATCGCCAAGATGATAAGGCTTGAGCTCCCAAACTCCTATGTAGTTGAAGTCTGGGAGGTTTTGGATGGGATGTGTGACTGTGAGATTATCTCGTATTTTCCGTCATTTAGGAAACCTTTGAACCGCACCACAACATAAACTTGAAAGCCTAAAGACTCAGTTCCCTTACTAAAAGCCATGGTGACTCTTTGGAGTACGGGGCACAAGCCACTTGACAAGGAGCAACTGAAAACAACGAAGGCATGCCTTGATATATTCTTGTCAACAATGATTCTAACCTATATTTCAATTGAAGAAAAGCTCTGCTTTAGACAGAGAGATGCCTAGACAGTGTTTATAAACTAAACAGCCAAGTGAAAATCTACAATACAAAGTTTTTTCATTAAATAGTTAACTTTTACATAACAGAGCAACAAGCACAGTACGTTTTAGTGAGCTGTACTTGTCTGTATCGTCCAACAACCTTTCCCATCGCTTTCTTTGCGATTTTTTGGGAAATGTCCAGATTTTCATCTTTTAGGGGCCTAAAGGTTTTCGGATCGTTGGCCTCGTCTTCGTTCTTATCTTCAGCTTCCATCTCGTTATCATTAAAACTTGTCTCTTTCCTCTCTGTTCGTTCCTCCTCGATATCTGACAAGAGCTTATCCTCTTCATTCCTTCCTGCATTTTCAATATAAGTTTCAACTGCCAAATCATTTGTTTCTGTATTACATTCTTCAGGTGCGATTGCCTCCTTTTCAGTGGCTCCATTTTCCACAAGCTTCTCATTTGTAGAGATTTCTGTAGTCGCATTATCATTGTTATTCCCAAGCCCATGATCTTTGTTTGCCAATTCAACAATAACAGCAGCGAAATCGTCTTTTGATTTTCTTCTCTCCATATCTTCTCTATTGCTGACTTCAGTTGACGTTTCAAAATGGCTTTCTTCTTCTCTATCGTCATCAACTGGCAACAGGCTTGTTATTTGGTCAGTCTCTTCATTACTGCCACAATTTTCATCCTCCTGTACTTCAGCTGAAGCTTCAATGTCTCCCTTTTGCAAATCATAATTCTTTTTCTTGTCAACTTCCCCAGCAATTTCTGTTGCATACTCCTGCTTCTCATTTTGTTGATTTCCAGTATCTTGATTTACTTCGCCTTCAGCATCAAACGATGTTTGTCCCTGGTCCATCACATTTTTCTTTTCTGTTTTGCTCAATTTTCGAAGAGAGATTTTTCTAATTCGACCTTTAAAAGACTTCTTCTCCTTTGCTTTGCCTTTACACTCTTCGTCGCCTAGATCAGACTTCTGCTTACCACGATCAAGAAACTCTTTCTGCGCAGACGAAAGTTCACCTTTGCTTGACTTCTTTCTCCATCGTTTCGAACCCTTCTTTTTCTCATCCTTTAGAACTTTCTCAGTTTCTAAATCTTCACTCTCGACGATGTTTTGTTTCTTTTCTTCAGACATTTTTTAAAATTTTTTAGATGACTTCAGATAATCGCACCTTGCCTGGAGAATCTGACCTGTACAAAATTAATGTTCCTTTTGTCGTCCCTTGGTTAGATCATACTGCAGAATTCAGTCTTGCTTATAAACACTACTGTGCACATGAGCGATCACATTTACCGATTATGATTGGCTGTAAACCCAGGGACCTACCCGACATTACTACTGGTCAGCATATCCTATTTTCAAGCTGATTGGCCAGGCTCGTTTGGTGATATCCCTAGTTCATGGGGTAAAACTGAAGGCGCATGGTAACTTTGTCCCCTGAACAAACAGCCTGTTTGGTGCTGCGGCCTGTAAACAAAGAAACAACAGGTGTTACTAGCGGTAATTCAACAGGCACTTTGCAAAAACAAAAACTTGGAAACGTTCAAATAAACGCGAATCAACATTTCTATGTCCTCAATCAATTGCATATGCTCTCAATTAACGTAATCACAATAACATCGGTAAGTCACGGAATATATTTTCAGGCGTGAGGCAATTGCTGTAAAAGCACTTGACAATAGTTTCGGTTTTCCACTTCGGCCAGGAGAATAGAAAGACAATTAACCCTCTGTTTCTTCGGCTATTCTGCTTTATCCCCTGATGAGGAACTGTTTCTTTTACATTCCTTGAGAATTATCAATCAAAGAAAGTTTTAGAAAAATTCGAAATTTTCTGAAAGTAAGGGTGGCAAGAAAAAGAAAAAGCTTCTAAACATAGCTTGTTGCACCCAGCTAAAGACAAACATTTAAATTGCATTGAGAGTTGCGAAATTATCTGAAGTATCTTGTGTTTTATTATGGAGACAATTTTATTTAAAATTAGTTTAACGAGCAGAATTTTGAAACGAAAGTTGTCAGCATATCGAGCCACGTTCGAACGACGCAAATTTGCAGGATTATAACGTTGGTTGAAGATGACTTTTTGGGTCACTGCTAAAGCTGTTTTCTTCTAAGTAATTAAAGTAATTAGAGGAGATATCATATAATTGGAAACATGTTGCTGATGTTTATATTTTCTTTTGAGGCGGGATACCACAAACGGCTGGCATACATTGGCGTATCTGGCGGGATGACGTGGGGGGCACATCCCTTTCATTTTTTTCGTTAGTTTAAAGGGGATAAGTTTCAAATCAGTGGATTGGACCAATGGTGGCGAGAAAGAAGTTTCGGCAATATATCAAAAGCATGATCCTTAATATTTTAATCGGTTTATTCTTGACTGGTTTTACTAGAAACTGCACCAGAGGGGGGGGGGGGGGGGGCTAATGTCAATCTGGAACTTCTAAAATCATACGCTTTTAAGTGTTAGAAATCGAAAAAATTAGTTTTGAAAATTCATTGGGATTGGCAGTTGTAGAAATCATCGAGGAGGGCGTGGGGGATGACCACAGCTAGGGTCCTCATTACTCAATGGGTCCAAATGTCTATAACAGTTCCCTGACCCCTATTTCTCTTTGTTTTACTAGAGAAGTGATGAATGTTCTTGTAGCAGATTGAAATCTTTCTAGATGATGCCGAGTTAAACGTCACCTGCCTGGAACCAACTTGTAAATTCAAGAAGTGTGTCCAACAACACAAAAGACCTTTTCCGTATAGCTGCAGGTGATGGTGGAAAATTCCTCAAAACGCGTGAATTGATGGTTGCACATTGAAATTCTCGTTAAGACCAGAGTTTAATCTTACAAGCAAGAGCACGGAAAAGGGTACGGAAAGATTACAGCCAAATCTCACGACAGAGCAGCTGTTTCTGTTCCGTGCATCAATTATTTAGCGATCGCGATTTGAATGCAGATTTAGGTCTCTGACGTAACAACCCGTTGCCATATGCAGGTAGTCTACAAGGAAAAGTCATTGATACAAGCAGATTTGAAGGAGGTGGACATTCTTTTGTTTGCTATTTATGAGTCCAGAAGGTCAATCGCTATTTTTCTGTTTTAGGCTTTATTTCATACAACAGAGAAGTGGAATGCTGACGTCAAATAACATACAGTTGTAGAACACTTACATTTGAAACAGATAATCAGAAAAACACTTTTAAAATGTCACCGCTGAATGTGCAAAGTCAGCAAAGCATGTTTCAGAAAGGATGACGGGCCTGAAATTTTTTTATTGTTTCGGCTTGGCTCAAAATTTAGAACAAATAACTACGATTTGATATGACAGGAACCTAAGCTACATTATGGAAGGTTTCAGCTGTTTCAGTTTTTACTTCTTCAAGATCGTTTCAGACTACATGGTTTAAATTCAAGATTCTCAAAATAAAGATTGATGGCATCATCACTTGACAGCTATAGTTTGTTTATAAGTAAGTTTTCTCGATTGAACTGAATTTACAGGCGCGCAATCTGCCTGTTGTAGCGTCCATGAAGTGGGGGAGATAGCAAAAAAGAGGCTCATGAAGAAAATCTAGTAAAAATTCCTACTAAGACTCGCGGATTTTTCAACAAAATAGTCCATGATTCCGTTCAGCTAGTGTTCTTCTGTCGAAATTGTTTCAAATTAAATTTGATTCGTTTCCATTTACTGCTCCTTTGTATGTTTCAAGCTAGTTGGTATCCATTTGCAAACTGACATATCACAATCTCATTTTTGCATTGCGTTGAGTCACAGTAAGAAGAATGCCTTATTGCAGTTGATACCTAACACTATAAATTCCAAAAAACTCTTCCTGAAAACACAAAATAGAAACAGTCGCAGCAAAAACCGAAAAAAAATTCCACGGTACACCTGAGCATAATCTTCAATATTACTTTTCAAAACTACAAAAGCCTCGTCTTTATTAATTGTGATGTGTGAATCAACAAAATCTACTGGTTTTCAACCCTAAAAAAATTAAACTACGCTCCAACATTCAACGTTTGCCTGTTAAGTGACTAAATGCATTCTAAAGGTTGATCAAAGCCTACCTAACACCCCTGTGTAACGAGTTTCTTATATCACAGGGAAAGAAGGTAAATGTGACAGCGGACAGCGAAATTTGTCTTGGACTGACAAGCCATAGTTAAAGTTTGCAATCATGGCAGCGTTTGTAGTCAAATAGGAGACGGGGATAACTAGCTAAACTTGGCCCGGTACAAATAGGCAAATTTGTTTATAGCTCTTACAAAACCTGTATCCCTTGTTGCACCAAACTTGAGTGGGAACTAACTTGGGACAAAAATTACAGCTTGCGGGTGACGTTTAGAAATGGTAAAGCCCAGGTCATTCGATTTCGAAGAGGGGGGACCCTGGTCTGGTCAGGAATTTCTAATCTGAGAAGGCTTTCATCGGCCTTGTTACGCAGAGGTATTATCTAAAGCTTTAATTGTAAGAATACCCGACAGAACAGAGTAATCGTCCTGTGGACGAAGAAAAACCTACGGTGATAAAGAAGAGCTGCTTAGATAAAGATAGTAATATTCATTTCATGGATGGCAGATGCATGATAAACATGTGAGTGCTTGCAAGTAGAGTAAAAGCTTGTTGAAGTGTCACGTGTTCACCACAACGTTCTCTTCTAAGTGGCTGTCTACAAAAACTGCTCACATGGAAGGGGATGGTTACAAGGGAATGGACGTAACGAAATTAATCATATTGGGGAAAGAACATCGGGCCTAAGGTTTTAGCTGGACATGTCAAGCGCTTCCTATCTGTAAGAAACCCCGACTGGTACGAAGCATAAAGGAGAATTAGCCCAAATATAAAACAAACTGAAGTGATATGATAAGAAAAAAACGCCAATAGGCCATAAATAAAACATCCTTACGATAAAATATAACCAAAGTTGTTCTGCATATACAACCTCAAAAAACGATATTCTATATCAAAAGAGTGACAAATATGCAAAGATATTTCTAAAAAATCACTCCAAGTACATTCTCCGATGAAATGAGCATAAGTTTGCACGAATCAGCACGAGTTTCTTGGCTTGATAGCGAAATGTAAACGAAATGGCATTTGATTATTCTAAGTTTAAATGGGTTGTACAGCTTACGCTGGGTTTTTGCATTTCCTTGCAAAATATAGGATCCAAAGCTACCTGAAAACCCCCCAATTGTTGGTAAATTCTAAATAGTTTTTAATAAACAAACTATCACTAAAAAATCCATTATCAAATTCGTCACGACTTGAGATATCAATTCTTGAAATAAATAAGCTAAACGCTAAGGCAAATTTTCACCTCATGAAATAACAACTAGACAACTATTAAGAAAGAAATCTGGAAATGCAAGATTCACATCAACTTGCAACATTGCTGCATCTCAACCGAGTCGTCCGTCCACCCAGGCCTGAATCTAACCAGTTCTGCGAATTTTGCAATCTCCTTCGCAGTGAAATTAACCAGAACCCAGTCATCGAGAACATTCTTGACTTCAGGCATCTGAACTTCGTTTAACATTTGTCTTTGCTCCTCCGTCAATTCATGTTTGATTTGCGCCTGTTGCTTCGAGCGAATTGTCAGTATTTTTACAGACTGTGTATCTTGAACATGCCTCCTACCAGCATCGCGATTACTACCTGGTTCATCGTCTTCATGAATGATTACATCATGAACCTTACCATCGCTTCTCATCTCCGTGCATTCCTCACTGACAACTTCCTTCCCTGCCAAGACAACATTTTGGAAATAGTTAAAAGAAACGGTTTTCCTTTAAGTGATCGGTTTTCGGTCGAGATGGGTTTGTTTTTAGTAAAGATCCTAGATGCTTGCTCTACTGGTTTTTGACTTGGTTTATGGTTTATGGTTTATGGTTTATGGATAAAGTTTTAAACATCAGATCACATGCACGATTGTGCACAAAAAGCTAATAAACAATTTAACAAGTGGATGAGAAGTGCTCCTAGATCATCTGTACAGTGCTGGCCGTTTCAGCTGATAGTACTAAAAGTTTCACCCACAGGACAACTCGATTGTTTCATTTCGACCAATCATCAACTCCTCCCATAGTCATGTCTCTCTGGTTGAGAAGACTGATTTAAACAAAACAGAAAAAAGGAAGCAAATCCGTTGTTATTTTGGCTTTGAATTCCGTCGTTGTCATGTTGATGTTTTGTACCAAAAAACCCTACCTGCTTTGTAAATCTACCCATCGACGTATTTAGAATGAATTAAAAATACCCAACTACTGCGAAACCAAGGATACAAATACAGTACCTTCCAGTGACACTCTTATTGTCACATCTTCATCCTGGTGATGATCATGAGGTTCCTGGCAGATTCGCACGTGTTCCTTTTGCTGTTCCAGCGCCTTTTCGTGTTCATCGTCGGCCGGGCCTAACAAAGCATGGAAATCTACCTCGCTTTCAACCGTAGTGACCTCTATCGGCGCTTGAATAACATCATTGTCTAAAAAAATTAACATTGGGATAATTTATGGCAACCCTCTATGAAGGATCGGGACAATTCTGGACAGATGAACGCTAGGTAAGCACAATATATATATATATATATATATATATATATATATATATATATATATAAACTTTACTACAACTGGCAGAAGGTGAAAGCTCCACAACCTTAGGCACATATTTTTACGTGGCACAATGACGCTGCAATAAAACGCTAACTTGAAACTACCTTCTTCGTGACAAATCACCTCCGGTCCGCTTTTCCCATCACGGTCTGAAACCTCTGGGATACATTTGCTAGGTACAGAGTCAATCTCTCTGACAGCCTCTTGATAATCGTCTGCATCTGGCCCTTCCTAAAAATGCGTAGGTAATGTACACATGGACAATTTTATAAATACACAAACTATCGTCATTACACCCGTCAAGAGACCCACTCACTGCACATGTTTTATTTGTTTGACATCAGAGGCTTAAGAGAGGCTTAAAAGAGAGGGGGGCTTATTCTAAATTTTTGCTTGATAAAGGGGAACTTAATAGAGAGGGGGCCTAAAAGAGAGGGGGGCTTAAAGGAGAAGGAGGCTTAATAGAGCTTGTACGGTATAAGGAGTTTAAATTTTTCACGCCAAACAATCAAGGGCGATATTAAGCCCAAATCTACCATCAAACATCAAAACAAGTTCACCAAAATCAAAAGCAGGGTAAGAGAAACTACCTGAAGACCCTCAGGGGCTGGCTGATCCTCCTCCACAATGGTCTCGACGTCTTCACCCATTTCGTTCTGCGTGATTATCACCTTCCGCGTGGTGACAAGAGTCGTCTGTTCTGCAAATGAAGCATCATGCTCACGGTCAAGCTCATCGTCAGATATCAATGTCTCAATTTCTTCTCCATCGACCGTTTTTCGCATAATAATACGGCGTTTCTTCACAATTCTTTGAATCTCAACCGTCTCATTTTCCGTCTCACCAAAAGCACCGATTTCACCGATCACCTAAAAACGGATATTGTCATTCATATTGTCCATATCTAAATATGTACTTTTTATCTTAATAGGGAATACTCATTATAACAACGAAACATTTCTCTGTAGTTACGACTCTAGTCGACTCAAGAAAAAACCAAAATGAGTTACCAGGTATGACAGACAACCCTGATAAATGAAGAATGAAAAGTGCAAAGAGAATAATACCACAATCTGTGAACAGACATGCGTATAAACAGATATATCTTCTTACCAAACTGAACTAAAGCATTTAGACAGACATACCTCTGGACCGTCATCGTCTTCTTCCTCAACAACGGTCTCGATTTCTTCCCCAGTCTCCGTCTTGGTGATAATTACTCTCCGTGATTTTGTAACCTTGGTCATTCTCACTCGTTTGTTATGTTCCACGATCTCTTGGATGTCAGTGTCAACTTTCCATGGCGACGTCTGCACATCAACTATGACGTTTCCGTCATTCTGTGATAGTAAACTGTGGACTGGTGTTCCAGGTGCCAGCTAACAATAAAACACATGATATCAGCAATACTACCAAAGATTAAGCTACACAGAGTTTTTTAAATGTTCATATTTTGCCAAACAAGATGGATATGTTACCAATAACCAAATAGGACGGTACTTTTTATTTCGTTGCTTTAGGGACCTTTCTCACAGCCTCTGACAATTAAGTTGCTACTCAAGTGATGTTACATTAATCTATGAGTATGACCAATGTTTTTAACAATCTGATCTCAACACTGAAAATTTTCTATCAACAAGCATAGTGCTATCTATCATTTCTCCAACGCTTTCCATAGCATAGCTTGGAAACATTAAGCTATGTTTATTCCTACAGTATTTGCCCAGTCATACTGGTTCTCCTCACAGTAAATTTCTTCTAGTGAAACTACTGACTATTCCAGAAACAGTTGTCAGAGAGATCTTCAGGACTAAATAAACTGTGTTAAAACATTCCAAAAACAAACCAATTGTTTTTGGGATGTTAAAATATCCCAAAAACAATCAACTTAACCTTTGTTCTGAGACTGAAATTAACTAAAAAATTATTGCCACTTTTCTGCAGAGCAAAATAAATTTTTTAGGCAAAGTGGAAAGAAATCTAGTCTACCATTCTGTAAGTAAGTGTACTTAGTAATATTTTAAAAATGAACTTAGATTAAGCTTGGTAGCTATGTTTTTGCCAAAGAGGACAAACAGAAAATTTAAAATGGGAATTTGGTCAAAAAAATGGGTCATTGTCCAAGTGGTACAACGAGTAACAGCTTGGCTAAGGGGATAGATCGAGAAAACTGATTCAGAAAGACTTTGTTGCCTGCACCAAATGATGAAGTATATATTGTTTTTTCTAGAGCCAAAATTTGGCTTCCAAAGTCTATTTGTTGACGGGAAGTTTCTAAAAAAATGGTCAAAGCAAAAAAACTGCTGGAAAGGAAATTTTTGAGAATATAAGAAATGAAGAATTCTTGTTGCATAATCTTTCATTTTGAGTTGACAGTGATTCGGTTGATATTTCAATGTTAATGTTTTTATTAAAGCTTGGTTCATTTATTTCATTTTGGCTCCCTTTTAAATCTAAAAAGGTTGATTACGAGCTACAATTAAAAGGTTAATCCAAAAATTTGCAAAAACCTTCCTATCACATGTCAACATTACAATAGACAAATATATGCAGCATATTGATAAAAGAGAGTTTTAAAATATTTCCTCAGAATTTCCTTCAGTCAAAATCCATTTAGATACTGATTCTGGCCATACCTTAGATATCATAATTCTAAAATTATTCTTGTCGCCAGCCATGGTGGCATTTCCTAAAACCTTTATAACCTTGATTTTTTGGCCGCTCCACTTTCAAATACGTTTCACCAGCCCTGATTGTAACTTCCTTTGTTCTCTGCAAACAACTTCCCATTTACTTATGGTGGATTTGTTTATTCAAGACTTCTTCAATTATGGAGCTAAACCAATAACTTTTAGCATTGCCACAAAGTTTCGTACAACATAAAGATTGCTTTTCTATGCAAAGCCTAGACAAAAGTGCAATAAAGGAGAGTGCCAGAGCATCGAATCTAGATACCTGATCGCCATGTACTTTACCATTGTCCAAAAATTCAGAAATAGTTTCTGCAACAGCATCTTCAACTTGTATGGTGGAAGTATCAACATCAACAACCACATTTTCATCACCTGGAGATTCCCCCATTTCATACGTAGTTGTAGTTGTTGTAATGACTGAATGAGTGTGAACTTCAGGGTGTTCTACATGAACATCAGTTTCTCTGAGCTCTGCAGAAGGAGATAACACAATCGATCAATGCATCTGCATAATAATTGTGAAAATTGTCTTCAGAAAATATTGTTTCAGAAATCTTTCTAAACTACCAAATAAATAATTACCCAAATTATGAAAGTGATGCACTGGAGAACTTAGTGGTAAAGATATGCAAACACAAGCCTTGTCAGTTACCAGAGTTTTAACCTCTTTGAAATTGAACATTAACCACATGAGTGATAGACATTAACAAAAATGAAAAATGTGACAAAAAAATGACAAACATCTTGTATGAAAGATCCTGAAAATATCTGAGAGTAAAAATGTCATTTTATACAAGTAACTTGGAAAGATGCTTTTTCAATTTAAAATCAAGTTCGCCATATTTGAAAATGGTAAATACTTGAATTGTTTTATTGAAATCTTGCCTTGAATTCATGATTACTGAAAAAGAACTTAATCTCATTTTAATCACTTGAAGAGCATGAACCAAATTTCATTTGAACTTTTTTAGCATATATTCAAGTATAAATAAGAAATGTTGATTTGACAAAAATACTGGTGATGCATACCTTCATTTGATTCATGCTCCAAAATTTGTTCTTCATATACCGCTTTTTCTTCCTTTCCTGGATCTATGTTCTTATCTTCTTTTTCCCCAGTATCGTGACTTGGCTCTTCCCCAGTAGCAGTTTCCAATTTTTCATTATCACAGAGTTGATCATCTGTAAGTTTGTCAACCAAGGTGGCTACATCTTTATTCTCATTTTCATCTTCTGGAGTAGCAACATCCACTTTGAATTCTAATGTGTTCACAGATAGCGGGCCTGGTTGTAAAATAGACAGTCAATTCTCTGACATCAGTAATAAGAATAACAATATATGAAATAACCAAGGACAGTTAGTTAGAATCATACTGAGAGAAATGTGAGCAAGTTAAACATCGTTTTCACAAATCCAACTCTCCTTATACACCACAGTAAGATCAGAACCTGACATTAACCAGTGGCGTTGCCAGCCCAAATAAACTTGGGACTCTCAAAAAGGTGCAAAACACTATTTTGATCTTCTTCAAAATTTTTGAAAAAGCAACTTTCTCAAACAGCATTTTCAAAACAGAGAAATTGAAATGGATCTGATCATACTCTCTCCCTCCCAAAGCTTTTTCAACAGATTTCAACACATTGGAAATCTGATCACTGGGAAAACTGGGATGGATGTCTTTTACTTTTTGTAAACAGTCAGATACTTTTTGTTAAGTTTTAGTTTTTGAAGAATTGAGTTGCTACTCAAGTGATGTTACATTACTCTATGACAAGGTCAATGCATCTCTAATTATGTAAGAATGGCTAGATTCTATATAATATAAAAATATAAATTTGATTTTTTTAGTTCTATACCTACATTTAGATACAGAAAACATTTTTAACTTAGTTACCACAAAACACCTGCTACTGATATAATGTTCACACAACCTGAAGGTCTCATTAAGCATGAAACTGGGTGCAGGCACCACAACACGTTGAGAAAAGTGGTGGGGGGTCTAAAAAAAGTGGAGGGGGTCTACAACCATATAAAAGGAGGCTTTTCTGGTAGTTTGATACTTAATATTTGGCATTTTTTGCAAAAAGTGGGGGGAGGGGGGGCTAAAGGCCCCCTGTTCCGCGCGTGGTGCCTGGGGGTGTAGCAACTGGGGAGCAACTTAGAACTATCCTGTTTTTTTTATATACCAAAATCAGGTAAATACTTGTATAAAAGGCTTTCTGACGACCACTAAGCAGTTATTTTCAATTAAATCTCTTTATAATTATACTTGATCGACTGGTTCTCATATTTCCAATCATTGACTGTGATTTTGGCAAGCTGATTTATAAGTTAACTACAGATATTGAAAAACGCGCTAATAATTTACATGCATAAACATCAAAGTGCTTCTAGCGACCTGGTGAATTACGCAGAATTCCTCTTATGTTGGGAATTACCATAACTGAATCCTACTTTTGGGACTAGAGGTAATCTCATTAAAAACACAATAGATGAACATCGAAGGAAAAAAAATTAAATTCTCACGTGGGCATCATTGAATTTATGGGCTCTGTTGTTAAAACCTCTACATAATTGTCGGATTACAGACCCAAGCTGGATCAAATTCCAGTCAGTATCGTGTTGATCAGCAAATTACCAAGGGAAAAAACAAGGCCATAATATATATATCAAGTTTCAACGCTGAACGTAGGGCCTAGCTAAACATAATGAGAACACATTCTTACCAGCATTGTTGCCTTTTTTCTTGTTCTTATTTCTGTTCCTCTTCTTTCTTTTCTTTGTATCGTCACTCATTTTGGATCAATCGCAAATGAAGGATGTAAATCCCAAGAACAAGAAACCAGATAATCAGCCAACCCCGGCTACCGCCTTTCCGTATCACGCGTCGCAGGCTTTCCCAATTTGGAGAGGCCTGGATCCAGATCAAGCTCCCGCCAACACCCGGTCACAGATTCTGTGACCCGGCCTCCAGATTTTACTATGCGGCGTGTGCTCTGGAAAAATGAGCTGGGCTGGGAGGGGGGGAAGGGGGGAGCTTCGTAAAGATATTGCCCGAATATTAATACTTCATTCAGATAGAGCTGCTAAATGGCAATGATATAGAAGCGCCGAGGGCGCTAGATGTCTAACTCACAGGTCCGCTGTGAGGCAAATTTGTTTACTTTCGCCATTTTGAATAGTGGCAAAAAGAAACTTGCTCCATACCAAGCCCTTATGAATTTGGTAAAAGTAAGGATTGATTTCGTTCACTTCTCTTTCGGATATCGATGTGAAATTTGGCGAGTGGCTTTAAATTGCACTCAAATTTATGAATTGATGTTAATATTGGAAAAATAAGCCGTCGTTCGCAAATTCCAAGAATTTACAGTCGCGGTGCTTGCTGTGGTGTTTTCTGTCTCGTCGAAATTCCAGAAAAAAATGATTGATCTGTTTTAAAACGGATCCAGCAACAAAGTTTAGCCACTCAATGAATAAATTTCTTAACACATTTGTACAAAGACGTGATTTAGTTACTTTTCTTTGTTTGTTTACAGAAACTGCTATGAAATATCTAGGCCAGACTCTAGAAAAAGCCGAAAATAGGTCATAATTCAATGCCGTGGTTATGGTTTCGGCGTCATAGATTTTACAGTTTAGTTTAGTTTCACCATTAAATTAAGAGAAACAATATCAATGATGTATCAAATTTCCACCAGTTTTTTGCCAATTGCTCATAATTGTACAATTTATTGAACAGTTTTCCGATATCTTCAAAAACGCCCAAGACCTATGATTAACCAAGATTTATGACCAACGCAAATTAGTTTCTTCACTTATGACTAATGCGAATTATTTCAAATACCTGATATCGAATAGCTGAGAGGGTTCTCACTTTCGAAGCATTAACTGAGTACAATCCTATGTTCTTTCCATTCAGAATGGTTGTATCTGGATAAGATTATCGATGCATTGGCATTTGGGTATGGGCACGTTCACATATTACCTAATCAAAGATGGAGGGAGGGTTTGCGGTCATAATGATCAATAAATGATGCAAATTAGATGATAATTTAGGGGAAAGAGGATTTTTACAATGTTGCCTATATTTGTTATGTAATTTGTGCATGTTCCTTTCTTGAATGATAATGCTCTTTCCAGGGCCTATTTTAGTGTGCAGTATTACACACTTTGTTCAGTATTAATTTAAAAACGTACAGCATTGATTTCCAAAATGTGCAGTATTGAATTTTGGGATTTGTGAAAATGTCTTTTTGCGGCTATCCCAGATTCCTGCTTTGTTTACAAAATGTGAATTTTCCTTGTCACTTCGATATAGAGTTCATGTTTTGTAATTCTCGTATAACCATCGGAAAGACTCTCTTATCAAAACTTAAAACAAATCGAAATTCCCAGAACCAAAACCAAAACATCTCCTGTAAATGTCAGCATTGCTGTAAATTTCGTAATTTGATCTTGTCGAAGATAAAACATTCAGTAATAATTTATCAGTTGCCCTATGATGCTCTGGGCATCTAGCAGAAGCTCACTTAACTTAACTAAAAGAAAGATAAAGAGCCTAATAAAACTTTTTTGTTTTACTGTCCAGACAAAGCTTGAGATAGTGATTCCGTTCACAAGAGATAAATTACTATGTTTCTATTCAGGTTTTGTAGCTCCTGTTTGTTTTGTTGCTGTTTTGAAATGTTATTATTGATTGTGTATATTATTGTCTATCTGTTTGTGATTTCTCCGTCATGGCCTATACGCGTGTTCAAAGCTCGGGCAATTTCCTCGCTACACTTGCATTACTAAGATACCTCGGGTTTGCAGGGGTTTGCACTGATTGCAATAAAAAAATTTCTAATAAAAAAAATGATTATAAATGTGCAGTAATAAAAATTTCTTAAAAATGTGCAGTATTGAAAATTTCTTAAAATAGGCCCTGGCTCTTTCCTTGGACCATCAAATATCCCTTAATAGTTAAGTCTGCTCTAGGAATGATAAAGGATAAAAAAATTTTAAACGTCCTGTGACAGGCTATTTACTTTTGCATTTCAACTAAGAACTCAAAGGCATCTTGATTTCGTATTTGAAGCGCTAAAACTCCTTCGTTTTGTACTAAAAAGAAATTTTCTCCAACTTTATTCAAAAGTCGTGTCTAGTGACAAACGGGGCTTTTTATCCCCTTACTAATGACCAGCCGCACCCCCCCTCGCTTCTCTTTGTTTGGAACTTGGCAGAAACACCTCACACCTTGAATTCTACAGAAAGAGCCTGGAAAATATGAAACTCCTTCAAGTATTTACGGAAGATTAAGCCGTATGTTTTTGAAATAACTTATTAAAGTATTCCAATCTTTTCTCAAACTAAAATGATTTTAGTTACTGAATAATATCTGTGTTTTTTCGTAAGAGATTATTTGTCCTTTTTACCATGTCTTTCTCATACAGAAGGAGCCCATCAATCTGCAAAATTATCAATTTGCACAAACGGGTGTTGTCAGATATCTTTCTGAAAAGTCAATAGTTTTATAAGCACATGTTCAATGCCTGACCATAATTACGCATAATTGTACGAGCATCATACTAGGCTAGTAAGAGCTCAAGCCCCTCTTTATTTTTTCAAAGAAACGCTTTAAAACTTTAAAAAATTCATAAATTACCGTTTGATGAGAATGAAGTCAATATTTTGCTAAATTTCAGAAGATTGCGTGTTTAATCGAAATAATCTCGTCTCCTACGCTGGAAAGAGAAGTTGCTTTCTCTGTAAAATCTTGGAAGATAGTGTCGCGCTAACTGAAAAATGGCTTTAGGCTTTGGGCTTTAGTCTAACTTTCAGAATCTGCAAACCACTTTACATCATTTGACACCTAAATATTTTGCCACCCTTTCAGAGTTTCAAATACAGTCATTTTGACTGAGAATCTTCTTCCCAAAGCAAATTGTGAAAAGAAAAGACACTCATTGGCCTAAAAACGGGCTATGCTCGAAACGTCGTTTATTAATTCGTTAATTTTTTCAAGTATAGCCTAGTTCTATCCTAGTTTAATTGAATTGTGACATAGTTTGCAGTGAAATGATTCCCAGCTACATAAATTTCAGACACACTTTGCTTACCCGACATCTGCCTGGCCAAGTGCAAATTTTTTAGCCATTCGATTTCCATTCCATTCGAGTTCCTTGGGTACAAAATAGCTTTTTCGTACCTGTATATAGAGGAGTTCTAAGTCCGTAGAAAACTGAATTTTACTGATCGCACTCGCAAGGTACACTCGTAAACCACAATGAAATCCGGGTCAAGTCACTTGAAGCTTTAAGATGAATAAGCCTGTTTGAATAAACACAGTCATACATTGGATACATTGATGTGCCATGTGATATTGTAAATGAGACATGCGACCACAACCGCTAAGCAACGAAAATCTGCTTAACAGGTCAAGAGATTCTCAGACCTCAACTAGTAGTTTTGATAAAGAAGTTATGGAAACCTCCGTTTAAATGTAATGGAAAAATTCGACTGTACAGAGTGGAGAAATCGAAAAATGGTTTCGTCAAGAAAACGTTTACCGTAGACTTAAAGTCTAATAAAAAGCACAAGCTGTGCTCACTTTTTCAATTCGCAACCTTATTCCGCATGCGCAAAAGAAAAGTAAACCGGGCTCAACCCTCTTTCGCGTGAACAAAACATTATTTCAAACCAGCTAGTCAGCCCGGGCCGAGTCAGCCCGGGCCGAGTCAGCCCGGGCCGAGTCAGCCCGGGCCGAGTCAGCCCGGGCCGAGTCAGCCCGGGCCGAGTCAGCCCGGCCCGAGTCAGCCCGGGCCGACTCAGCCCGGGCCGAGTCAGCCCGGGCCCACTCAGCCCGGGCCGAAGTCAGCCCGGGCCCACTCAGCCCGGGCCGAGTCAGCCCGGGCCCACTCAGCCCGGGCCCACTCAGCCCGAGCCGAGTCAGCCCGGGCCGAAGTCAGCCCGGGCCGAGTCAGCCCGGGCCGAGTCAGCCCGGGCCGAAGTCAGCCCGGGCCGAGTCAGCCCGGGCCGAAGTCAGCCCGGGCCCACTCAGCCCGGGCCGAGTCAGCCCGGGCCCACTCAGCCCGGGCCCACTTAGCCCGAGCCGAGTCAGCCCGGGCCGAGTCAGCCCGGGCCGAGTCAGCCCGGGCCGAGTCAGCCCGGGCCGAGTCAGCCCGGGCCGAGTCAGCCCGGGCCGAGTCAGCCCGGGCCGAGTCAGCCCGGGCCGCCCGGCTGAAACTCTACCCCCTACCCAGGCTGAGACAAGGTTCGATAGTATAGTGTAGACAAGACAATTGACATTCATGACAGGGTCATACATAAATGATATCACCTATAATTTAAAGATTTTTAAGCCCCTTGCCCACCAGTGTCACCATCTCTTTGAACCTCTCTATTATATTGCCAATGACGTCACTTCTCACAGCAAGCCCCCCTGCCCTTCTCTATACATTTATTTGAAAAGTAGAGCGAAGCAAAAAAGCGTTATTTTTTTTTTATAAAAAAAGTTTGCAGATCTAAAGTTGCGAAATTATATTTCTAAAAAGTTGCGAACATCAAAACAACCCTGAAAGGTACCTTCTAAAGCTTGCCTAGCTCAGGATTTCTCCAGGCTCCGAATTCCCAGAAAAATCCTTTATTTATGCTTCTTTTTATGCAAATTTTTGTCCATAATTTTCATCCATATTTTATCTAAGTAATCAAGAAAATCAACAAAATTGATTTCTCTACGACGTTCGTTGCTTTAATGTTTAGTCTATAGAAACTAACAACTCTTACAAATCTGAATGCGTTTCAAAGATATGGTGAATTTTTAGGCAGCTACTGCGATCGGAGAAAAATAACTGACAGCGCTGACTTACAGCTAAAATTGAACTGTACCCAAGAGAGGAAAAGATTGAATGGTGTAACCTGTTGTTTAGAATTCATTGA